GGAATCTAAGAGCATCAGCGTATGTTTTGGTGCTGAACCCCATATGTGGGAACAGTATTCTAGAACAGGCCGTATCTGTGCTTTGTAGATCATGAGAAGCTGTTGAGGTGTAAAGTAGCTTTTCGCACGGAACAAGAATCCGAGTTTTTGTGAAGCAGCTTTTGCGATGGATCTGACATGATTCTCCCATGAAAGAGTGTTGCTGATGGAAATACCGAGCATAGATATGGTGGGCTTGGTGGGGATGGTGGAGCCAGAAATTACAATATCGGGCATATTGAGTTCCGCCTTTCTAGAGAAAATGCAGGCTTGAGTTTTGGTGGCGTTGAATTCAACTAGGTTGTTTGTTTCCCAGGCTGTGATTTCAGCAAGATCTTTATTGACAGCATTGACCTGCCTGCGCCGTGAGTTCTTAGTTTCCTGGGAAGAAATGGGAATTCTGGAAGAGAACGCAGTATGGAGGGTACTATCATCTGCAAAGCTGTGGATGGGGCAAGTTGTAATCTATGGAGACATATGAAACAATTGGTACATTAGACTGAAGTCAACACCAGAGAGGAACTGAGGGAGAGGATAGTTACAGATTCAGATATGATCAGAAATAATAGGCAAATTATTCAAAAAACCATGAGAGATCTCCTGAAGAGATGCAGAAAATGTGAAGAAATTGGAGAAGGACATTTCGAGAATCTTTTTCGAAGATTGTTAAGGTATAGACAAAGCTTTTTCGAAAATTATAATTGTTTTGTAGTTTTTTACCAAAAAATTAAGTCCGATCCTAAATTTTTTTATTGAACCTTGCTGGTATATCAATATGCAAAAAAAATTATTTCAATAAGTCGAATGTAGAGAGTAATGTGCCCGGACGAAATCCAAGAAATATTCATCAGTATTTTGTTTGATTTTTTTTTACTCAATCGTGTGCTGTACAAATTGAAAAGCTGCACTTGTAGTGTTTTTCCTGATCTTTCTGATTCTGATGAGAGTTTTTGAAAAATACGATCCAGAAAGTCAAAATTATATAACATTCATAAAGAAAATGAATTTCCAAAGTCCGTCTCTGGAATTTTTTCCATAGTAGGCCATCTTATCAAGTGTTAGTAGAGGTAAGTTGCTGGTCATTTCCAGACGATAACATCGGGACGTTCGTGAAATATCGTTCATCAAAGATTCGCCCCGAATTCAAATAATGCTCTGTATTTCTGTTACGAATAGGCAAAATATATTTTTTCACATACCATTGGCATCAATTCCGGCGTTCCACAAGGATCAATTTTGGCACCAACATTATTCCTTCTTCATATCAATGATCTGTTGGGAGTAACAACTTGCCCCATCCACAGCTTTGCAGATGATAGTACCTTCCATACTGCGTTCTCTTCCAGAATTCCCATTTCTTCCCAGGAAACTAAGAACTCACAGAGCAGGCAGGTCAATGCTGTCAATGAAGACCTTGCTGAAATCACAGCCTGGGGAACTAACAACCTAGTTGAATTCAACGCCACCGGAATTCAGTATGCCAGATATTGTAATGACTGGCACCACCATCCCCACCAAGCTCACCATATCTCTATGCTCGGTATTTCCATCAGCAACACTCTTTCATGGAATAATCATGTTAGATCCATCGCAAAAGCTGCTTCACAAAAACTCGGATTCTTGTTCCGTGCGAAAAGCTACTTTACACCTCAACAGCTTCTCATGATCTACAAAGCGCAGATACGGCCTGTTCCCACATATGGGGTTCAGCACCAAAACATACGCTGATACTCTTAGATTCCATCCAGAGAAGAGCCATTCGCCTGAGGGGTGACGCCACACTCACTCACTCTTTGACATCATTGGAAACACCATAGAAAGGTCGGCGACCTTTCACTTTTCTATCGATACTTCCACGGGAAATGTTCTTCGGAAATCTCTGCTATCATCCCTTCACTAGCAATACCAGTCAGACGAACTAGACAAGCCCAGTCAGTACATCCCCTCATTGTCAACCCCGAAAGCTGTCGAACAGCACTTTATCAAAACTCCTTCATCCATAGAACGGCTAGGCTCTGAAATTCATTGCCTGAGGAAGTATTCCCAACAACATATAATCTCCAGAAGTTCAAAAAAAAATCCAATACCTACCTCCGGTCCCTATCCTCCCTAGGAACGCACGATGTTCTTTGAACATTATAGGGATTTCCTTTCTGGCGCTCCAATCGATAAAAAAAATCAGAGGTCATCGGTGGTGTTTATCATACCTATGTTTGAGCAAACTTTTTACGATTCATCACCAAATTTGAACGTCATTTTGACTTCATTTCGACGTCACCGTTACGTAAGTAAAATGACATCATTGGGCTGTGACTGATCATCCACGTCATTTATCACGTCATACAACGTCAACTCCTGACGTCACCTTGGTCATTCAACTGACGTAAAAAGACGTCACTGAAACATCATCTGGTTGCCTGGGAAGTTGAGGTTTCCATTTTGAAAACTGAAGTAAACCGTTTTCTTCGCATTTTTCACACACTTCACCACACAGTATAACTTTGTGAGTCTGGTCCGGTGCTTCATATCATAAAAATGTAATGATTGTTATTGAACTTTTCAAGCTTAATCGTATTTAAAATATTACTTTGTTATCACCCATAATTCATGCTGCAATACTTAATTACTTTCAAAAAACATAGATATTTGTTTGACTCCATTGAAATAAAAATAATCTAATTGAAAAAACAAAAGAACATGAGATTTTGAAATGTGGGAACGAGCCATTGGCGCCTCCATCATGTCACGATAAAAGGGTTGTTTGTGTTTTCCCCTATTTACGTTGTTTCGATGAATTCAAGTTGTTACCTGGTTTATGATAATAAAATTGAGAAATATATATATGTTCGTGACGATATTCCAATTGGTGAAGGAACTAAGCTCAAATGAGATATAATTCTTATCAGTGCCGGTTTTACCAGGGGTCTTTTGGGTGCAATAGCACCAGGCGGCAAAATCTTCAGGGCGGCTATATGAAAAGACAACTGCACATCTTTTGTCATCAGTCATTATCTGGATATTTTGATTTTTCACGTGAAATATTTGATCACTACACTACCTAAACTGAAATTTATGTTAAGAAGTGACTCATCCCAAGAAACGCACAATTAGGAGAGAAAATACGGCAAAAAGTTTGAACCCGAGAGAAAAATGGCGGACACAGTGTTTTGTGTCAGCAGAGGATGGAAATTTGATCAAATTGACAACTAAACTACAAAACAGTATGTAGAGGATCTGGACAAATTTGTTATTCATCTGAAAAAAAACAGTTTTCTCTCCTAGAGACTAAAGCAGAAACCCCTATTATGGAATTAGTCTAAGTTCTACACGAGAATAATGTAATATAATATTTTTTTTCCCAATATGAATTGTTTTAGAAATTTTTGAGCTAACAATTTTGTTCCAACTCAAACAAGATCTACTAAATAAAACTGTATAGATCTTGTGAAGAGTATCATACATAAAGGCTTGCATTGAAGTAAGAAAACACATTTTTGTATTGTTATACCTTATGTTCCAAGTTAAGACCTTGCCTATTATCATTTGATTTTCCTTTTTCATTTTAACATATACCTATTCATTGTTGTTCATTATGTGAACACTAAAGAATTATGTTTTCAATTTTATTCAACAACATCCTGTTTGTTATATTATATTTTTCATTTTGTTCATCAAACTTCTATTGAAAAAACTGGTGTGCGTGGAACTTCTATGGTATAGGTACACTACTTATATGATTATGTCGTTTTACTCCCATCCCAGAAAACGTCCAACGTGCCTATAGAATTTATTATCATATATAATACCACAAGTGATAATATTTTGCCGGAAATATTCGGTGATTGTTACGACAGCTTGTTGCCTAGTAATTTCGTGAATGACATTGTTAACAAAACTACGAGCCGTAGGCGAGTAGTTTTGGATCAATGTCATGAGCGAAATTAGAGCAGCAAGCTGGAGTATGTCAATCGACGAATATTTCCAGGAAAAATAGTATCACGAGTTGTATTCATATGACTATTTCATGATTGAATGAGACAATATATATAAGAAATAGGAAACATAATTTATATTCCAACTCAAACTGCGAAGAAGAACATAATGATAGTAATGAAATACATAATTCAATTTTTCAGAAATTAACTACCTACTTATAGTTATTCACAAAGTGGAATGTACAATTTTGATGAACAGTATTTTGTTTATTATCTTGGAGATGGTTGCTCTCAAAAGAGTGTATACATTTGCTATCCAATTCGAACAAAATAAATTGAATTTATGTGACATGAAATAATTTTAAAAAAAAATCATTGTCGCCGACGGGCTTGAACCACCGACCTTCGTATCACCGCGCAACAACCCTATCAGTTGAGCCACATCACCTGGATTATATCGGTCACAATAACTTGAGTGACTGAAGAAGATTACTTTAAAAAGGAATTTGAATTCTAGTATTGTTGTCAGACCGTCAACAAATATGCAAACTTATTAAATTACACATGAAACGTCCAGCCAGAATGAAATTGTCTCGCCTTTCGTACAAAAATGTCTCACTAACGCGAATTATAAGTAAATAAAATGAAGTAGGTACTTAGGTTATTGTCTCTTGTGTCAGATTTGAATACAAAGCAATCTTGACCAGACACGATGTCAAAATTTTATCGCTGATAAACGAGGTTTGTTGGTCACGTGTGGGTCAATTCGGCTTCTGTATTGGTAGAGCAAGTCCGATAAAATTTAATAAACAAAAAATATCGCTAGAATACAGAAGAAACCGTGAAAATGGTCGATTCTGATTGGTTCTCGAGATCAAGAGTGGAATAGTCACTTCAAAAATGTGTCATGAGAAAAAATCCGAAGACCTGAAAGACTAGGAATATTTTTGAGTCTGAAGGGCGGAGTGTCCATCATAGCACCAGGCGCAAATCACCTTAAACCGGCACTGATTCTTATCTCTCCAGGTGAGAAAATGCTACCCACCGCCCTGCCGCGCTTAGCGATCGCCATCGCGGTCGCTCTTTCTACCGCCCCCGCGGCCGAGGCCTCCGTGATAAGCTGTCCGACCGACGCGATCCAAGACCAACTAGATCCGACGCTGCGGCAGCTGTGCCTGGCCATCGAGCAGGCCGTGGAGGATCTGCCCAGGCAACCAAGTGAGCATTCACCATTTTTAGACCGGAAGATAGTGACAGATTTTATTTTCAGACGTGATTTCACCTATCCACCCAATAAACACAGCTACGTGAAAAAAACGTTGAATTCTTCAAGTAACGCTTCTATTATTCATCGTTGAAAAAACGGCAAAATGTCGTTAGGCAATACGTTTCATTCTGGTTCTATAGTAACGTTACCTCTTCACGTTGATTCATTGTAACTAAGACGTTGCACACGTAATGTGAATTCTACTGGAATACAGTGTGTCCCACTTACCATGCTCACCATGGGTATCTTTCTAACGGTGAGAGATACGAGGTCGGTTAAATGACACCAAATGTGGAGTTTGTCAAGGCCAACTATAATGTGAAAAAATATTATGATAAAATCTATTCGTTTTTGTTTTATACGCAAAAAACAGATTTTGATCATTTTCATGTCTCCTCCGTAACTTCTTTATTTATGAAAATATTCAAATACTAATTTCACATTCTCAGATTTCGAAAAAAATATAAAATTCATACCAACTCTTCTAGAATTTGAGATATTAGCACCAACTTTAGTTTTTCAAACGCAAGTCATGGCTCACTATGACTAAGTTACAAATAACTTTTTTTTCTCTTACAGATGATATATCGCAGTAATAGTTTTGTGTTGATAACAACGGAGTTATCGTCATTTATACAAAAACAAAAAATTATTTGGAAGCCGCCATCTTGAATTTATGAATTTTAACAAGAATATCATGATCTCCGACCTCAAAAACCTCCACTCACCAATTTTGAATGGAATCGGACCAAATCTTGTTCGCCATCTTGGAGCAGCCATTTTTTTAAATTTCAACAAAAATTCCATTACTCCGATTAACTTTAAATTTGGCAGGTGTTCATAATTCTGGTGACAGTGCATTATGAATGTTACGTGATATTTCTCATGCAACCCTATAACTCTTGTATTCGAATGTTTCCTATATATCTGACGATTTGGCGATGTGACGATGTGAATATAAGTGTTTGAGGTCAACGAAAAAATGTAATATGCACCTCGGCGAAAAACTGTCTATTGTCTCGCGCCTGATTGCTAGCCTCGGCTATCAATTTGACGACTCCACTATAATAAACAGTTTTTCGTCCGTGTTACATAAATAACTTTTTTCTGCAACCGACACAAAAGTCGTCCATTTCGATACCAAAATTAGCACTTAAATTGACGTTTCTATTACTGACACAAAAATAGGTATGTTGCTAGGCAACATGTTTAGTTCCTAGGAGCTGAAGTTGAATTTTAGTTCCTAGGAGCTAAAGTTGAACTTTACCTCCTAGGAACTGAAAAGGATGTACTGGACGTCATCAAGAATAAACAACATTGTGACGGTTGGTTATTTGGGTTGAGACGCATACCTGATTTGTTTCCGATTTCAGCAGATTTGGCATTTCATACCCATGCTGGAGATATAAATACACCTCATTATAGTTTAGTATTGGAATTATAAACATCTCAGTTAAGTATTTTCGTTTTGATCAGGAAAGCCTTCAAGATTCAAATTCTTGCTTGATCTGTATTTCATTCGTTATTCTCGGGATGGATAACTTGTTTTTGAATAATCACGGCAAGCAATAGTTTTTTTGTCTCAAACAACGATATTGTTTAGCTTCATTTGATTATCATGTCAAACACAGTGTAGCATGGAGAGGAATAAATATCACTATTATCATTGTTGATATGCTCACTAACCTAACATTTTCCATGTCTTATTGTTTCTATAGCTGGCACTGGCGCGAAATTTGCCATTAAAGCACCTGGTCCATACACAAATATGTCACTCTGTGGTTGTATTCATATTGAAAGTACAATTCGAACATCCTTGAAAACCTAACCTGCTCTGTTAATGCAGGTAGAATATTCCACACGGATTATTTGTCAATATTTGTTGCATTGCATACTCGATTGCATACATATGGCATGGCATTGGTGGTTACTTCACATGTTTATTTGAGTTAATTGTTTCGGTTGCAGAAAAAATAGCATGTTTCATTCGGATCAAAAGTGACTACTATTTTTAAATGCAAGTACAGGGTGGGCAAAATTGGGCGTTTTCACCGTCTATCTCAATAACTAGAGGAGTTATCGAAAAACCGATATACATGTTCCGGGTTCGATTTTGGAGAAACCTCGAATGACACAATCAAAATTTCGATATCTCCATTCGTTTTAGAGATACAGGGGGAAATTGAAAATTTGCCGATTTCGATTTTATTTTCTGACTACTTTACGGTGAGAGGTATCAAAAAATTTCAAACGTATATTTATACAGTATGATGCGTGGAATCCATTGGCATCATCAGAAATTTTATACAGGGTGACGTTGAAAAGATACGGCAGCCAATTATGTTTTTTCTAATGGAACACCCCGTATATTTTGGCACAGTTGAATAGTCCCAGGCGTTCTCATTACAAATATATATATAACCCTACCTTTTCCTTCCATAATTTCAGATATATTCGCAAAAATATATTCAGTGTGTCACATTTCTTATGGTTACACCCCCGTATCTTCTGTAAAAATAATTGAGGTAGGATTCAAAAATTCGCAACTGTCAGAAAGAACCAAATGATACACTCATGGAGTCACGGACCAAGTGGGATCATCTCCAATGATAACACTGCTCGCCAGCAGCTATGGAATCATCGATATTTCTGGATAATGCTATCAACAGGCAGAATCGAGGTTGAAAATGACACTCTGTATATATTCACCAAAGGTGGAAAATGAATATCAAAGGGGTATGTTATTTCCAGACAAATGGATATTTGGTGAGAAATAAAATGGGAAATTATTCGATTTGATATCATTGTTATCAAGATATCAAATCGAATGATTTCCCATTTTATTTCTCACCAACTATCCATTTGTCTGGAAATAACATTCCCTATGATATTCATTTTCCACCTTTGGTGAATATATACAGAGTGTCATTTTCAACCTCGATTCTGCCTGTTGATAGCATTATCCAGAAATATCGATGATTCCATAGCTGCTGGCGAGCAGTGTTATCATTGGAGATGATCCCACTTGGTCCATGACTCCATGAGTGTATCATTTGTATCTTTCTGACAGTTGCGAATTTTTGAATCCTACCTCAATTATTTTTATAGAAGATACGGTGGTGTAACCATAAGAAATGTGACACACTGAATATATTGTTGCGAATATATCTGAAATTGTGGAAGGAAAACGTAGGTTTATATATATATTTGTAATGAGAACACCTGGGACTATTCAACTGTGCCAAAATATACGGGGTGTTCCATTAGAAAAAACATAATTGGCTGCCGTATCTTTTCAACGTCACCCTGTATAAAATTTCTGATGATGCCAATGGATTCCACGCATCATACTGTATGGACATACGTTTGGAATTTTTTGATACCTCTCACCGTAAAGTAGTCAGAAAATAAAATCGAAATCGGCAAATTTTCAATTTCCCCCTGTATCTCTAAAACGAATGGAGATATCGAAATTTCGATTGTGCCATTCGAGGTTTCTCCAAAATCGAACCCGGAACATGTATATCGGTTCTTCGATAACACCTCTACTTATTGAGATAGACGGCGAAAACGCCCAATTTTGCCCACCCTGTACACATCATCACGAAAACGGTATGCTTTTGTATTTTCATCTACAACTATTGTATTTCATTTTGAAACACAGGCAGCTCGAGTGAAATGGTACCGAAACCCGCCAAAAGGCATACTGTGTGAAAGCACGTCTGAAAATCTGTCACTATCTCCCGGTCGCATTTAAACATTCCGGTATAGGATTCGGCACCTGCTTAAATTCTATTGGCGGATTTTGATTTGTCTGATGACCAATTAAAGGCGAAGTGCCGAAATCCGTACCAGAATGTTGAGCGGTGCTGAAAAGCAGGTCGGAATGTTGCCCTGCATTTTGCGCGGTTTTTGTTTACATTTACCCTCGCATTTACCTAACCTGCGTATTTTTTTATTATACCGTCGTTCCCACATGCTAACAACGAACCTGCAATCTTGTTATTATAGTAAAGTGCAATCATCAATTAGTGAAGTATACCATAAATCACTAATTATGGAAAGATTAATAAAAGTTTCAGAAATTTTGGCAATATGAAGAATGAAACAGAAGTTGTGCAATGGATGAATGATTATTAAGCTCAGTCGTTTACATCATGGCGTTTCAAATCAGGCCCTACAAATATTAAAAGATTCTTGTACAGGTAACAATTTTATGTTTTTCAAATATTTTTTTATTTGCTCATGAAATGTATTCGAAGAAGACGAAGACGCAGTTTGGCAGGTAACGTGGCGAGAAATCAACCAAACGCTAAGTCCCATCCCATGGAATAGGACATAAACAGACATTAAGTGTTCTAATGATTATTATTTCGAATTTATCATCTCATTTTATTACATATAATCATTCATTTCAACTTTAATACCAAATGAACATCATGAATATAAATGAAAATTTCTAAAGTTATTGAAAAATGCGTTCATTACACATTATCTCGATCTTTCATTTCATCAACATTCCGACCTGTGTTTCAGCACCGCTCAACATTCTGGTACGAATTTCGGCACTCCGCCTTCAATTGGTCAGATAAGTCAAAATCGGCCAATAGAATTTAAGCAGGTGCCGAATCCTATACCGGAATGTTTAAATGCCTCCCGGTCTATTTCGAAATTTCAATAGGAATTCCTGTTATGTTCTGAAATGGATTCGAATGCGATTCAAAGTAATGAGAGTTGTTTCTTACAGCCTTATGAAACTCCCATATCTTCCTAAAATAAATAGTAGTTTGAAAAACTAAAAACATAGGCTTTTATAGTGAGTCAAATCAAAAAGAAGTGGAAATAAAATAATAAATGTATGTTGACAATGTGCTAATATTTTTTATGTTGTGTATTTATCAACACACTTTCATTATTTTGATTTCTACTTCTTCTCAGTTTGGATATCTATAAAAGCGTGTTTGTTAGTTTCTCAAACTTCTATTTATTTTCTAGTTTTTATTTTGCCTAACTACAAAAGCGTGTTATTTAGTTTATCAAATTCTTTGTTAGTGCGCCAACATTTGAAATTTTGGTGAAGGAACATTTTGAATTTTTGGTGGCGGAACATCATCCACCATTTTATCAGAGAAAAAATCGGTTATACTGAATATCCTGATCAGGATAATGGTACAAAACTGTTATATTATGCTCAAGGGTGTCGCCAGAGAGGGGCAGGGTGGGGCAGGGTGGGGCGGGGTGGGGCAGGGTGGGGCAGCTGCCCCCCCCCCTTCTCCCTAGAGGTTAACGCTCACCAGTCACCCTGCTAATTAAAAGGACTATTTCATTCATCACATAATCCGACCAATCACCATCTAGAGACAACGTGAGCTTATCGCGAAAACATTAGCTGTCGTTTAATTCTGATTCGTCTTTCAGCGTTGATGTTTTCAACCATGTAACCATGGATAGCGAAGCAAAGTCTAAAGTCAGTCAGTTTGGCATGAAATAATTATCGCTGTACTTGTCGCAGAATGAAACACTCATTTCTAATAAATGCTTTTTATGCTTCGTGAACGTGAAATAGTCTAAAATATACCACTCTGTTCTGATAACTTTCAATTTGAGCCAAGAACTTCCGAAACAGATTTTTTTTTTCTGAAATCAAGAAGGCTTTGAATATCCTTGTTGCTTCACCTTGTAAGACTTGTACAGTTGAAAGGTCATTTAGTAACCTTCGGAGAATCAAAACCTGGTTGAGGAGAACCATATCTGAATCTCGACTCAATGGGCTCTCAATGATAAGTGACACAGGCAACATATTTTCAATAACTTGAACGATTTCGTCAACAAAGTGACCAACAAATTCACAAAGAACCCTAGAAGATTAAGTGTTCAATTGATTCTCTATATAGATTTTTTTTTCCGTTTCATCAAACTATTCTTATTTGATTTTCCTCTTTAGTTTTTCATGGTGCCCCCCCCCCCTTGCTTACCGGCCGGCTTACACGTGACAAAGGTGGATATATTATGCTATTGATAAAAGTTGCGCAACTGTAAATTATTACTGATTTACAGTTGCAACTGTAAATATGGCAAATAAAACTTCTTTTTCTTGACATCTCCTAATGGGCTTATGTCACGAAAATATTTTATTTCATAATTCGATAGAACTCACCCAAACTAGCTCACCACCGCAAACCGTTTCTTGCTGTGAGCTCCCTACGTTTTATTAAAAAATTATTGAAATCCCCGATTTTGGGGACCTCTGAACACGAGGCGATGATGTGACGTCAAAACCCTAATACTGAAACAAGACTATTCCAGACAGATGGTATTTTCTTTGAACTATGGCGAGATGAGGTTTCTGCGTCATAAGAGGGTCCGTTTTCAGAAGTTACTATTATTTATGTCCAAAAATAAAACATTCCAGTTAATTTTTCGATCGAATTGTCGTCAATCATTATTCATGTATAAAAGGATCATTATAAACATGGTTTGAGTTGAAAGTTCTACTAAGGTGTACACGCCCATTTACAGTTGCAAATGTGAAATTAGCAAAGATTTGAGGAAAAAGTTTCTTTCAGATGGCATCATGGTCAGGCGCGTCGTAGTTTCTATAATATAGTGTCTAGTGTATTTTTTTTATAGTTATCGTTGTCTTGTTTCAGTTTTCAATACAATTATTCTGATGTCGTGTCTTTCATTTTCGTAATGTTATAATGTTAACATCTACATTTCTAAAACTAGCATTTAATATACAGGGTGTTTAAATAACACCAAAAAAATTCAAGGGGTGATTCCTTGTGATATTTCAGGAAATAAAGTTCATATAAAAATGTGTCCTAACTTGCTTCGTTTTCGAGATACAGGATGTTGAAGTTGGAAGTATTGTTTTTATTTATAACCCCCCTATTTAAGCTTTCATGGTGCCAAAAACCAGTATGGATGGAGACTGAGAAAGCCACAAAATTTCAAAATGATTCTAATTGGGGTTATTGAGTAAGCCCCATCCAAGGAGGGAGCCAGTTTCTGTTAGGCAAGGAATAGTGGTTACTTTCAAAATAATCTGGAGATATAATAGATGTGCATATCATCTTAGGGTCTTCAGGGATATAGATTAATAGAATGATATCAGAACATGGATGTTTCTAACATATCAAACTTTGAAAATCTGGTTCTGTATCAGAGACTGGATGTCAGTAATGACACAAGAGATGTATCGCCCTAGAATTTTAATTTTTTTATTACTGAATCCACATAAGACCGTTCAGTCTCAAATATTGAAATGTCAAATATTAAATGCTAAAAGGTTTTATAAAGTCACCCTTTATATAATATGGTTTTCGTGTCCACTTGGTATACTGTAGACTTGTAGAAACTATTTCTAGATATACCTAATATCTGTTGCCAACCCTAATGATTTGTTGTTTGATTCTCAGTGAATGCAAGAATCGAAGACCCCAATAATATGATGACGATCAAGAGAAATGATGACAGCAGCAAAATTACCAGAGACCACGAATTCCTGAGATTCGGCAGAAGATTTGGTTTATAAGACACGTCTTTGTGACTTGTGCATAATTATCCTCATGTATGTGCTTAATCTTAATTAAAGATATGTTTATACATGTTTAGAGGCTATCAACCTCATTCACCCATCCATAAACAAAGTACATATTGAATATTATCGTATCCACCCCGACAGAACTGACAAAGCGAGTCATCATTATAATCGAAACAGTTTTTCTTTTAAAAACTCAAACACTTCATGGTTTCAGCATACCTTATTTAATCTTCGAAATTCAAACAATATTCAAACGTAATTCAAACAATTCAAACAAGAATTCAAATACCAGGTTGGTAGAATTGATGATTATTCCTACAAATTATCATCAATTCTACCAACCATGTTCGAACATATATTTAGCGCCATCTGCAAGTGAAACTCCATCTTTCAGGGTTTCGAATATTGACCGCTAGATGACGCGAGATCGTCAAATTCTGATATAATCAGGCATCCAAAACTTGAAGCTTCCCGATATTTCTCATAATCGCAAGCTTGTTTGGACTCGTTATCTTTCTTTCTACTTTTATGGCTTATAATTTTACGCACTAAAGCGTTCCATAGCAAGACGGTTTCTACAGTGACTCTATACAACGGTTTCGACCGATCAGTGACATCTGTTGAAGGAAGTCTGAACTAATTTTGCTCAAATTTTCGCAGATTCGTCATATATGAGATTGAATAGGTACGAATAGAATTCTGAGAAGACTCGCTGCAGATACTGTGGAATCCTTAGATTCCTGTATGATCTAAGGTGGAATGAATAATGAATCAAAACCAAACATTCTCAAAGTGCTTGTATAAACATGGATCTCAGATCATGATCATGCTGCATTGACTGAAACATAGATCGATGGCGAAGCAAGACGGTTAGCACCAATAAGTGGAATCTGTTAAATAAATGTACATACGATACCTGTAGATAGACGACACTTCGATGGTTTCACCCCCATATTGATGTGTCTATATGGCCTATATATCCAATGGATGTCCACTGGATAGCGACTTATATGGACATGCGGGATATACATTCCGTGGCTCAAAATGTCCAGCTTCTATCCAATATGGACATCCATTGTAAATCCAGAGGCCACAATAGTTTGGATGTCTTGGATGTCCATCCTGTACATCTACTTTACATCTACTGTACATGAATTGTATAACTATTGGACATGAATTGTACAACTATTGGGCAGACGCCCAAAGGAATCAAAGTGTCTTCGAAAGATTATAGCGGCATCGAGTTAATTTCGGACAAAAGGATTCTGAAGCAGAAATCGCTCAACAGCTCACACAAATAATGTCTGGGTCCCTACAAAACTTGATGCTTCCTGATATTTCTTATGTTTGCAAGTTGTGCGAATACTCAAAGCGTTGATTGACATAATTACGCTTACGCTCAAAGGTTATGCTCAAAATGTCTGCAGATTCCTGTAATCGGAGCAGAGTTCTACGTTTCCCGCCACCTGTCGACGCAACTAAGAGCGTCTGAACGAAAGACGAAGACGCACTGTGAAAAATGAAGATCGCTCGGTCGGCATGTTCATGCAGATAGCTACGCGTGACAGCCCAATCTTTGTGTAGTTTCCTCTGTTTCCTTGTAGCTTCCTCTACAGCAGAGATAAGGGTAACGTGATAGCGGCATGGAGCTAATCCCGAACAATAGGATTCTGTAGCCGAAATCACTCAACAGACGAAGGACTCTGTCCCTACAAAACTTGAGGTTTCCTGATATTATTTCATAATTTTCATGTTATGTTTGAGAGTTTGTTTGCAATCAAATATAAGCAAACCGGTTCCGATTAATCAGCGCCATCTGTTGAAGAGTGCCTAAACTAGTTCTGCTCAAAAATGATAATAATTGCTTTAGTGTTTACCCAATTGGCCACCGACCGGAGTCGTTCAGCCTGTAATACATTGATATCTATCGTACTTCATTACTTCGATTGTAAAATAAAATATCATATTTATTGTGAATTATTGTTTGATATAAGTGAAAAATATGAAAATGGTCAACTGAAAACCATGTTCAAAATTTTTGCCGATTCCTGTAATTAGAGCAGAGTTCTGCATTTCCTGCTACCTGTCGGCGCAACTAAGAGCGTATGGACAAATACGCACGGACCGCACGGTGAAACAAATCAAAACAAAACCAAACTTTCAAAGCAGTCAAAGGTTTGTGGCTTGTGTAAAGTGTAAACATGAATAGCCATGAAATAAAATGAAAGTCGCTCGGTCGGCATTTTCGTGCAGGTAGCTACGCGTGACGGCCCCATCTTTGTGTAGTTCCCTCTGTTCCCTCGTAGTTCCCTCCATTTTGTAGCGCCATCTTCGTTTGTTTTGACTCGACTCTACTTTGTTGTTGGAAAGTGTCGTCGGGTCGTGAGCTTTAATGAGTTAAAAATTAATTAAATAACTGAAAACCATGTACCAGACGCCCAAAAGGAACAAAGTGTCTTCGAAAGATGATAGCGGCATCGAACTAACCCCGGACAATAGGATTCTGAAGCCGAAATCGCTAAACAGCTCGGACAAAGGTACATACAACGGCAGCCCGAGTTTATTGTCCCCCAGCGAGACGAGACGGGGCAGACCTAGGGCCGATCTGCTAAACACGCTCATCCTGGAAGGTTCCACCTCGCCTAGCTCGATAAAATGCAAATATTGCGGCCGGGTATTTCCCAGGGAAAAATCCCTGCAGGCCCATCTCAGGACCCATACAGGTGAGAGAGATGAACTTTAAATACCTGTTGTACGTTATCCGTTATTTAAATGTCTGGTGGTTATCTTTGGGATTATTCAACGGCGACCTCGATTGTTTATTCACGTCGTTCCTCATGAACGTGTGTTTTTGTTGGTTGTAAAGGTTCAAAGATTTGCATAGAATAATTTAAAGGTAGAAATATTTATGTAATTCAGTATTGTTATGGTGCCTACTATTAGGCAGTAATAATAAGGCACTGATGTTCTAGATGACATAACATCAAATCTGCTTTTCCAATCAAAACATGCTGTGCTTAATTTATTTTTGCTTCAAGTGATATAGTAACCATAATAATGAATTGGTTTCCATTATATACCTCAGAACTGTGGGGTTAATGACCTTGATTAAAATGCAATCTTTAGGTATATTAAAGAGATATACATAGGTAGGTAGGTATAGGTATTTTGTTTATTATTATTCATTAGTGTGGCTTTATTAATGATAAATTATTGCTTGAATACAACATTTATAACAAATATTATTCCACACTACCTACAGCAAGGTGTACAGTAAGAAAGAACAAATCATGAAAATTGACCAGATAAATTAAATCCAATCTGAATAAAAACATGTTACTTCAAGACTTTCTAATGTATAAATCAAGCTATACTGTATCTATGTAGAATTGTCTCCCTATAGATCTTACTGGCCCAAAAATGTTGGGAAAAAACATTAATTTCAAAATAAAAGTGCTGAACTGAATAAATTAGAGGGGATCAACAATTGAGAAATTCAGTGGCGTAGCTATAGACGGGCAGTTCGGTGCGGTGCACCGGGGCCCCGGGGCATTGGGGCCCCGGAGGGGCCCCTATATTCCCATCTGCATTAGCAGGTATAATGCAAGAAAGGATTGGTGTGCAAATTAATTCATGAACCCTAACTTTTTTAATCTTTGTCAGATTTTTGTGAAATTTCGATCAAATCGTAGATTCATGTTCCGGAATGTTAGTCTAAATATTATTAGTTTCTGTGAAAAACTGATGACTTGATCATTAAATAGGGAAATACCAAAGTTACTATTTCACCCTTTACTTCTTAACGCCATGTGGCAAAATTGAGTTATTGAACTTGGCTTCATTATGCTCTGGATTGAAGTTTGATCCCACAACACACACACAATGGTTGCTGATTCACGTCAATAACTCGTTTTTAAGAGAATCTTGAGAGTGTCTTGAGAAATTATGGCATTTTTCAATTATTTTTAACAATAATCAGATCCTACATCAACTTATTGAGTAGCAACTTGAGGAATCAATATTACTAATTTCTACCTCATTTTTATAGCACACACCTAAAGAAACCTCAAATACAAAAAACAAACAAAAAGCAGACCTGTAGTCAATAACAGGTATGCTCTCCTCGAGTTTGAATTACAGCATTTAACCGCTCTGTCATCGAGTTGATCAAATTTTTCAAGTGGACTTGGAGAATGACTAAAATTCTTCAATTGTAGCTCTTGAAGAGTCTCTGACAAGGCTGGACGAATGCGAATGAGCCTCTGAAGTTCATTCCTAAGATACTCTAGAGGTTTTGAATTATTGTTGACAAAAATTAAAAAATTCCATACTTCCTTCGAACACTTGTATATTCTCTTTAAAAGGAGATATTGACGTGAGTCTTGAACCAATATGCTGAGAAAGGACGAAAAAGGATCAAATTTCAATCTTAAACATATGAAGCCAAGTTTAACCACTCACTTTTTCCACAGGGCAATAATAGGAAGTTAAGGGTAAAAGAGTAACTTTTGTTTGTCCCTGTATAATGATCAAACCATCAGATATCCTCGCAAGAAAATATTCCGAAACATGGATATACGCCTATGAATGTTGAACTCAACTGTGATTTTACGATATGAAATATTGCTGCCAACAGCGAGATCATATCATAATCGTCAGTTGAAAGCACGGTTGGAAGCTAATCAAAACGGTCACAGGCTGAATATACTTACCTATGAAAATTTGCGTCCTTATACACGTGTCCTAAATATTTGATTGTTTTGATTTGGTTGCCCTGTTGGAGTCATTTTCATGCTACCAAAATCTTAGTACTCATTGATAATAACTATCAGATTCAAAATACATTATAGTTGTTTCAACTAAATACCGTGAAATTTCTGCAAAAGTCACTGCATGGTACAAACGGAGGTGAGGCGATGGACAAATAGCTTCACTCAGATTGCAGAGAACAAGCGGAGGTATCAGGTGGCTGCCATGGCTCGTCAACATTTGCAAAAACAATTCTTAAACTTTGTCATTTCGTGACTTCATTCGAGAGAACAGAAAAATACTTAGGTACGTTCAGTTGCTTTCATTGGAAATAAAATTAACTGAATTCATACTCAAGAGACAAATATATTCGATTCTCATTTTGAACTCCTGAACCAGGCAGCTTGACCTTGAAATTTCGAAAAGAATTGCCTCAAGCGCAATTTTGCTCATATCAGCTTTCTCAAATTTCAAACTCATAACGACTCGCCACTACAAGAGATATACATTTTTAACAATTCTGTTCTTTTTTTTTCGATCTTCAACTACCTTTTACTCTAGGGTTGGAAAATTTTCTCAGTGAATTAGGGCCCCATCAACCCTCGTTGCACCGGGGCCCCGACACCTCTCGCTACGCCACTGGAGAAATTCTGTTGAATTTTCAAATTCTTATCTTGCACCACTCAAAACTAGAAATTCCGAATTGAAACATCACTTATATCCACCCTGTATAATTATGGGACATAAAAATAAATCAAAATTATTACACATTTGTCTAATAACCAGCATTATCATCATTCCCATTATTGCAACACAGTGATTTTTTTCTTTATACATCAGCAGACATTATTCCTTCTACAAAAAAAGTCATATCTTTCAAGTAATTGATGCATGATAGTCAAAAATATTGGAATGGTAGATGGAGTTCATGGAAATGCTTGAAAAAAGTTGCTGAAATATTCATGACATTCCATTTAAAAAAATTCCAAGGACTACCTAGATTTCTAGATATCTTGCCATGGATTTTGTGCCCTATGTATGTTTTGACAAAAACAATCAGTGGCAAGATATTTTATCCCAAAAAAATTACAATTTCAGATTTTTTTTTATTTTAGGGGTGACAATGGGGTAAAATTGATACTAGTAAATCATAGAACAGTATGACTTCAATTGATATTATGGCCTATGTATTTTTTGACAAAAAAATACATGGCAAGATATCCTTTGTTATTTTTTCTTTTGATTTTTTGAGCAAAAATGGGGTAAAAGGAACAGGTGAATAATTACTCTATTTCTTCTACTACTGCTAGGCATTCTTATTGATGAAAACATCTGCACTCAGATATTTCATTTTCAAAGTGCAAATTATTGCTCCATGGCCTGCTTTACTGGATCTTCCATCTTGCTGCTGGAGGGGACCATCTTGCTCTTGCTGGCTTTATACCAGTTGCATGTGGCAATAATTTCTTTTCATAGTCATATAATATTAAGAACATAATATAACCACCAGAGAACTCACCTACAACCCCCAAAAGTTCAAAAAAATTTTGACACCTACCTACCTACCTCCTCACTTTATCCTCTCTATAAAAAACTATTGCCCACTCTAGAATTTTTTTTTCTGGTTCATCAATTTTAAAGGAAGTAAGGAATGCTTGAAGTCAATCAATCACCATTAGGTAATAGTAACCTGCAGATTAAGTTCCTCTTTGGTTTTTCTTCTAATTTTTATCCACTGACAGGTAAGGAGTGTTGGCAACAGTGATGAATATATGTAATGGATCTGATTGGTTGTTGTTTTTACATGATGGTTTTCAATGGCATTGATATGGGGGAATTCACCTCCCTTCCCCAAAACCATAATAAAAACCTTGAAATATTACAAATTCCTAACTCAAATTGACACTAAAACATTAAAATTTGGACCAGCCTATTTTGTAACATACCTCTATTAGTAATATTCTTTTTACCAACTTTGACTGAGATTGACCAAGATTCTCAGTACAGCTCAATAGCTCAGTTGTATAACATGTTTCATTTAGCTTAGTCTGATGTGAGTTGCCTTAAGAACTTATTGAGACTATTTCTTTCCCCTCACCCCAACTGAGCTTGCTATTCATCTGGTGTTGTAGTGAGAAAAAGGTGAGACTGGATTAATTCTAGTAATTCTGAGGTTCTGTGCTGAAAATTGTGAGGTTATATTTTCATTTTGTCGAATTTTCAGCTTTGAAGTTACAGTCCACAGGTTAAATCCTTTGAATACTCACTACAATAATATTTCTATGCTCTTCATTAATTTCCTCGGTCATTTTACATTTTGGTTGAATTATGTTAGGTTATGTTTTCTTCCCTTGCCCTTCCTGACAGATGAAAGTATGTTCTTTTTATCCAATCGACAACTCTGATCCATCTCACCTCCTTCTAACTCAATTGATCTCAGTAGTGAGAATGTAACAAGGTAAAAAGAATATTGCTATTGTGGTGCTCAATTAACCACAATTAACCAATAACATATAGACTCAATCATTTAGGTAGTTTAAAATCAAGGTTTAAATAAACGTTATTATAACTAAAAATAATTTTTTTTTGCTACAGAAAAAATATCTGCGCCCTTGATGGATTTCACCGACCAATTGGAATAATCCAGTTGCAATGATTCTAACCTAACTGCTCTTGTTTTAGTTTTTGTCTGAGTTAATTTTTTATTTTCATAATAATTATATGGATTTTGTGGGAAATTACCTGTTGGATAGAAATGGGATCATGGATATTGTGGAAATTCTTCAACATGAATGCAGGCCTTATGCAATAAGAAAAAAAGTCATTAATTTTGAGAAATGTGATGACCAAGATTTCAATGGAAGATTCAGGATGAAAGAAACTGCAATTTCAATATTAGAAATTCTTGGGTTTTACTCGAATTTTTATCAAGAAATTCCTTTCTTCAGGTGTGAAATTGTTCTTTTTTTTTTTCGTTTTATCAATATTCTCATATCCTTATCATTGTTGATACTAAAAGAGCTTATGTGCCACAAAACAAAACACATGAATAATCTGTTATATTATGGGCTATCATGCATAACTTATCTGCCAGTTGAAACTAACAGATAAAGCTATTAGGCAGTTTAACTGCTAGACCCACCTTTCCAAATTGAGTGGCAGTTAAAAGTTAAGTGTTGAATCTTTATCTGACAGATACATTTCAATTGATAAATCGGCCCTTGAGTGGAAAGGAAAACGACCGAAACATTCCCCTTTTTCTTTCCACAGTCCCAGGCGAGAAGCCGTTCACGTGCGCCGCCGCTTGATGCGTGCGCACCTTCACGCATGTTCAAAACATATTATAATTATTATAATATAACCAGCTGACCCTGCATAGTTTATTCCCATATGAAACAATGTTATCTCGCCAATCGGCGAGTGTGACGTCACAGACAGACCTGGTTAACATTGTTTACATGTAAATGGTGGGGAATTAACTGTTCTAGCAAAGATTATTTTCATTATTACAACAAACTGTGGTGTTCTGGAAGTTTTAAGGGTTATTTTTTTATGAATAAACAAGTTCTGTATGAAATAAAGAAAACCCAAACAGGCAAACTTTAGAGTGATATTCTGGACTCTAGACCCTGAGGTATACCTCTGATTGATATATTACTGTACTTGTTGCTGTTGCCAGAGGTCCTCAAGAATTTGTACAAAATCAAAAGTAAATAATTGCATGTTACATGTTTCTGAAAATAACTGATAAAGATTTATTTTTCTTAATTAACTTATCCGAAAAAGTATTGTTTCTATGTTTCTCTATAACTCCCGAGATCCCAAGTGATGGGGTCCCGTGAGTAGGGGGGCCCCGTGAGATTTTTCTCACCACCTCAGTGGGCCAGTCCGACACTGGCGCCAAAAATAATCCCGAAACGGTTCACGCTCGAGAGCAGGTACTGGGTTTGGATAGTATAGACTTATAGAGAGTTGAAGTGTTACCGTAAACGTAGAAATTGGCAGCTATGCATGCGCTTATTTCAATTATTCACGTGGGCTTACGGGTGTACGTTATCTCTTGTACTTTCACACATACCTTAAATATCAATGTACGTTAACCAAACTATACTCGAAATATGCCCTTGAGTCAAAATTATCTAATTCAGGATCCCCAAGGAGTTCTGCAGCAAGGAGTCCTCTCATTTTAACAAGAATATATGTTCAGATCTAAACAAACAACTAAAAATGACCAATACAAACCGAAACAAATTGTATTATTACGTTACGATGACAGCGACGACCAAAGTGACGAATTTAACTAAATTTAAAGACAATACGTAAACGTTATTTTTCGTACGTTAATGTCTACGTAGTCTATGTCTATGTACAGTGATTACTTCAACTCTCTGGGGTAGAGAGTTGAAGTACTGCCATGAACGTTAACGTAAGCGTAGAAATTGACCGGTACGCGTGCGCATTTCTCGTTTTTGCACGTTTGCGTTGGTAGTGGGCTTATGGGTGTTGATATCTTGCGTACTTTCACGTACACCTCACATATCAACGTAAGTTAACCGAAATATGCCATTGAGTCAAGATTTGGATCTCCAAAAAGTTCTTCAAGGATTCCGTTCATTTTAACACGAATTAATGTTCAGATCAAAATAACAAACGAAAAGGACCAATACCAATACCTACAAACCGAAAACAAAAATTTATTTTTATGTTACGATGACACTGAATATAAGGATAATCCGTAAACGTTATTTTCCGTACGTTAACATCTACGTGGAGGTCTACACACAGTGTGTACTTTAACTCTCTAGTTCTAGGACTGTCCAAGGACGAATCTGAAAAATTTCGAACGCGACCTACTGCGCAAACTGTGACAGTTCTAGAACAGTAATTGTTCGAACACGAATTATCCTAAAATAGGTTTGTTCGTGTTCCAAGTCGTTAAATAAGTCCTTGGACTGCGCAGAATCAGGTGCGCATCAAATTCAATCCGAAACGAGTCTGGGATAGTTTTGAAACAAGAAAATCGAAAACGGCGTTTTCCCGTCTTCTCATTTTCTTTATCGAAAATATGCTGTCTTGACTCCCATGAATCGAGAGCATATTTAGGTTAGAGTAATGTTGATGTTATCATGAAACAATCCCAAAATTCAAGACCTGAACATAAACCTTTCCCACTAAAATATTCATACACTTATACATTTACCAAAAATGATGCGTGAATTCTCCATCTACAGATTCATTCAAAACCACCATTCTCCTGATTGGTATTGAGGATTTCCAGCAGATAACATGTTCAACAATAGACCAATTGTTTAGAACAACAACAACAACAATCACCAGCAAAAAGATTTACACAGTGTGGTCCTGAAATGTGGTTAATATCGTTCAGATAAATGATAAATAGCAATGGACCTAACACACTGCCCTGGGGTATGCCACTCTCTATTATAAGTTCATCTGCCAATTCTTTTCCAAATTTAGTTTTTTGTCTTCTGTTAAATAGGTAACTTTGACTCCAATCCAATACAATCCCCGATATCCCATAATACTTTAATTTTTCAATCAGAATAGCTCTGTCGATTGTTTCAAATGCCCTTTCGAGGTCGAGAAACGTTGCAACAATGTACTGATTTCTATCAATTATATCTTTCCACTCACTTACTAAAAATTGTAGAGACGTTTCACATGAGTGTTTAGTTCTAAACCCTGATTGGTTGCCCAGAAACAATTCATTGGTATTAAAGTACTGAATTAATTGGTTATATACAGATAGTTCAATAACTTTTTCCAGTGTAGGTAATATATTTAATGGTCTAAAATTTTCAGCTTTAATTGAATTGATTTTTGGTACAGGAACAACAGTGGAGACCTTGAATGGATCAGGAAACACACCGGTTCTAAGAGATGTGTTAATAACATTTAATATTGCTATTTTTTAAGAAATTATTATTCAAAATTTCTGCTTTGTTAGTTTTGTTAAGAGAGAATATAATGCTTGTTAGTTCATTATTTGTTAAAGGCACGAATTCAGTGAAAGTAGTTGAAATAACAGGGTAGTCATGTGTCCACTGTTGTACATTTTGGAATACTGATGTTATTTCATTAACACTTTCTATAAAATATGAATTAAAATTATTTGCAATGTCTAGTTCCTTATTTAAAATTACATTTTGGTGATTAATCTTAAACTGTATACTAATACTTCTTTGTTACTGCGCATGCTTCTGATGGTTTCGGACTGCTAATTTTGTGACCGCGGACAAACCTAATATATTTCTTCCAGGCGAGAAACCGTACGCGTGCGACTTCCCGCGTTGCCCGCGCAGGTTCGCCCAATCGGGCCAGCTGAAGACGCACCAGCGGCTGCACACCGGCGAGAAGCCGTTCGTGTGCGCAGCCGCCAGATGCGCGCGCACCTTCACGCACGCCAACCGCCATTGCCCCGACCATCCCGAGCACGCGTTGAAGCGGTTCGCCGCGCGGCCCGAGCCGAGCGTCAGCCAGACGTGCGACGAGGAGCACAACGCGGAGGTGCGCGAATGGCTGAAGAAATGGGACAGGTAAGTGGCGGCAGCAATGACCTCAATATAAACACCTGGGGCCTTATTTTTGAATCGAGAGAACGATGTCCTCTGGGGAATTGATTGATTGATTGATTAATAGCAGAATGATCAGTCAGGGTTCAAAGCCCAAAACACTGCAGCCTTTGGGCCTATTGTATTCCTGATCATGCTGTTGACTTAGGTGAACAGGTTTGCTACCTTGATAAGGTTCAGCAGCCTCTTCACCAAATCATTCGTTGGAAAAGCCTCTTGAGAGTTTAATGCTCCCAGAAGGTTGTATCTCCAACGTGCTAGTGCTTCGCACTCCAATATTACATGGGTGGCAGTTTCCTCATTGCATAGTCTGCATATGGGTTCGTCTGTATAGATGCCCATTTGATGCATATGTTTCCTCAAGGGGCAGTGACCGGTTATTAGTTCCGTCACTTGTTTGATCTGACTTCTGTTTAGGCTCAGAATGTCGTTAGTCACTGTTCTGGACAGTGTTTCAACCATCAGTTTACTGTGTCTTTGTCCTGGGACATTGTTCCAGTATGCCTGATGTCTTTCTTGCATCCACCTTGCCAGCCAGCCGCGTATTGAGGTTTTGGGGATACCGAACACAGGCTCCGGTCCCATAAACAACGCCGCAGACCCTTGCCTAGCAAGAGCGTCACCTGTTTCATCGCCTTCAATTCCCTTATGCCCTTGCACCCATTGAAGAGTTACCTTGTTGTGGTTAGCCAGGGTTAGCAGGCTTTGAAGGCAATCCCAGACCAGTCTTGATCTGATTTTATTGCATCTTAATGATTCAATGGTCGCCTGACTATCTGAGCATATGAGGATTTGTTTACCTCTGTATCCTCTTACGATATTCTCTCTCAGACATGCCTTAATAGCATGCACCTCTGCCTGGAATACTGAAGCATACCTTTACAAGGAAGCACAAATCCTAGTTGTGGGTCTATATCCATATATTCCGGCTCCCGTACCCTCATCAGTCTTAGATCCGTCAGTGTACCACACTAACGTGCCTTCCTGGCAGTTAGTCAAGACCATTTCATCCCAGTAGAGCTGAGTGTTGAAGAGTCTGTAATGTTATTTCTAGGCAGCATTTTGTCACTTCCCATTTCCATTAGTGGGCTTGAAACTAGGCTGATTATTTTTGTATGTCCCAGCATGCTCTAGAGAATGCTTTGTGTAAAATGTTTACAATGTCACTTTCCACTGCTTTTTTAGGTGGATTATGAGAGAAAACGGAACAGAGATTATGTTTCTCTCGTTATCTATCCAGAGAAACAGCGGAGAACGACATAATTTGTTTCTAAACTGAGCAACACGCCCACTGTTCTATCGGCGGAATAGTTCCCACGATTCAAAAATAAGACCCCTGGAAGGGACCCTCTGAACGACGAGTGAGGCAAAAATATTGTTCAGGCAACCCGCAGTGTTAACGTATACCTATCTCTTTCTATCTTATGTTGGCTAATGGGAAGCGCTTGCATTCTTTGAAATATTTTCTCATTTTTTGATTTTATTCAAGAGTAAACTTGATTAGGAAAAAGGATAATGTTGCAATCAATTATCATTAAAACATTATTATTGATTTTTTATTGACTGGAAAATGATATTTCATTCCCATTCTTACAGGATTAGGAAGACAAATGAATACAAAATTGAAATTATATATTCTCATTCAAATGTCACAATATATAGTACAGGGTGAGCGAATTACAATGTCTCAGCACTATCAGAAGAAAAAGAAAAACGATAGGAAAAATTTGAAAAGAAGTTCTCGAATTGTATTGAGTACCTAAGGTCCATTTTGAGCATAATTTTTCCATTAGGTCACTGCATACAATTCAATCCCTATTAGAAATTAAAAAAATACAATTCTCAATACAATATCCTTCTCCAATGGAACAGTTTGGGTTTCCTTATTTATGAACTTCGAAACTTGGGAGCTGGAAGTCGTAGGCAAATCAAAGTCCATAATATGAGAAACATCTTCCTCAGGACCCAAGTTATGAACGTCCACAGATGCATCCTGAAAATAAATTACTAGCTACTTTTTTTCAAAAGAGGTGCAAACATACTTTTTTTTTTCATTAATAATCATCTAGGTACCTATGAGTTCTCTTATTTTCCTGCGAGGATCAGCATTTTTATTGGTAACAAATGCTTAGGAAATGAAAATATACTGGGTACAGCCTCTGGTTTCAATAACCTAGCATTACCTGGTATGTTTAAATAAATAATCAGTTGGCAGGAAATGCTCCCCACAAAGCTTGCTGGTTTTAGATGGAATCCAATTCTCTCTACGAAATGCCTGAATCCATAATTCTGAATGGAAAACTGCAACAAATAATATTACTTAATATGTTTGTGGAAAAGTCATGGAGGTGTTTAACTTTGACAAATAATATAGGTATAGTTTTTGAACATATTCTGAGACTGGGAACATTGTACACCTAACTGATGATCATTTCAAGAACTATATTTTCCAAAAATCTTAACAATATTCAACTTACCCATGGAATGACAATTTCCTTTTGCCTTGCTCGTTCTTGCATCCAAAGGCGACACAAGTCCCCCAAATCCGATTCGGAGGACCATCTCGACCCCTCGTCCCGCTCGCCCCGTGGGCAACCCTGCGAGTTCGACTCGCTTCGAGGGCAGCCCTCCAAGCTGCAATCCCGAATACAACAACTTTGGCCATTAAATAAACTTCATCGGGAGCATTATTCAAAAATTCACCATGTCTAATCGCTGCTTTCTTGGGCTTCCAACCTTTTTCATTTTGTTTCAGGAATGTAATTAGTTTGGGATATTTCGAAATGTCTACATTATTATTGGATTGTAACATACTTTTAATCATCGAATAATTTGACCCGAGGGGTAAATCACTGGGGCAGTCCGGTGTACATTATTTTGGCAGTCCGTGGCAGTCCGGTGGCAGTCCGTGGCAGTCCGGTGGCAGTCCGGTGGCAGTCCGTGGCAGTCCGGTGGCAGTCCTTGGCAGTCCGGTGGCAGTCCGGTGGCAGTCCGGTGGCAGTCCGGTGGTAGTCCGGTGGCAGTCTGGTGGTCTCTCGTCTCTTCTCTCGTAATCCGACAATTATCACAAACTGAATTCTAAATTCGAAAATTCAAGAGGGCGTTCGCAAGGTGGCGGCGACTTTGTTATTTATTCTCGGATTTACCTGAAAATGTACACGTAGGGGTTCTCGAGATTGGCAATTTCGAATTTCGAGTCTAAATTTTAAAAAACAAGATGGCTTCTGTAGGGAGGCGTCAGTTTTTTTTTCATCTCTTGGAGCGCACGAAAGGTAGTTCCTATAATGGGGAAAAGAAATCAGTTATTCTTGGAGTAATCATGATTTTCGGGTTAGTTTTGAAATTCTAGATGGCGCCTACGATGGGACGGAAAACTTTGTCATTTTTTGTCCGTATCGCCTGAATAAAAAAAGTTCACCTTGGGGATCTCAAGCTCCAGAGTTGATACCCACGCAAATTTGGTGTATTATAGGCATACTGCAATTGCGCGCAGCGGTCAGTATTCTCAACAGTCTGTCCTAATCTCGGTCCTAATCTTCGTCCTTATCCCATAGTGCAATTGCACGCACGTCCCAAAAAAGGTATGCTGTAATTGCGCGCAAAGTAGGGAACATATAAAACGGTAGTTTCATCAAGTTTCATATTATGTTTTGAACTCATTCTAAAATATAATCATTTCCGAAAAAGGAAGCAGACTTCTTTTTGCAAACAACCTAACCTAACTCGGCATGATAATAATATATAATATGAGGAAGAAAAATATTCTTTCTGCATAAGAAGGGAGACTAATTTTTCTAAACAATCTAACCTAGCTCGACCTAATATATAGATGATATGAACAAGGAGAATATTCTTTTTGCATAAGAGAGGATACTACTTTTTATTAACAATTTTGTATTTATACTGTATTTAACCAATAAGAATTCACAAAATTTCAATAAGAAAATAGATCTCAGAGCAGTACCTGTTTAAGAATTTGTTTATCTATACCTGCCTTAATCCTTGTACATATCTGATTCACTATATATGTATCGACCTGTAACTCAAGTATTTCTGGAATGTTTTCAAAATTTGAAAAACTGTAGAAATTAATTTTCAACGATATTTTTCACGTGTTATAAAAAATTATGTGGTTTAGGAACAACCCAATTACATCAGGAAAGAATATTTGTGGTGAATCACACTGTATACTCTTGACAATAATTTTCAAGTATAAGAATCACGAATTTACGATGAAGGTCGAATTTTCTGAAAATGTACAACGAGGATTTTTTTGGGTAGTGCATTACGATTTATAGGTGAACAGGGTGAACCTCGGGGTGAACCAATACTGAGGGAAAGTGAGATAACGGCTTTGCTGTTTGAGATCGATAAACAAGAAATTTTGAGATGCTCTAGGCTGATGAGCAGTACATTTGTAAAATATTTTGCGCTATACAGGGCGAATCTGAAATGAGTGGTCTATCAAAGTTATACTTTTTCTTATGGGACACCCTGGAAATGAGTGGTCTATCAAAGTTATACTTTTTCTTATGGGACACCCTGATGTGAAAATGCATTGAAATTGAAATCGTTCGCCATCTTATGGGACGCCATCTTGAATTCTCAAATGCGACTCAAAATGCGTATTTTTCAATCACGATTTTGTGACAAATTGATAAGGAAATGACAAAATCGTTTGAATTTGAATATTTAACTCGGAATTCTGATATCTCAAACTTTAAAACCCCAGAGTTTTCATTTGGGGCATTTTGGGGCGAATCTGAAATCCTGAAATACAATTCAAAATTCGTATTTACTGAGATATTAACGAACCAAGACAAATCCTGATTTGACCTTCCAAACGGAATGAACGAAATAAGTACCTATATCAATTTTCAAATTTTCACTCAAAATTCGTATTGTTTATCCTCGAAAATTTTGTGCTGAACATTTTCAGGCGAATCGACAGAAAAATAAAAACATCGGCTTTCTATTGACGTGTATTTCCACTTATATTGCACCGCAAAAAATATCTTCATTTCATGTATATTAACCGAGATATGTTATGTTATATACAGGAATGTTATAGTTTCCGGATCAGTTTCTTATGCCATAGGTTTCCAATGAGATCTTCATATCGTAGGTCACGGTTGATGATTTATTTCTTCTATGTTAATCACCATCGGGGATGCATTTCTAGTACTCATTCAGTCAGAACGGTTTTCGTGAATTTTGTTCTTGTGGTGAATTGAAATTTCCAAAAAACAGCTTTATTTTTATTGGAACACATGATTGAGTGATAGTCCATTACATTTCGGTGGCAGTCCGTGGCAGTCCGGTGGCAGTCCGTGGCAGTCCGGTGGCAGTCCGTGGCAGTCCGGTGGCAGTCCGTGGCAGTCCGGTGGCAGTCCGGTGGCAGTCCGTGGCAGTCCGGTGGCAGTCCGTGGCAGTCCGGTGGCAGTCTTGGCAGTCCGAGTATGAATGGCAGTCCGGTGTACACGAATTTGCTCAGTGATTTACCCCTCGATTTGACCACACTGTTGATGGCTTTTGTTGCTGTACCAGTTCAGATAAATAGGCCAATACCACCGTTTCCGATAAAGAACTGCATGATTTTTTCATCCTCCATTCCATGAATCTTGAATACGCGGTTTCGAAATTTTCCGCGATTTAGCTGGCAATAATTTTTGTGAAGCTTCTTCCGCTGCTTCAACTAACTCCGGTGGAGTAAGAGAAAACCCGAATTCAGACATTCAATATTATTCAAAATAATTACTAATACTAAATCACTACAAAAATCAAACCACAGAATTAAATTGACAGAATATGACAATAGAATGACATAGCAACAAAGATGCCTATAATGGAGGTGTAAGAACTACAAATTTCACATTTATGATTTTCTGATTATATGTATGTAATATCTTTTCAATATTAAAGCGTCTTTCTTCTTGTCACAGAAAAAAATAGTGTATTATACACGGGAAAAATATTCAATTTTAGCTCACGGTTTGTTGTGACAACACATCCTCGAGCTAAAATCCAATCCTTTCCCTTGTATAATAAATAACTATTATTCCACCATCCCCAGGCGGAACAAAACCTCCCAGAGCTCCGACGAGAACCTCGACACCACCCCGAAAAAGTCCATGTTCAACCGCGACGATTCCCTACTCGACCCCGCCGCCACCTCCCCCGCCTACGACAAGTCCCCCAAATCCGACCCGGAGGACCATCTCGACCCCTCGTCCCGCTCGCCTCGAGGGCAGCCCTGCGAGTTCGACTCGCCTCGAGGGCCGCCCTCCGAGCTGCCCAAGAAGCGGTGGCTGCGCGAGGCCGTCCAGGACAGGAGCCTGTGGGACTCGACCAACGATCTGGCGTGCCCGATCAACTGGGGCGAGGAGGGGGCGGAGGCGAAGGAGGAGAAGAAGGTACGTCTCGGTCACTATTCTGCGCATGACGTCACTGTCATCGTTATTTGAACGTTGTGAAAATTTAACATCATAAGTGTTTGGGATCACACGTTAAAGGTGAGTTCCCAATGCATCGTTTTTGCTTTTCGCGTCACGCATTCTGATTGGTGACGCGGAATTCGAGTATAATTTGAAGCGATGAAGTTAAAATATTTTAACTTTCTGGCGTTGCTGCTAGGTGATATGTCATTTATATTCGATTTTGGGCTGTTGTTTGCGGTTGAATTGAGGTTATGTCTTGAAAAACTTTCAATAGTTTCAAATTATTGAAGTAAATACAGGTATGAACTATGGATAATGAGGACGTTCTAAGTGTAAGTTTATTCTTATTGTTGAGAATGGTCTAATGATTGTTAAATAATTACAGTATCACTGTGGAATGTGCACTGAAATCATCAACTGTAATGGTAGGTCTGACCCAGCATGATCTTATGTTTCCCTGTCTTCTTCGTCTTCTCAGTAGATAAGCTAATAGCAGCAATTTTCTCAATCTATTTTTGTTTCTTGCTTCCATTTTATTAGATTATTTTCATCTACTTTGACATTTTCCTGACAATAACGACATAGCTAAACATCATTCATTGGGAACTAAACAATAATCAAAAAAGCGGTACAGCAATTCCGAATTACGCGTCACCAATCAGAGTGCGTGACGCGTGACGCGAAAAGCAAAAACGATGCATTGGGAACTCACCTTAAATGGTAAGACCCCCGTCATTCCTTGCTCGCACAAGTCTAAAAGGATAAATCTTCGGACCGAAGACCTCGCGATATACAGGGTGTCTGTAAAAGGTTGGGACATGGCTCGGCTGTGGACTCCTGGGATGAAAACAAGTTGATTTATGCCAACTTACCTATATCCAAAATCGTCTCGTTGAGTTGGTACAAGGCGTTGAAGTGTTTTTGGAAAAAAATAATTTTGCTCATAAGAAGAGTAGGCTGAGATCAATTTTCATAATTTTTGGCATGGTATGTTCTGTGACTGTAAAACACGTTTTGAGATGTTTTTCATCATCATCAGTGACCTGCAAGTGTTTCAAACAACCATGTTGCCGTACAAATTTGGTGATAACTTTTCAGGGGTCAGACTGGAACCTTCCAGTTTTTTTTTCCAGAAAGATATTCCCTTCATAAATATTTTTCGTATCGTATTAATTTTTGATAAATCTCGAGGTTCATTTGCAAATAAATAATTTCTGATCCAAGGCATCTTATGCATTTTTCAGAAAAATAATCTAATTAGTCGAACTGTTTATTGATCATGGCTACACTGTATTCTTATTGTGAACACACTGATATGTTGCTGGTCCTCACGGGCTTTACAAGAAGTCTCGCGTTACAAATTTAGTGGTAACTATTCATGACCTAAGGTGAGAACATTAACGCCATGTACCAACTCAAGGAAACGATTTTGGAAATAGGTAAGTCCGCTACAATCAACTTATTTTTATCTCAGGAGTCTACAATCGAGCCATGTCCCAACCAGATTACATTTTATTCAAATGCATAAGGTGCCTCAGATCAGAGATATTATTTATTTGCAAATGAACTTCGAGATTTCAAAAATTCAATTCAGAAATTAACAGGATACAAAAAGTATTTCTTAAGGGAATATCTTTCTGGAATAAAAAACTGAAAGTTTCCAGTCTGACCTCTGAAAAGCTATCACCAAATTGGTACGGCAACATGGTTGTTTGAAACACTTGCAGGTCACTGATGATGATCAAAACCATTTTTAAACGTGACTTACAGTCACAGAACATGCCATGCCAAAAATTATGAAAATCGATCTCAGCCTACTCTTTTTATGAGCAAAAGCATTTTTTTCCAAAAAAACTTCATCGCCTTGTACCAACTCAACGAGACGATTTTGGATATACGTAAGTTGGCATAAATCAACTTGTTTTTATCCCAGGAGTCCACAGCCGAGCCATGTCCCAACTTTTTACAGACACCCTGTATGTTCATCATTTAATGAAACATGTAATGATGATGATTTGATTACTTCTTCGCAAAATATTGCCCATGTTTTGTAATGTTACCTATATCGCGTTCGCTTGCGGGTCGTGAGTGTCATATAGTATGTTTATACTATATTGTAATATAATTTATTACACAACTTTATTACTTATTATTTATTAACTTTCTTTAACAGTTCCACCTTATATGATCACGATACATTCTAAACACGACATGACGTTGACATTGACATCGACATTACAGATGACAGTCTCCAGTGCTGCCACATTCATGTGAGCACAGATATGTGGATGAAGATATGTCACATGCCCACCCTAAACACAACAGGTTCAATAGGGTATACGCGTGTGAAAATTTTACACTGGAATATATTTTTGTTCCATTACTCATGTGTATAAATGTCGAATTATACATCCAAAAAACATTATTAAGCACCGAATATTTAATAATTTCTGATTGAAAATCATAATATTTGCAACTTTCCGACCAACAGCCGAACTGCAGCGATGATTTCCGACTGGATGTGGCTGTTTTTATTTGTCATGTCAAACATTCATGGGAAAATATAGAAGAAGAATACCATGGCTGCATGTTCATGCCCGAAAGATTGAAAATAATATAAGAGAAAGTGAGGTTATGATTATCTGAGCTTGTAGTTTCTATAATGTATCTCAATTATATGATATATTCTGAATAATAATAACTGAATAATAAGCAAATATCTACAATAAGAAGGATCAAACAGGACTTCTTTTTGCATGTTGTTTCAAATATATATTACTACCTATCAATATTTATATCTCATATAGTTTTCCATATCTTCTTCAAGCTGAAAACGAAATCACATATTATATTATTCTCCTAATAACATGAGGAACATAATCATTGATATATAATGGGTTTCACTAGGACATACTTGAACGTATACTCACTTCGAAATGGTCTTCACAAACAAATCCTCTGGTTTTCTCGGATAAATCATTTCTACTTATGGCTTGCAACCATAATTTTCTTTTCTCTTTATTTTTATCACTGGATCCCACTGGCAATGAAAGGAATATTTTTCCTGGCGATACTTTTGTTGATGAAAGGCATTGCGGCACTAGGCAGTATTTGGTATAAACATTATCATTTTCCATTTCCAAATTTCAAATTTCTGGCGTTTAAAACTGTTTTCTTCTCCTACCTCTTCTTCTTTTTTTTTCAATCTGAAACTTGTCATTCTGCCACGCTAGTCTATGGCTGTGCGGCCTAATACTATGACGTCATAATATTAGTGATGGTCACCAACCCGTTTCTGTGACTTTATATTTAGCCTCATTTGAATGAAATTTGTTAGAGTCACAAGCAAATTTGAGATTAATGAATGATATTCAGTGTTATTATAAGGAAAAAGGAATATAATTTCGATTAAACTAAAAATCATGCGTATTCCTTATTCAAAATATAGTCTTGATATCGTTGTGGAGTTTTTATTTCTCTGGCACTTCGTCTTTGCTCAATTTCTGGTTCCGTCTTCCTTTCTTCATTCACAAGGGCATCTCCTTGCACCCTTCCATCTTCCATCAAATTCTGCACCTCATTCCTTTCTTCCAGCACCTTGGAATTTGCCATAGTTTCACGTCCCGATTGAGTTCGAAGATTCCTCAGATGGAACTTGTTCCTTCTGTACATAGCTCCATCATTAGTACGAATGATGTATGAGTTTGGATTACTGTCTTCCTCTACAACCTTTGCTGGAATCCAATTTCTGATGCCTTTTTGCACAAGCACATCTTCTCTCACTGGGCTTCTTTCTTTTACCCTGTGATTGTAATGGGTGATCTGTCTTCTTTGATTATTTCTCAAGTTATTGCACACTTCCTCTGATCTATTTAGCTTCAAAGCATTTTCGCACGTTGGTAGGTTGGTTCTCCATTTTCTGCCCATGAGTATTTCTGAAGGAGCTGGCAAGTTATACTTTGGGGTGCTATTATAAACCATCGTCAATGTCTGGACACTTTCTTCAGGTGATTTCAGCATCATATTTTTGATTGTTTGAATATGGCGTTCGACGAGACCATTTGATTGGGGAAAATAAGGACTGCTTGTTTTGTGTAAGATTTCCTCCTTGATAAAATAGTTTGATAATTCCTCAGAGTTGAATGGAGGTCCATTATCAGATCGAACTTCAGTTGGTAAACCATAATTTGCAAAACACTTTTTAAGGACGGAAATTACACTCATAGCATTAGTTGTTTTCATTGGTTCAATAATTATGAACTTTGAAAAATAGTCTACTATCATTGAATAGTCTCGTCCCTCGACTTTAAAGAAATCCATTCCTACTTGCTCCCAAGGATATTTAGCAATTGGTGTTATCAGTAATGGTTCTTTTACATTACATCCCACCGCTGCCACCATATCATATATTATGTTTATACTATATTGTAATATAATTTATTACACAACTTTATTACTTATTATTTATTAACTTTCTTTAACAGTTCAACCTTACATGATACATTCTAAACACCACATGACGTTGACATTGACATCGACATTACAGATGACAGTCTCCAGTGCTGCAACATTCATGTGAGCACCGATATGTGGATGAAGATATGTCACAGTGAGTTCGAATCCAACGACTGCAGACATTTTTCTGATGACCCAAGAAAATGTTTGGGAACACACGTTAAGAAGTAAGGCCCCCGTCATCATTCCTTGCTCGCACAAGTCTCTTGAAGACTTCTGAGGGTTGCTCGTAAGGGGGCAACCGAATGATGGATAAGAACAATTTCAGAACAATAAACTGGTAACAATGCCTAATAGTGCCATTTCTGGTCGCTCAAATACAAATGGAAGCACTAAGGGGACTAACATAATTTTTCCCCTTTCCGAAAAACGATTACTTGAAAGCTTGCTGTCGATATAAGATCAATTCAAAGTATGGTTGGTAAAATATAATCCCTAGTATCATTCCAAAATGTTGTGAATCAACATGAATTCTTTATACTACAGCACTTATCTGTTCAAAACATTTCCTACCAAACTGTTTTCAAACAAGTTCGTTTGTTTGAAGTATCACGGCGAATTGACAACCACGAACGACCAATAATAATTGTTTTACTCGCAGTGACGTCCACAAAGATGCATGATAGTACACCATACTATAATTCCAGTCCACCATGGTCCCAATCATTTTCCATGATTTCATTCATTCTATTATACAGGGTGTTTTCTAAGGTGAGGTATTTGTTTTGATAGGATATAGAACAACGAATTGCTTTGCTGTCATATCACTAAACGATGCCGAGTCAGCCATCCTTTGATGACATTTAATATCAGCTGTTGATAACAGTATGATTAATCGTTTCCTGTATTTACATATTTGTTCAAGGCATAGTGACGTGTTCAGCTTATAAATGTGTAAATTCGAGGAATATAAAAGAACCTGGGATCAATTTTCATTGCCTTTTACGTTGTTATATGTATATGAATAAAAATAGACATTTGCTAAATTCGTTTTTATTATGTTATGTAGCAAAGCTTGTCAAAACAATTATAAAATCGATAAATCATCCAAGAGAAGTATTTTCAACGTATTTTGACTGGTAAAAGTGTGAGATTACTGCGTAGGCTATTCAGAGAGATAATAATAATGATCACTATTAATAGTTCATTATTGGAAAAAGTAAATTACTTGCTATTCTGTTTGTTGTACTTAGCTGGATCACTCCTTCAAAATTTGTTATCTCTAAAAAACTTCTATTTCCTTTATAGTTTTCCGAGAGTCCAATGATTTCTGGACTGATCAGTGGGGTGTAGGCAGATTTTGCAAATTTTGTGCTCCAGTGCTTATGTAATAATCCTCATGATCGGATACCGGATTTCTCATTGAAATAGACAAAATCACCAAACATTGCTCATATAAAAGTTGCAAAATAACGAAACTAATATGTTATCATCTCCAGGAAAAGATCAAAGCAGTTCTTACCTTCTCCAAAGTTGCTAACACAGTTACAGCAAAACACGTGTCGATGAGTTGAAAGATAGGTTTGGTCAGTGATTAGAGTGGATTAAAACAGTTTTAATCTTCTTCTGAAGATGCTGACCTTATTAACGAAACATGTGTCGAGGCGTTTAAAAATTCGTTTGGTTAGTGATTAAAGTAGAATTGAAATACCTTCCATCTTCCCCTGAAGATGCTGTAGTTAGCGAAACACGTGTAGGAACGTTTGAAATTAGGTCTTGTTGGTGATTAGAATAGATTAAAAATCTGTTTGGTTGAATTAGGGAGGCTTGAAAAAGTATCAATCTTCTCCTGAAAATGCTAACGTAGTTACCGTAACACGTGGTGAAACGTAGTTACCGTAACACGTGGTGAAGCGTTCGAATGTAGGTATGGTTAGTTATTCTAGTAGGTTGAAACAGTTTCAATCGTCCCCTGTAGATGCTAAAATAATAAGCGAAACACTTGCCTAGGCATTTAAAGTGGTTAGAGTAGATTGAACAGTTTCAATTCGCCTGAAGATGCTAACGTAATTAGCGGAGCACGTGTCGAGGCGTTGAAGGGGTTAGCGATTGACTAGATTGAGCTGAGGTCTGGGTAATGATTAGGATGGATTACGAAGGTTTCTCGTGAAAATTCTAACGCAGTTAGTGAAACACGTGTCGAGGCGATTGAAAATCGGTTTGATTAGATTAGGGTGGGTTGAGGCGTTCGAAAATAGGTTCGGTTAGTGATTCAAGAAGGTTTCTATCTTCTGAAGATGCTAACATAATTAGCGAAACAGAATCGAGGCATTAAAAGTGGTTGATGTCTAGTGGTTAGAGTAGATTGAACAGTTTCAATATTCTCCTGAAGATGCTCACGTAGTTAGCAAAACACGTGTCGAAGCGTTGATGAACAGGATTGGTGATTGATAAAAGTAGGTTGAAATAGTTTCAATCTCCTCCTGGAAACACGTGTTGGGGCATCAAAAGTAGTAAGCGATTAGAATAGATTGAAACAGCTTTGACCTTCATTCAGAAAAATACTAACGTAGTTAGCTAAACACGTGTCGACGTCGCGATTAAAAATAGGTTTGGTAGTCAGAGTACACCAAAACACTTTCAATCTTCTTCTGGAAATGTTAACATAGTTAGCAAAACACGTATCAAGGCGATTAAAAATAGTTTTGGTAGTGATCAGAGTACACCAAAACAGTTTTAATCTTCCCTTTAAGATGCTAAAATAGTTAGTGGAACACCAAATTTTACTAGAACGTTTAGAAAATGCTGGAATCAGGGGAATCCCAAATGAACTCATCAAGTTATACCTAACAAATCGCATCCAAACCACATTGGTGTCGGAGCAAGAAAGTGATTTATTTGAAGTAAACTTTGGTCACAGGGTACAGTTCTCTCAACCATCTTGTTCAATATTTACATAAATGACATAATGGATCTTATTGATGATGAAAATATCAGTATCTACTGCTTTGCAGATGATACTAGTATCCTAATAAGTGAAAATGACTGGAAAACTACCAAACTAAAAGTATAAAAAACTTTGCAAGAAATAAAAAACTGGTTAGATGCAAGCTTACTTACACTATCCCCACGTACATTACCAAACTTTGAATACATAAAAATCCATGATTCAAAATGCAACCTGTGACAACAATGTAAATGTGATATGACTATAATAAGAAAAACCAGTTTGAAATATCTTGGAGTTGTCTTGGATGAAAAGCTCACTTGGAAAGAACATGTAGAGTATGTATCTACAAAAATTGAGAAACTAATTCATAAATTCTATGAATTGAAAAATATGGTACCTCTCAAAACTCTAAAATCAATTTATTTCGCTTTAGCAGTCATTATTGAACTATGGATTGGTGGTTTCGATAGTTTGTTCAAAGATAGTAAATTACTAAAAATTGAACAACTCCATCTGAAATCAGTCATAAGATTCATGATAAATAACAACGACTGCAAAGTAAACATAAAACATTGCCAAAATACAAGAAATACCGCTAGAGGCAAAGTTGAGCTGCAAAACCCCAAGCACAAAGTTTGTCAAAACCACATTTACTGCGTGGGCCCAAAAATTTACAATGACTTACCGGACAGCCTTAAGCTAAAGGATTACCACAGAATTGAAAAGACCTTAACAGAATGGATTGTAGATAGTAAATATAAAATCAATTATGTTATATAATATATACATAACGGATTCAAACTATAAATCAGCAGCGAAAATAACTGTAAAACAGAAAAATGGGTGCACACACAGTATTACAAATACCATTGTGCACCTAAAAATATTAGCAGTAATGTAATGCCTAGTCTGTTATGATGATGTTTATTTAATAGATGTAAGAATAGCCTTAGTTCTCTGTGATAACTTGAAACTCCAACTGTATAACTTTAACTACAACATAAATAACATTAGTATTATCTCAGAAACCTGTAACTTGTACCTGCTGATAAATTATTATATTATATTATTATATCATTATTAGTTATAGAAACACGTAACGAGGCGTTGAAAAATCGGTTTGGTTAGTGGTAAAAGAGGTTTTTGTGATTATTCAGGTCTTCGATCAGATTCTCGATATATCATTATCTATATCTTCATCATTACAGGGTGTGTGCGAAAACCAGACACGTCCTTCGGTGCTCGTCTGTGTGCAGGGGGGTAAAAGCAAAGAGATCTCCAGTGATGAGATACAGGGTGCTATGGCTCTCGTGGAGCTGAAGAACGGGGTCAACTATAGGGTTTGAGAGGTGATACGTTTTATATTATATTACGCTATTTATTCTAGAGTATTGGTGTTGATAGCAACGTCGTGATGGCAATTGTACAGTATGTATCTTCCATCGGGGTCTGCAGGGTGTCCCAGATGTGTTGTAGAGTTTGTTTTTGTTTTTCAATCAAAAACTATCGCGAACGAAAAAATATGACATCCGAACCAATACAAAAAAGTCGATTGATTTTCTTCAACATAACATTTTTCGTGACAAGTCAAAGGTTGGTCCAAATTGCAAATTTTCAGTAAGGAGTCTTATCTATAGACGAAGATTTATGTCATATCTGAAGGGTAAACGGCATATTGATATCTATCAACGTTTCATGACAATATTCCTGAAGCACTTCTTCAAGTAGAATTAAATACAGTAATTTTTTCTACAGACTAACATATCAATTATTGATAAGAAAACATTTTTCTAAATAGTGCAGCCGATATATTTTTGGCATTTTTGATAGGGCTTCTTAATTTCTCCATCTATATACAATACCATAAAGATATCTGGGACACCTTGAATAATGCATACACTCATAACGACAGGGTATTAATAAATATATAGCTTCGTTTCTGGGATAACTTTTATATTATTAAATGATGTTCTTTTGCTATTTTTCACCAAATCCTACGTGAAATTTCGGGAAAGTGTTTGGTCATTTCATAATGATGAAACCCTTTTTACGAAGTTGATGAATGTAATGTATACAGTTAGTACTAATACAAATATATTTCTATATTAGAAGAGAGCTTGGTTGAGTACCTACTTGAAAAATTATTCAAGTACATTTCCATTAACGGTTTAGATTTTTATATGTCCTTCAATTACAGGAAAATTTATTGAATAATTTCTCAACATGAAGCCTAGTTCATTTATACAGTGCATTGATAAAATGTAATACTTTTCAAAACATTTATTTTCGAAGTTCTTAATAGTGCATTAATAGTTCTAATTGTCTATGGGCAACAGGGTAGCATTAGTTTATTTTTTTGTTTATTGAAATTTGTTGTGACATAATGATAACTGACTGTTATTAATCAAAACTATGCCTGTCAAAATATACTTATTTGAAAATAAAAAAAATTACATGTCATGAGATTATTCGATAATGAGTCGGCAATTAAAATAATTGATTTTATGATTTGTTAACGCACTGTATAACTAGTTAGGTTGAAAAGTATACCAAAAATAATCACAAAATATAGCGCTCAGAAGGTGCTATCATTATTATCATTTCAGAACAAATAACAAATCAAAAAAGAAAGAGTCAAATACAGGTTCTTACCAAATTTTACGGGGTCATTTGAAAAAATCAAAACGACCCATTTCAAAAATGTTCCTTATATGTTCACCTGTTGAACTGTCATATATTATTTGGGTTCAATTACTTATGGCAGTTTTCTCAAATCCATTGTTTTTTATTCCATTACGTTCTGGTCAAAAACTAAAAAATGAAAGGTTTCCAAAGAAACAAGAGGAATGCAATTGCAATACCAGCGTCTTGTATGGCGAAAATAAGGAAAAATATATCTACAGTACCTAGATGTCGAAATTTTAACCGTTTACAAGGTTCACAACATTAGATTGACGAGGAACTAATTTATGACCAATGTTTAGTTATAGTAACTTTTTTCCATCTTTGGTCTCGGAAGTTGCTAGTAAAACATTAATGACAGGAGATAAGTAATATTTCAATTGTCTTGTTTAAAAAATTATTATGTACAGGGTGAACGAAACACTATGCCTCAGCTATATTATGAGAAAAGAAAAATCTATAAACGAAATTGAAAAGTTTTTCGAATGTGATTTAGTAGGACTATTTCAAGCAAAATTTGCATATTTTTTCATAATTGGAAACATACCCCTCTTTTGGTATATTCAAAGAGTTTTTCTGAACAAATTTTGTGAAGAAAAATATGTGCTATCTTCTTCATTTTAATCATCTTCGCTAGTTGAAAATAGAAAAAAAATAGAATAGAATAGAAAAACATTTATTGTGTAAATATCTTACATCATATAAATATAATATAAATATACTACACAAAAGGTGGCATTCGTTTACACGTTCTACCATACCACCACTCGTTATGAGTAAAAAGCTCAAAATAATAAAATCTAGATGGTTAACATTCATAAAAACACTAACGAAAACAACAATGTCTTGAATATAAAAATAAATAAATAAAATAGAGTTAATTAATTAATTAATATATACTTTCGACTAAGTTTTTATCACATTCTATGTCTGAATACTTAAAAGGTAGTCTCTCCATATTCTTCTAAAGCTAGCTACAGATCTGTTCTGAGTTCTAAGATAGTATTCTGGATTATTTAAAAATTCTATTGATACATAGGCAAAACAGTATTCAAATTTGGTGGTATTGTGCTGTGGGATGTTATATCGTAAAATGTCCTCTTTTTTCGATTTTTTTTTTCAAAGACCCACAAAAAACTTTCCTCGCTTGAAGAAACTATTATACGTTTCCAAAGGTTACTTTTTTTTCTAATCTGTTCAACGTTGTTTATCGATAATTTTGATGACGTCATTGATTCAGTTTCCAAATAGAGAAATTTGCAAATTTGGGTCAAAATGTACCTTACTCACTGCCATTCGAGAACAACTTTACAGTTTCCTTTTTTAGTTTTTCCTTTTATTAAAAAAGTGAGACATTGAGTTTTGCTCAACCCGTACAAAACTTGTGCCTTAAATGCCTTTGGCAAATTAGTTACCCATAACTATCCATTGTGCTGCTTTATTTTTGAATGTTTACAATATGTGATGTGTGATAACTATTTTATGTTATCTCAAGTATGTTTCCTCTTTTATATTCTTGTTCGTGTTATGTTTCAGAATATTTACATTTTATTCTTTATATTTTAATTACCTGTGCACTTGCGAATATCTATTCTTTATATACTGATGTTTCAAATAATTGTGATGATCGGAAAAAATCAATAAATTATTATTATTTATACATGATTGTTTTTAATAAACTAGTATCCCCCTTATTAGATAATTTATCACCTTCAGATGATATAACTCATCGTGAATTGTTGCAAAAAAATCAATCAACATTTTAACAAAATGTATTTCAATAAATAATGAGATGATTCATAAGAACAATTGCACAGTTCCATAATAACATTTTATAAAAGATATGAGAATAACAGGATATTTGGTACCTAGTGAAATACTCATATTGTCCTCACATTTTCCTTACTGTAGGTACATAAACAAAACATGATAGATAGAGCACTCTTCAGAGAAGTATACAGGGTGATTCACTTTTTCCCCGTCCCCCAAAAAACTTCGGGTGCCGAATTTGGTGAACAAAAAACTTATTTCCTGCAAAAACTTTACTTTTTTGCAAAAGTAATTTTCAAAAAACGAGAAAAAAAAACAACTTCAACACCATATATCTGCGAAACCGAAGCATTTGCGGACACAAATTGAACTAGGCGTTTTTTCTTAAAATCGTCCATATATAGTGAATCACCCTGTACCTATTCCCAGTCTTCCTCGTCATTGGACGTCGATTCCACGTGGTTTTTCGGTTCGGGAGCCGGAATCATGGCAGATATTCTAGCTAGAGTCGAGTCCGCGTCTATCGGCTGATTGTCTTGGGATTGCTTGGCGCCCGAGATGCCCTTCCTGCGCATGAACAGTTTGTTGTGGAGGTCCGTCATCAGATCACCGCCCTAAAAACAAAATCTCGAAAACATATCACAAGCCATAAACTCAAGTTGTTGAATGGACAAGATAACAAGCCATGAACTTGAGTTATTCAAAGTTAAATGACAAGCCACAAACTCGAATTATTCAAAGTTCATGATGACAAGTCACAAACTCGAGTTAATCAAAGTTTGAGATGACATGCGGCAAACTCGAGTTATTTAAGGTTCAAGATTAGGTACAAGCCACAAACTCGAGTTAATGGAAGTTTGAGATGACAAGCCGCAAACTCGAGTCATTCAGAGTTGACAAGCCATTGAAACACGCAATAATATTTTTTTAAGAATGTGACATGGACGAAAAGGCACTGAAAAAAACGTTTTCTCCAAAAATGTGCCAGAATCAATGAAGACAAATCAGTAAAATCATCCGTTTTTAATTCATCAGGAGCTGTCGTGTTGTCGGTAATTGTGGCTTGTTACTTTACATGCAATTTCCCTTCCTAAAAAAATCTGGCTTGGCACATTTTCACAATGAGCTCTTTTCTTCACATGAACAGTTTGTTGTGGAGGTCCGTCATCAGATCACCGCCCTAAAACAAAATCTCGAAAACATATCACAAGCCATAAGTCGAGTTGTTAAATGGACAAGATAACAAGCCATGAACTTGAGTTATTCATAGTTGAATGACAAGCCACAAACTCGAATTATTCAAAGTTTGAGATGACAAGCCACACACTCGAGTCAATCAAAATTTGAGATGACATGCCGCAAACTCGAGTTATTTGAAATTTACGATGACAAGCCACAAACTCAAGTTATTGGAAGTTTGAGATGACAAGCCGCAAACTCGAGTTATTCAGAGTTTATGATGACAAGCCATTGAAAAACGCAATATTTTTTCAAGAATGTAACATGGATGACAAGGCACTGAAAAAAAAACGTTTTTTCCAAAAATGTACCAGAATCAATGAAGACAAACCAGCAGAATCATCCGTTTTTTAATTCATCAGGAGCTGTCGTGTTCTCGGTAATTGTGGCTTGTTACTTTACATGCAATTTTCCTTCCTAAAAAAATGTGGATTGGCACATTTTCACAATGAGCTTTATTCTTCGCCTGAACAGTTTGTTGTGGAGGTCCGTCATCAGACCACCGCTCTAAAAATAAATCGGAGGGCTCATCGGGAAACTTCACCAGCCACAAATTCGAGTTATTCAGAGTTTAAGATGACAAGCCACAAAGTAACTTGAGGTATTCAAGGATCAAAGATAAAAAGCCAAAGAAATTCAAGTTATGCAAAGTTCAAAGATAACAAGCCATAAACTCGAGTTATTCTATATTTAAGATGGCAAGCAAAAACTTGAGTTATTTAAAGTTTGACATGACAAGCAGCAAACTGGAGTTATTCAGAGTTCAAGATGACATACCAGTCATACCACTGAAAAAACACAATCATATTTTTGCCAAGAATGTGACATGGATGACAAGTCACTAAAAAACTCAATAATACGTTTTTCAAGAATGTGATATCGGAGGCCTCATCGGTAAAACATCACAAGCCACAAACTCGAGTTATCAAATTTTCAAGGTGGCAAGCCATGAACTCGAGTTTTTCACTGTTAGATGACAAGCCACAAACATGAATTATTCGAAGTTTTAAGGTGACACACCACAAACTCCAGCTATGTTTGAGATGACAAGCTGCAATTTCAAGTAATACAGAGTTTGAGATGACAAGCCACTAAAAAAATGCAATATTTTTTTCAGACATGGATAACAGGTACTAAAAAAACGGTATTTTCCTAGAATGTGACATGCCAGAATCAATGAAAACAGATCGACAAAATCATCAGATTTTTAATTCATCAGGAGCTATCCTATTGACGGTACTTGGCTTGTTACATTATATCATGCAAGTTGATGTTATTTCTCTTATTTCCCTTGGTTCTCACGATATTCTCTGAACATTACAGGATATCCCTTTTCGTGAGAACCAGAACATGAAAAAAAAACTTCATATTTTGAAAAAAAGTTGGCTTGTCACATTTTCACAATGAGTCTCTTTCGTTTTTTTATTAGGAACTATCCTGTTGTTTATGTTACACTTCAAATTCTGAAAAAAAGTGACTTGATGTCCGTCAATCAAATAACCGCCCTAAAGAGAAATCAGAGGGCTCATCAGGAACATATCACAAGCCACAAATTCGAATTATTCAGAGTTTAAGATGGCAAGCCACTGAAAAGAGGCAATATCACTTTTTCAAGAATGTTGACATGGATGACAAGCCACTAAAAAATGCATCAATATGTTTTTCAAGAATGTGAAATGCCCGACTGAGAGGAAACATGTACCTATCGGCAGTCATTAATTTTCTGTAATTTCAAATGTCTTGGGACATACATTGATAGAAATCATAAAATATCACTCCAGGATCATGCCCATTTATATTTGAGGGGGTACAAAATTGGAAAATTAGAGGTTAGAGTGACCTGTCAGAAATATAAAATGTATGATTCAAAAATTTTTTAATGTTTTTGACACTGCAAAAAAATTTCAATTACAACTTCAGGTGCGCACCAATTTTATTCTGATGGGGTCAAAACGGAAAAAATGTGAGAAAATTGGAGGTGGACAAAATTCAGAATAAAATTTAAGAGTATGGAAATATAGTGACTTCAGGGAAGTACCAATTTTTTCCAGGAGGTTATAAATATAAAATGCAGGAAGGAGTCTTTGTCAATATATGTATAGCCTGAGGACTCCATAGACCTGTCCATTTCTTCTGAGAGGGTCAACAATAAAAAATGTTAGAATTTCTGAATTACTAACACCATCAGATGAAAATCTTCAGCTCTTTTGGAAACCCACCTGTGGTGCTTTGACAGAAACACTCTCATCTTTTGCTTTAGTACTTTTAGTAGATTTCAATCTAGGTTTCAACAATAAAAAATGTTAGAATTTCTGAATTAGTTCAAACACCATCAGATGAAATTCTTTAGCTCTTTTGGAAACTCACCTGTGGTGCTTTGACAGAAACACTCTGATCTTGTGCTTTAGTACTTTTAGTAGATTTCAATCTAGCTTTAAACAATGAAAAATGTTAGAATTTCTGAATTATTTCAAACACCATCACCATCAGATGAAAATCTTTAGCTCTTTTGGAAACCCACCTGTGATGCTTTGACAGAAACACTCTCATCTTCTGCTTTAGTACTTTAAGTAAATTTCAATCTAGCTTTCATCAATAAAAAATGTTAGAATTTCTGAATTACTTCAAACACCATCAGATGAAATTCTTTAGCTCTTTTGGAAACCCACCTGTGGTGCTTTGACAGAAACACTCTGATCTTGTGCTTTAGTACTTTTAGTAGATTTCAATCCAGCTTCAAACAATGAAAAATGTTAGAATTTCTGAATTATTTCAAAACACCATCAGATGGAAATCTTTAGCTCTTTTGGAAACCCACCTGTGGTGCTTTGACAGAAACACTCTGATCTTGTGCTTTAGTACTTTTAGTAGATTTCAATCTAGCTTTAAACAATGAAAAAGGTTAGTATTTCTGAATTATTTCAAACACCATCACCATCAGATGAAAATCTTTAGCTTTTTTGGAAACCCACCTGTGGTGCTTTGACAGAAACACTCTCATATTTTGCTTTAGTACTTTGAGTAGTTTTCAATCTAGCTTTGAACAATGAAAAATTTCAGAATTTCTGAATTATTTAAAACACCAACACCATCAGATAAAAATCTTTAGCTCTCTTGGAAACCCACCTGTGATGCTTTGACAGAAACACTCTCATCTTCTGCTTTAGTACTTTGAGTAGATTTCAATCTAGCTTTCAACAATAAAAAATGTTAGAATTTCTGAATTACTTCAAACACCATCAGATGAAATTCTTTAGCTCTTTTGGAAACCCACCTGTGGTGCTTTGACAGAAACACTCTGATCTTGTGCTTTAGTACTTTTAGTAGATTTCAATCCAGCTTCAAACAATGAAAAATGTTAGAATTTCTGAATTATTTCAAAACACCATCAGATGGAAATCTTTAGCTCTTTTGGAAACCCACCTGTGGTGCTTTGACAGAAACACTCTTATCTTGTACTTTAGTAGATTTCAATCTAGCTTTCAACAATAAAAAATGTTAGAATTTCTGAATTACTTCAAACACCATCAGATGAAAATCTTTAGCACTTTTGGAAACTCACCTGTGGTGCTTTGACAGAAACACTCTGATCTTGTGCTTTAGTACTTTTAGTAGATTTCAATCTAGCTTTAAACAATGAAAAAGGTTAGTATTTCTGAATTATTTCAAACACCATCACCATCAGATGAAAATCTTTAGCACTTTTGGAAACTCACCTGTGGTGCTTTGACAGAAACACTCTGATCTTGTGCTTTAGTACTTTTAGTAGTTTTCAATCTAGCTTTGAACAATGAAAAATTTCAGAATTTCTGAATTATTTAAAACACCAACACCATCAGATAAAAATCTTTAGCTCTTTTGGAAACCCACCTGTGGTGCTTTGACAGAAACACTCTGATCTTGTGCTTTAGTACTTTTAGTAGATTTCAATCCAGCTTCAAACAATGAAAAATGTTAGAATTTCTGAATTATTTCAAAACACCATCAGATGGAAATCTTTAGCTCTTTTGGAAACCCACCTGTGGTGCTTTGACAGAAACACTCTTATCTTGTACTTTAGTAGATTTCAATCTAGCTTTCAACAATAAAAAATGTTAGAATTTCTGAATTACTTCAAACACCATCAGATGAAAATCTTTAGCACTTTTGGAAACTCACCTGTGGTGCTTTGACAGAAACACTCTGATCTTGTGCTTTAGTACTTTTAGTAGATTTCAATCTAGCTTTAAACAATGAAAAAGGTTAGTATTTCTGAATTATTTCAAACACCATCACCATCAGATGAAAATCTTTAGCACTTTTGGAAACTCACCTGTGGTGCTTTGACAGAAACACTCTGATCTTGTGCTTTAGTACTTTTAGTAGTTTTCAATCTAGCTTTGAACAATGAAAAATTTCAGAATTTCTGAATTATTTAAAACACCAACACCATCAGATAAAAATCTTTAGCTCTTTTGGAAACCCACCTGTGGTGCTTTGACAGAAACACTCTGATCTTGTGCTTTAGTACTTTTAGTAGATTTCAATCCAGCTTCAAACAATGAAAAATGTTAGAATTTCTGAATTATTTCAAAACACCATCAGATGGAAATCTTTAGCTCTTTTGGAAACCCACCTGTGGTGCTTTGACAGAAACACTCTGATCTTGTGCTTTAGTACTTTTAGTAGATTTCAATCTAGCTTTAAACAATGAAAAAGGTTAGTATTTCTGAATTATTTCAAACACCATCACCATCAGATGAAAATCTTTAGCACTTTTGGAAACTCACCTGTGGTGCTTTGACAGAAACACTCTGATCTTGTGCTTTAGTACTTTTAGTAGTTTTCAATCTAGCTTTGAACAATGAAAAATTTCAGAATTTCTGAATTATTTAAAACACCAACACCATCAGATAAAAATCTTTAGCTCTTTTGGAAACCCACCTGTGATGCTTTGACAGAAACACTCTTATCTTCTGCTTTAGTACTTTAAGTAAATTTTAATCTAGCTTTCATCAATAAAAAATGTTAGAATTTCTGAATTACTTCAAACACCATCAGATGAAATTCTTCAGCTCTTTTGGAAACCCACCTGTGGTGCTTTGACAGAAACACTCTGATCTTGTGCTTTAGTACTTTTAGTAGATTTCAATCTAGCTTTAAACAATGAAAAATGTTAGAATTTCTGAATTATTTCAAACACCATCACCATCAGATGAAAATCTTTAGCTCTTTTGAAACCCACCTGTGGTGCTTTGACAGAAACACTCTTATCTTGTACTTTAGTAGATTTCAATCTAGCTTTCAACAATAAGAAATGTTAGAATTTCTGAATTACTTCAAACACCATCAGATGAAAATCTTCAGCTCTTTTGAAAACCCACCTATGGTGCTTTGACAGAAACACTCTTATCGGTTCAAGTTTCGTTTAGCTGAAATCAGTTATGGAAAATTTGTTGCTATGGCAACCGTTGTCATGGTAACAGGTAAACAGAAAACAAAATCCCGTGGTGAGGAAATGCATGGTTGCCAAGTTGTATCGGGTTTAGTATAGCTGAAATCAGTTATGGAAAAACTGTTGCCATGGCAACGATCGTCATGGTAAGGAGTAAACAAAAACCCGATTCCCGTGGTGAGGAAATGCGTGGTTGCCTAGTTGTATCGGGTTTTGTTTGACTGAAATCAGTTATGGAAAAACTATTGCCATGGCAACGATCGTCATGGTAACGAGTAAACAAAAATCCGAATCCAGTGGTGAGGAAATGCGTGGTTGCCAAGTTGTATCGGGTTTAGTATAGCTGAAATCAGCGCAATCTTCGACCCTCAAATTTTTTCTGCTAGTATTAAAACAATAACTTGATTCGAATGAATACCCTTCTTATTAATTTCTTGAAGACTGTTCGTCGTTGATCAATTCCCAAATTACTACTTCTCTGACGATCATATATGGAAATAACGTCAGGAAAAAATTGGCTACGTTATTGAATAGAGCTAGACAAAATAGCGAGCGACAAAATAATGCGGAACAAATAGCGCATAAGAAAGGACACTACTTTTTCTGAACAATCTGACCTAACTCGGCTTAAATGAACCTTCTTAGAAAAAATATATTTTTCAACATCGATCAGATTTGGTAGCAGAGCATCGTTCGTGTGTGTTTGAAGACTGCATAAAAAGGACACTACTTTTTCCAAACAATCTAACCTAACTCGACTTAAATCAACCTTCTTCTTGAAGAACATATATTTTTCAACATCGTTCAGATTTGGTAGCAAGGCATCGTTCGTGTATGTTTGAAGACTGTTGCTGAATATTCCAAAATGTCTGTTTCTTTTCGAATAGCTCGGCACGCGAAGAATGGTTACATTGAAGAGTGTTTTTGAAAGTAATGAATGAAGCAATAATTATTCTCCGATACAAATTGGCAACCACGCATTTCCTCACCATGGAAATCGGATATTTTCTTTACTCGTTACCATGACGATCGTTGCCATGGCAATAGTTTTTCCATAACTGATTTCAGCCAAACTAAACCCAATACAACTTGGCAACCACGCATTTCCTCACCACGGGAATCGGGTTTTTGTTTACTCCTCACCATGACGATCGTTGCCATGGCAACAGTTTTTCCCTAACTGATTTCAGCTATACTAAACCCGATACAACTTGGCAACCACGCTTTTCCTCACCACGGGAATCGGGTTTTTGTTTACTCGTTATCATGACGATCGTTGCCATAGCAACAGTTCTTTCATAACTGATTTCAGCTAAACGAAACTTGAGCCCTCTTATCTTGTGCTTTAGTACTTTTAGTAGATTTCAATCTAGATTTAAACAATAAAAATTTTTAGAATTTCTTAATTACTTCAAACACCATCAGATGAAAATCTTTAGCTCTTTTGGAAACCTACCTGTGGTGCTTTGACAGAAACACTCTTATCCTGTGCTTTAGTAGATTTCAATCTGGCTTTTCCAGTTCCCCCGGCACTTCTGATAGCTTCCATCAAACTAGACCTCACATCATCCACCTGTGGTTTACCCAAAGGAACTTGACTTCCCACTGATTCTTTTTCAGCAGGTGGAATCTGAACTTGGTCTACCTTACTTTCCAGAGGTTTTGGTGGCTCAGGTGGAGGTTTGGGCAGTTCAACCGGTGGGGGAGGAACAGGTGGTAAATCCACAACAGGAATGTCTTCTTTCAGATCAGCCTCATTCTGGCTTATTGTTGGTAAAATGCTGCTCTCTATGTCCAACTCAATCAAGGACTGGGTAATGTCTGCTGAAGGAGCAATACCAGGTCCAGACTCAATTTCATAGTGCACATCATCAGCTATTCCAGGTAAATCTGGAAGGTCCAGTGGCACATCCAAGGCAGGCACTTCCCCTATTTGGGGGGCATAAAAATAATTTTGGGCCAGGGACTTCCTCAAGGTGGATCTTTCACTTATTGAACGTGGAGCTGCACCTAATTCTGTTATATTTTCATCTTCTTCCCTTACATTTTGGTGACCCTTCAAGGCATCAGATATAATGAAACTCTTGTATAGGTTCTTGCCAGAGTTGTATAGAAGCAGATCATTCACAAAGTTCACATTCTGTGGTATATCTCCCAGCCCTTCTAGTTTTTCTACTTTATCATTATTAACATTAACATGATAGAATTGCAATTTTTCTAATGGTTCATGTACAGATGAGATGTTTTTTAGTTTAACTTTGTGTCGTTTCAATTCAATTTCAGGGCTATCATGGAATATTGAAACATATTCTTTATACACATCAACAGCAGGGTATTTACTACTGGAAAAAACTTGGGTAGCTTTTTTGGCTCCTTTCAAAGAGGCTATTTTTTTGGTCACAATATCTACTCGATGAGATATTTCTGATAACTTTCCACGGCTGCTTTCCAGTCTTTTATTCACTTGAGAGAAGATACCATCAGTTATATTAGATAAATGATCAATTGCTTCTGCAATTTGAATGATTGTTTCATGTTTATATAAATTATGGGTTATGATAGGAACACTGTATTTGGAATCCATAGTATCCTATGGAAAATTAACAAAAGTTTTATCTCACCATCTAGAATATCTTGTTTCAGTAAAAATCTTTCAGTGCTATCATATTATTATCAGAAAATTTGTATAGCCTTGGTCTATTATTTCAGTCTATGAAATTTCAAAAAAAAAATACAAACACGGCACAAAACACATTATAGGATTGTTATAGGAACGGAACAGAAAAGAGATGACAGTGGCGCTGTCAGTGTCACGAATGGCAGGAACGACAGGACCATGACAGGACACAGTATAGGCCTGTTCGTTTGTGCTTGCTCTACCTGCTGAACTTTTTGAATAATATTTTGTAAATTCGATATATGGTTCAAAAAATTATATGATGCTTAGGAAGATTTTATTTTGCCTAAATCAGTACTAGAGTCGCAGATGTGTATGATGTTGACCTAGAAATAAGCCCAGCCGACACATCTGTGGCATGACATCTCTTGAGATGTCGCGATGAGGCAACACTACGATATTACGAATGATCCATCGCTGCTATGTATAGTCATCTTCAGAGACCTTGTCACACATGGACGGTGTCAGCTCTGTGGATCCCCGCTGTAATAAGAGCGCTCACACCGTCCAACCGCGACATGTTTACTGAAGACAAGTGTACAGAACCAAACACATCTGCGACATGACTTCCCTGAGATGTCGCGATGAGGCAACACTACGGTATCACGAATTGTCCATGGCTGCAATGTACAGAAGCAAACACATCTGCGACATGACATCTCTGAAATGTCATGATGAGGCAACACTGCGATATTACGAATGTTTCATCGCTACGAAGCAAACACATCTGCGACATGACACATTTAAGATGTCATGATGAGGCAACAATGTCATAGCACGAATGTTGCATCGCTGCGATGTACAGAAGCAAACTCATATGCGAGAATTTTTCAAAAATTTGTTATTTAGGTTCTTGTTCGGTGAAAAACAATATATAAATATACCTAACTCAACAACGTGAAGCTAAATTAGTAAACATTCGTAACATTGCCATCAAACTATTCTCAGTTTGCTCACCGACACACACTACATGATTTTTTATACAAATACGAGTAACGACTGATCAAATTCTGATAAAAGATTTTTAGGTACCAAGGATAGCGCCGCTGAAAAGACAATGGAAAGGACAAGAGACTCGAAGGATCACCAACCAGTCACAACAACACATAATAATATTGGTATTAGATGTCATTAGAAGTCAGTGGTCAACTGCTATGTCATATATCGCATCAGATCGTGGTTTTATCGCTTTTCCATCACAAAAATATAATCTCTGTTATATCGCAGAGAACTTATCGCAGCGACTTCGCATGGATGAAAGTTGAATGAGACAAAATAACATCCTTTTGCCATCGCAGCGACGTTTATGCGACATAGAATGCAATATCGCAGGTCACAATTGTTACATCGCTGCAATATCTCTGTGATCTAACTGTATCCGCTTGGTAAGACCGAACGAAAGTTCATAGGAAAATTCATATGTTTTTCATTTTGTATTAATGTGCTTATTTTATTCTGAACAGATTCTGGTTGAATAAAGTTTTCTACGATTTTTCAACTGGTGTTATACATTAATAAAAAATGAGACAATTTGATCTAAAATGTCGCTAAATCTCGGAAAAAAAGTCGCTAGATTTTCGAAAATTTCGCCGGCGGTGGGCTTTCCGCTAGCTTCGCTACAGCGACTCCTAACGGTTTTTTCGTATCTTTGTGCGATATTTCATGTTCAACAGCTGGCAACACTGCTCAAAGCACTGAATAGCAAGGATCATACATCTCTATATGATCTAACGGTAAGGTAACGACTTCTTTCCACTCGTCACACCGGTGCAAACTTTTTTCGCACTTCACATTTTTCGTCTATGTTAAACAGATGGAATGTAAAAAGGATAGATATACACGAAGTGCATAGTAATGATGGAAGTAAGATATGGTGCGCGCATTCGGCCATTATTACGTATTGAAAATTTCAGAAAAATCACTCGACCGGCCTACTATGATTTCTCTACGTCACAACTAGCGAGTAGTTGATTCTACATTTTCCCGCTAGATGGTGATGCTGCTATTGCTGCTGTGACGAGTAGACGAGAGGAAATAAAATGGCAAATGCCATTTCAGGTACGCGGAACATATGTAACAGTGGGATTAAGGTTCATGTAAACTCACGTGAAAAAAAACGGCAAGTTCAAAAATTTTGAAAAAAACTGGTATATCAAGGTTTTTAATTGAAAACTTCTGTGAGATTTTGATGAAAATCTATCGAACGAATTTTGAGAAAAAAAATTAAAACTCCTTTTTTTATAGGTTTTTTTTAGTTTTCACAAAAACTGTTCGATGAATTTTTGTCAAAATCTCACAGCAGTTCTTAACAAAGAATTAAAATATGCCTGATTTTTTTGAAAATTTTTGAACTCACAGTTTTCCTACAATAGTGAATTAATCATTGAAAGTTGCTGTAAAATCTATATTATTCGAAAAATATGATATATTTTGATTATTCATGTAAGATGTAACGAATACGGATCACTTGAATCCTATTTCAGTCATAAACAATGATTTATTCGATTTTAAAATAGGGTTTTCAAGACCCCTTACCAAATTCCTCTCAAATAGATTAATCGCTCCAGCAGGTGCTGCCTCTGCTGGTAATAGTCATAATCTAAAGTAGTTTCGCTACTGTCCACGAGTATCGCATAAAATGTCTGACCATCATAATATTTGTCGTACAGCGTTGCCAATACACGCCTAGACAAAGACAACCGATAAATGCTGATTGTTTCTAGCAAATCCTTCAGAAAATCGTCTATGGACACATTTTCCCTTTTTGACTTGTGAATATTGAATACATTCGCGGGCCTAATGAAGGGGGGGATGGGTCGTGTTGAATTATTTCATATTCATATGAAGATTAAGTCAATTCAGTTGATTATTGTGATGAACAATGAATGCTTCGCAGATGAAATTTTTTAATAATAAAGAAAATGCCTTTCGAATTAGAAGTTTGGTTTTTCGGACATGCATCATGCACTTCATGTACCGGGAAGTGAAAATTTCATCCGAAATAATAATCTTCATCTTCATTGTGTCATCAACTTGCTCATGGAAATGCCCCAAATGTTAGGGGCCTCTTCAGATTTTTATTATCCACCATAATGCCCATCTATGGAGGTTTTCATGATTATTCCTCTAGAAAACAACTAACCATTCAACTTTCATGTTTTTCAATTCTCTACGGTTATTATAAAAAATTTTCCATCTTCATGTAAGCTATCTCTATGGTAAGGATTCCTCTTGTTACTTAATTAATTTTTCTCATTGTATATAGGACTATGTAATTTCTTATTAGGCTGATGATGGACATATGTATACTCCCTTGATGTGATTATTCACAATGAGCATTAGGTTGAGCATTTTTCTCAAAAATATGTAATTTCTGGTTTTAAGCCTAGCAGCACCTCAATTTCCTAGAAGTGGTTTGAATTCCACGTAGGTCTCGCTCACCATAACCCCGCACAAGTTTCGACTTCTGGGGTGTTGATTCCCATCGAAGTAGCGATATACAATTTTTGTAAAATTATATAAAACACTAAAAATTAACAATAAAACGAATATGTATTGAGAAGAGACAATATTTTCTGATCGATTTTCCTCGAAAATGATACATCTCTGATTGATTCGGAACAAGAGCAAATCTTGGAATGGTTTATTTCCACTGCATTGGGCATGGAAAGCTCGATGGAAAGTTTAGTTCTTGTACCGAATTGCATTATTATATCACATGGCGTTTCGGAAATATTCGAGAAATATCATATTTAGGACCCTTCTTCCAGGGGGCTGTAGCTCCCTCATATAAGAGACATTTATGTTCATCTGAACCAATGATATATAATAGTGATGATATAAATATTTCCGAAATAAGGCGATTCTCATCAAGAACAGGATCTTTATTAAACCAGACCCCTCCTCTATTCTATATATAACTCAACTATTATAGTCTTGCTTCACCAAATTCTGATCGGTATCAATAATCATCAATATGATTAGTTTTTCAGAGATGAACATCCTTTTGGACATTTGAACCTTTCAATGGAAATGAAAAGATGTTGATATTTTATGAAATTATATTAGGATTTTTTGTAGGTAAACTAACTTCATAGTATTGCTCCTCATGTTTTCTGCCTCGAAAAATACTGAGTTTGAATCAACTGCAAATTCTGAAACGTTCAATGATGATTTGAGACAAAAAAACAGGATATATACTTTCATTTTTGTACTCTCTGTTTCCGAGTAAATAACTATTCACGCGTTCAAAAACCAAAAACAGTCTGTATATGTTTAGATCTGCCTGTTCCTTTGAAACCTTTTATAGAAATTATATGAAAATATTCATATGAAGGTTTGAAACCATTTTCATTCCAATAAAAATACACGGCACTGTCCAAAATGATGATTGTCTTAGAAAAATTGATCATATTGATGGTTATTCAGTATAGTTATTCATACCGGTCCAAATTTGGTAAAAATCGTAAGACTAATAGCTGGATATATAAAGGAGAAACCGTTTGAAGTGGGACAGGCTGTATAGAATCATCTTGTTACACCTCGTTGGCTGAGTAATGTAATCAGGAATTCAGCTATATACCTATGTAATTTTCAGGGCTGATTTATGACTCTTCGGGAAAGTAAGTCGAATATCATGAAGTGAATGACTCATCTTCTGAAGCCTCATTATGATTATTTTTATGCCCGTTACCACCGAACATAAATATACATAGTATGGTAAAAGGATAGGATTTTGATTCAAAGACATATGAGTTCTTAGAAAATTACTTATGTGTGCTTCTTTACATTTCTCGGGATGGAGTTGTATGGAATTGGCATACCTAAGTATTCCTTTCATGTCTATGAACTATCGACTAGCTCTACTGCGTAATGATTCAAGTAAAACTGTTTCAATTTAGACATCATATTTTGTACAAAAAACCCTCAGATACAAATTTTGAATATATCATAATTACAAAATTCATCTGTCATATTGAATCCGCCATCTTGAATTTCTTTATTTTGACTAAGGAATCATAATTTCCGATGCCGAAAATCCCCTGATAAGGTTTGAATAGAATCGGATCATAATTACAAAACTCGTGTGTCACATTGGATCCGCCATCATAAATTTCCGAATTTTGATGGTAAAATCATGATTTCTGATCCAGGAAACCTCAGATATACAATATTTTTGAATTGGATCCTAATTACAAAACTCGTCAGCCATATTGGTTCCACCATCTTGAATTTCCAAATTTTGATGACACAATCATAATCTCCGACCTCGAAAACCCCCAGATACCAATTATGAATACAGTCGGACCATAATTACAAAACTCGTCTGCCATATTGGCTCCGCCATCTTGTATTCTCAAATTCTGACAGAAAAATCATAATCTCCGTCGATCCCCGAAAACCCCTAGATACCTATACCAGTTTTGAATAGAATCTGATCATAATTATTACAAAATACACTAGTGTATAATCAAGGATGGAATAAGATACTCTTCGGATTTTTTGATGTTCATTATCGTTCAGTCGTGACTTCGGCGACAGGTCGGAACGGGTTCGGACGGACGGATCGGGACGGAAATTCAATGTTTTTTTGGTTTTTCCTCACCCAACAAAGTGCTGAACGCGCCCAAAGTTTTCACTTGAAAAATTACAATAATGTCATCAAGAATGTATTCCCCCAGAAATACATCGGAAGGCAAATTTGGACCACCGTGTATAATATAAATATCATTCCATACCAATTCCATCCCAGACAGCACCAGATATTCCATGAATCTCCCTATCATATTCATTTCGGAATATTGGAATATTCTAGAAATAATCTGGAATATTCCGGAATATCTGTGGAATATTCTCTAAATATGCGAATATGGGAATTCCTCAGATAATCATAGAATATACCCAAAAGAATATTCTATGTTGAATGTTCCTGGAATATTCCAATAAACATATTCTAAAATAAAAAAAAGTGACCCAAGTAGGGATCGAACTCGTGACCTCAAGACTATCAGAGCAACGCCCTGACCACTAGGCCAGTAATCGAATTGAATAATTTTATACATATCAAGTTCTTGTGAGAGCATTGTTCGAAATCGAATCATAAACACTTTTTGTTTCAAAATCTCCTTACATCTAATTGATGTTCGATACTCACATCTCTGAAATAATAAATGGTATTGATGTGTTGAGAAACATAGGAATATTCATGGAATATTTCATGAATATACACAACAGAATATTCAGTTGAGAATATTTCATGAATATACCGCACAGAATATTTAGTTGGGTATATTTCATGAATATACCCCACAGAATATTCAGTTGGGTATATTTCATGAATATACAACAGAGAATATTCAGTTGGGAATATTCCTGGAAGATTCATACCTGAATATTCCCTGAACATGTCCGACTATTCACTTTGGAATATTCCTTTTAGATGTTCCAGAGGCATGTATATATTCTAGGAATAATCGATGAATTTTCGGAATATACTCCTCCTTTTTAGCATATTTAGAGAATATTCTATGAATATCCAGTGCTGTCTGGGATATATTCCATTCATATACAAACAAATAAGTATATGAGCCACACTAGTGTTTCTCCATTCACCCCTGTAGCGAACTTTATCACTGAAATATGAACGATTCATAATAATAATTAACCCTCGTAAAATCTCCTAAATACCCGATACCCGAAACAGAAGAGGCGGCCGACGCCGACGCTCATTAGCGCATCGCTTCGATCCTAAAAGTCAAAGCTTCCGCCTAGCCGCCTTGCGCCCGAGAAAATGACCTTGAAGGCGATTGCCGATCTTTTCATCTATGCCTTCGCGCTCCGACAACACATCGTCTCACTATGTATAGAAATTGTTATTATATTTATTGTGTGTTTATGTGTCGCCTTTTTTATTTGCATCGAATCCTCACGAAATATACATGTATATTCTCATAGATGCTTATATAAAATTCAATTCTACTCCTTCACCCACCGGAGACAATAAAGATCAGATAACTATAATGTCGCGCAATATCAGTATATACCATGCAATTTGCAAAAAAATATCGCAAGTCTAAGACCTATTACCAGCTATGGCAACAATGGTATGTATTTTACAGAGACAACGAAGGAATCTGCATATTTCGGAAGGGTTCTGCAAAATTGTTACCCTATGAAACACAAAAGTAGGGCAATTATGGTTGCATACATCAAGTAACACCTGGAGCACTAGCGACATCTGACAGATCAGAAACGCGAAATTTGTCGCTTTACATGTACCTTAAACAACTCTGAATTCGAAAAATCTGCGACAATTTCAAAACTGACAGAAGTCATAATGTGCAATGTCGCCATCTATTAGAATATCAACGGAACCATTGCTCTCGCTGCTCTCGAGAGGTCATTGTTTTAGTGCAGAGTGAAAAACTCTATTATCAAAGATAGGTAACAAGTTGATAATGGCGGGTACAAATGACAGCTTATAATAGCAGAAATTTCAGGGTTTGAATTACTGGACGAATTTAAGCTTGTTATAAAAAAGTTCTTCCATCTTGACATTTTTTGCTAATTGACCTTGAAAAGAACTTTCTGTCTGTCCTGTCATCACGAGTTAATGACACATGACAGACGTGCCAACTGACGTGACCCCTCCCCTAATTTGTATGTTTTTTGTTTACCAAACACATAAAAATGAGATGAGATGAGGGAATATCAAAATATCAAAACCATTGACTGAATACATCTATTATTATTTGTGATATCTGTGCATTTTTCAGAGAATGTGAACCATACTAGGAAATTAAGTTCTAGGCATGTGATACATTTATTGCTGAAAATATCTACAATGTCAAAAAACAAATTGAATTTGACTCTACCTCCTGGTTCCATTGACCAGACCCCAGCGGTGACACCAACTTCTTCATTTCAAGAAAAAGTAAACGTGTAAGTAGGCATTCCTTTCGTTTCCACATCTTCTGAGTTATCCCTTTTCAGGCCCAATAATCTCAGAGGAAATGTAGACAATTTAACAGCTCGGTTGGAAGAGCTGGACACTTCCTCAGATATGGACGACACCCAACGTAAAAGAGTCAAGGCATTTCTGTGCCAAAAAGAAATGATAGGCGGAGAATTCTCAGATGATGACCTGGAAAAATTAGGTGAACTTGGCTCAGGCAATGGAGGAGTCGTGACCAAAGTGCTCCACAAAAGTGGCCTCATAATGGCAAGGAAACTCATACACCTAGAGGTGAAACCTGCCATCAAGAAGCAAATTATCCGTGAACTCAAAGTATTACATGAATGCAATTTTGCCCACATAGTTGGGTTCTATGGTGCATTCCACAGTGATGGGGAAATAAGCATCTGCATGGAATACATGGATGCTGGTTCTCTTGATCTGATCTTGAAAAGAGCAGGTCGAATCCCTGAAAATATTTTAGGTAAAATTACTTCTGCTGTCTTGAAAGGCTTGAGCTATCTGAGAGACAAGCATGCAATCATGCACAGGGATGTCAAGCCCAGTAACATTCTAGTCAACAGCAGTGGAGAAATAAAAATCTGTGATTTTGGAGTGTCAGGACAGTTGATAGATTCCATGGCCAATTCATTTGTAGGAACTAGGAGCTATATGTCAGTAAGTAGTCATATTGAAAAGATTTCAGTTTTAGCAAAGAAATATACATTTTGAGGTGACATTTGGTGGATCTGTATATTTCTATGAATTCTACATACTCTAAAAAAATGCTTTACCTTTAAGAACAGCCTAAACTGATATACAGGATAGGCAGACATTAGCTGCTGATATATACTACCCATAGAAGCTCACTGTTTCAGTGGATACATACATAACTCAAATTGAACATTTACAATAATGAATTCTTTCAATATGAACAAAGTGAAATATTTTACTAGAACTAAAAATTCAGTTACTGAATTATATGACCAAAAAAAAAGTTGATCCCTAGGAAGAATTAGAATACAGCAGTTTTTTTTTAATTGAGCTGGAAGAGCTGTACCTGACTTGGGTCTTTGTTAGGTATACAAGGAAAATGCCTATTTGTATCATAATCCCACAAATGACATTCAACATGAGATTAGATACCTCAGTCTGCTAAATACCTATTCTAATAGATAGATACTTTATTTGTTTTCCATTCAAAATACACTCAATATCTAATGAAACATAAAAGAATAAATGGTCTATGGAGACACATTTATCAATACAAATTGAAGTATTAATATTCAAATGAAAAATTCTATTGAATAACAGCATTTTTCAACTAAAACTCATCAATATATTTTTTTCAAATGTCAACATATTTCATCTGATGAAATAAAAACTCTTTTGATGAAGTGTAGTGGAGTGAGAGTTGGGGTTTTTTGGTAGACAAGTTGAAATTCTATTCAATTTACTGAAATGTATACATACTTCAAATATATATATATGCTGTACAATGTAACCTCAACCTTGACTGAAATTTTTCATTTTACTTCATTTATTGTATTTATTTATTTATCATGCTTTGTCAATAAGAATGTGTTTCTTTGACAATAAAGTATACTTTTGATTGATTGATTGATTGTAAGGATTTTAAGTTCTTTGAAGAGTTCTCAACAGATAGTCCTCATGTCAGTGTTTTCAATATTACTTCACATATTTTTGTAAAATAAACACTCTGTTTTGCTGTAGAGACAATAGCACCAAAAAATGTTACAACTATTAAAATGACATTTAGAAAGAAACAATAAAAAATAGCTGTAGGGAACGAATATTTATAACAATTAAAATCATTACTTTTTCTTCTTTAGAAAACAAATGACTGAACTCCTGAATATAGCTGGATTTTTAATGTCCTCAATTTCTGATGGTAATTTGTTGTATGCCCTTATTGCACTATAATGTGGATTTAAAAAAAAGCTGTTAAATGTCGTGAAATACTCGGATTTGTTCGGTAATGTGTGATCATGTCCATAGTAGATGAAGTAGAAACAATTTCCCTACAATATCTTGTATTTTGTAAAACTCTTAGTATTTGAGAGTATCCATTACTATTACTTGACGAATTGTACACAAGTATTCTTGTCAATCATGATAATCTCCTATTCTAAATATGGATGAAATTTCTCTTTCAGCCTGAGCGCCTGCAAGGTACCCACTACTCGGTCCAGAGCGACATCTGGTCGCTGGGCCTCTCCCTCGTCGAAATGGCCATCGGGATGTACCCGATCCCTCCGCCCGACGCACGAACGCTCGCCTCGATCTTCGGTCCGCGCAACGACCAGGACTCGCCCGACCACACGAAGGTGGGTATCATGCGATTTCATAATAATAATCTCAATTCAATTGATGATGATAATCCTAATTTAATTAGAAAGAACTGTGAACTACACTCACCGGCAAAAAAAAAATCTAACTGATCGCCCTGTAACTTTAATGTTAACCTAAGACCCTTTTTCTCTAACATCAATACTTAGTTTAGTTTATCCTTGAATTATTTCATCGAACGCTCTAACCGCTCACGTGCTCAGCTAAGAAGAAAATACGGACGAAGAACGTGGTAGTGCGTTCTCGCAAATTTTTTGACCATCGTACATATTTTTGGTCCTTCGAGCCGGATCCTCATGTTTCAATTTCTATACCTATACCCACCAACAACAGAAATTGATATCAACGATATCTGGTCCCTGGGCCTCTCACTGGTCGAAATGACCATAGCCCGATCCCGTCGCCCGACGTACGACCGCTCGCCTCGATCTTCGGCCCGCGCAACGATCAGGACTCGCCCGACTACACGAAGGTGAGTATCATGCAATTTGAAAATAATAATCTCAATTCAATTGATGATGATAATCTCAATTTAATTGGAAAGAATTCATGAACTACCCTCACCGGAAAAAAAAATAGCCAAACTGATCGCCCAGTAACTTCAATGTTTCGAAATGTTAACCTAAGAACCGTTTTTCTCTACCATCAATACATTAGTTTAGTTTATTCTCAAGTTATTTCATCGAATGCACTAACCACTCACGTGCTCAGCTAAAAAGAAAATACGGACGAAGAACGTGGTAGTGCGTTCTCGCAAATTTTTCGACCATCGTACATATTTTTGGTCCTTCGAGCCGGATCCTCATGGGAAACTCAAGTTTCAATGTAATCCAAAATGATTTCTATACCTATACCCACCCAACAACAGAAATCGATATCAACGATATTTGGTCCCTGGGCCTGTCGCTGGTCGAATTGGCCATTATCATGTACCCGATCCCGCCGCTCGAACTCTCGCGTCGATCTTTGACCCGCGCAACGACCAGGACTCACTCGACCACACGAAGGTGTGTATTAGGCGCTTGATGAGTTTCACTTTTTCATGATTTTGAGGTTTCAAGATTTATTCAAATCTACAGTACAGGATGTCCCAAACTCAAGGGGTTTCATTGGGATCTCGGTAAATACAGGCTGATTTTAAAATAAGTGCATATATTTTAAACACTAAGAAAGCTTGAGGTATACTACCGAATAGCACTATTAAAAATATTATTAGGATCAAAATAGATTTGGGGCAAAATACCCTTTTTCCGCCCAGATTTCTACTTCTGTCACAACTATCGTTTGCGATCCGCAGTCGACCGTGATGAACGAAGCGGCGTTGCCACTCTACATGAAAATTAGGAGATATTAAATAAAATGTATAATCGAGAAAATGTACATGGGGAAGAAGTTAACCCTGGTCTTGAATTTCAGAAAGATAATACAAAAACTTCAAAATGGACTCACCCAAGATTTCTACACATAAGCTTGAAAAGCGTATAACTTAACACCTCACGGTTGGAAGTTATTTTACTGAAAAATCCTTTAGACCCTTCCTTCCACCTCCTTGCATCGCTACAATTTCGTAGTCTTCGAGGAGTCTCATGGGCCCCGCACAATAACGACCCGACATAAGAACCATATCATTCAGCTCAATGTTTGAGAAATGCATCGTCACATTCCAAGCAAATTGTCAGAAACAAAACTTTACATTCAGTGTTGTTCCTGAGTCTGATTTTTTCGTAATAGATTTTCTTGGAAAATGGTAACAGATTTGTATCAAAAGGTAATAGATCCTAAAAATCTGACATTTGACATTCTGAATGTCATTCTTGTAAAACCATATCGCACAAATTAGACAGAAATAGATTTTTTAGTAACAAAACATCATATTTTGGTGCTAACAGTAACAAAACATCATATTTTGGTGCTAACACCCAATAGTAATAGATCTATTACAAAAGTAATGACAAGGACCACACTGTTTACATTTACTAGTATCACGTTTTGACGTTTTCCAAAATAACATACATTCTCAGAACAACAAACTGCAAGAATTCAGATGACCATGAATTACTAATAGGCGACTTTTACGGACCAATCAGAAACAGCAAAGTAGTGCCTGCGTGGTTGCGATTCATCCTGATTGGGCACAGGTGATTGAGATTAATGTATTAGTGAGGAAGGATCATATCTTTAAATGAAACTAACATTTTCATAAAAAACTAATTTGGAAAAAAGATCTATTAGTTTAATTCAATGAAATGATACTCCTCACTATACACTAATCTCACAAATCCAATCAGCTGTGTCCAATCAGGATGAATCGCAACCACGCAGGCGCTACTTTGCTGTTTCTGATTGGTCCGTAGAAATCGCCTATTAGTAATTCATGGTCATCTGAATTCTTGCGTCCGAAACTGTCAGAAGCATGCGCAGTTTCACAGAACTGTATGATTTTTGGATTCTGTGGACTTGTGCATGCTTCTGACGGTTTTGGATTGTTTATTCTCTGAACGCGAACAATCCTAGTTAGAACTGTCAAAGGTCACAGCAAAGAGGAAATCTATGGTCACAGATACTACTGTTCTGAGAAATGATGTTGACAGATCATATGATAATAGTTTTTTTGTGTGTTTGTAAAATAATTGTAAACGTAAAATAAAAAATAAAATAATTGGATGTTGTGTCGTGATAATCGTGATATGGTCGTGATTTTCAATGTGAGATTGACAGGAAGGATATGTCGTCGTCGAGTCGTTTTCGATGGTTTAAGTGCGAATATGAACCAACAAGAACACAGGACGATATTAGTCTGGAATGGACTCGATATTAGTATTTGTTTGCTCTCGGGAGTTTTGCTGTTCGAGCAGGTATGAGAAAATCTACTAGGTGAGTCGATTTTCAACTTTGTGGAAGGAAGGGGGACGTTCTATCATTCCCCTCATGTTTCTATCCGTCTCTCGTGATCCATGGAGATAATCACCCCACAGTTCTCTCAGTGAACTTTAAAAAATAAGGCTCCTGTACATATTACATTCCTCAGATGAAGAATGTCCCTTTCTTCATCTGAGTTACATTCACCTCTATTAGTTTCCATAACCTATTTCAATTCATATTCATTCTGTGACAAATTTTTATCAGGATATTCGTCTCTGAAACAAACTGGCATCACTGTCTTGTTCTGACTTTAGTGAATGACGAATTGGAGAATCCCTGGGATTCCGCAGATTTCACTTGCTTCCCAGTGGCGTACTCGAATTTCGAAGCATTTTATGTTCAATTTTCAAAATGAAATTTCTCGTTACTGTGAAGACTTAGGAAAAATCTAATATTTTAGTAATTTTTGTTAGACTCTCTCATATATATGTCTTGAATATATGCACTCATTTTAAAATCAGCCTGTATAACAGATACGAAGTCGGTAAGATTAGGAGTATTAGGACAAAGTTGCACAGTTTGATTCTGATCAAAATGTCGCTTCAAGTTTGGAAATTCAGAATACTCACGAAGATATCTAGAAAAAACCGAATATCCGTGATATGATTAATTTTTTCATTTGAGGTGATATGACAAAATGGGTTCAATATTGTCATTGTCACTTTTTCCGCTCTATCCAATGGTATTAATAGATTTGTGATCCGACGTTTCGTCTTCGAGGAGCCATCACCAACTTTGTTTTTTAAATATTCGAAAAAAAAAATGATTCGTCCTCAAATAATTGAAATTCTGATTCTGAATCCAATAAAAAAAAATCTGATAACATCTTGTAGAGAAGAAGAAAAAATTGCTGCAAAAATGGCATTTTCTTCTTGGTCAATCTCTTGGTAAAATCAGAAAAAAATCATTTCTTAGAATTAAAAACTTCGAGAATAAGAATTTTATTTTACTAAGAGATAGACCAAAATATATTTGACATTCACAAATAACGGCAGAAATTGGCTAATAAGAATGTGATACACCAATGTAATACAAGGACACATTCTAACAATTATCAGACTACCAATACCAAATTCAACCCTTGTTGAAAATTCCGTTGTTTATAATGGGCTCAAGTTATTCAATCATCTACCTGATGCGATCAAGGGCATTGCACTACATTGACGTTCAAAAAAAAACTACTGATCAAAAGGACATACTATACCATTGATGAGTTTCTAGTAGATACTAATTTCTAATATGTATATTATTCTAATGGACTTTATTGATCTTCCACAAGCATACTCTGCCTTTCACATGTTTCATACTTCAAATTTATTGTCTTGTGTTCGTATCATCTTAGTTTATTCTTTGTTATTGTGTTTTGATTTATAAACGAATATTTGTAGAATAATTTAGGTAGATGAATTATCATTTATCATCTTTGTATCCAATGGAGTGTAAGTGGAAGAACAACTCATTTAGTGAATATATTCGCTAAATGAAGTTAACTTCGCCCTTTATTTTCATGTAATTTTCATTGTACCATTTTATTGTTACTATTTTGAAAATAATGAAGACGTTTATTATTATTATTATCTTTGACTTGACTTGAAGGGCCCCCGGCCGATGGCGATCTTCGAGCTGCTCGACTACATCGTCAACGAGCCACCTCCCAAGCTGCCGAGCGGCATCTTCACCAACGAGTTCAAGGACTTCGTCGACAGGTGCCTGAGGAAGAACCCGGACGATCGAGCCGATCTGAAGACGCTGATGGTGAGCGCGATCCCTTTTTTTTTCTATTTCCCGAAAATATTCCGAAATTTCTTCAAGTATCCCTCAACATTTTTCGAAATTACCCTCGAAAGGCGCCAAAATTCTCCAGAATACCTCAAGATTGTCGAAATAATAGAGATTCCCCAATATCCCTCGAAATTACTTGAAATACCTCGAAATTTCTTTGTTTTCCCGTCCATTCCCACAAATTGTACGAGAAATTTCTCCATAGAGTAATTATGAAAAATAAATTCTTTCATTTCACCTTGGCACCCTGTATCTCTCTTATTAACAATATTAAATTTTATCACAATTATTTCAAAGAACCATCCTATTAACCTGTATAACAATATCTGTCCGTCGATTCAGGCTAGGTAGTTATAATATGTTTAAGATTATCTTTTGTGAGGATTTTTTTCTTGATATTAATCATAAATGATGAAGATTTTGAAGGGGTAGTGGCTGTTTTTCTCCCCAAGTACACGCCACTGGAAAAAGAACAGTTTTGGCACATTTGAACCGCCTATGTTTTCTACACAAAAAAGGTACCGACTCTTTGTCATAAGCTCTAAAATTGACCGTTTTTGGGAAAAATCAACTTTTATGTTGAAAAACATTAAAAGTTAAAACAAGTAACAAAACCACACGTCAACTCCGTAATTCCAGAACAAATCATACTCAGTTGAATTAATTGTTGGAAATGTCCGCCGTTAGCTTCAATGCACGGAGCAAAAAATTTACCATGTTTTCCAACATAAAAGTTAATTTTTTTCGAATACGGTCAACTTTAGAGCTTATGACCAAGGGTACTTTTTTGTGTAGAAAACGGACGGCTCAAAACTGTACTTTTTCCAGTGGCGTAGAAGTTGTGGAAAAAAACACCCACTACCCCTTCAAAATCTTCACCAATTATGACAATATTTTTGGATGAGCTATCACACGCATCCCACGCATATATTATGAAACACCCTGTATATCAATAATAAAAGCTAACCCCAATTGACATGTGGTCGTCAGACAAAGGAAAATAATGCAAAAATGTTGATTTTTTTTTCAGAACCATGCTTGGATAAAGAAATCGGAGTCTGAAGATGTGGATGTAGCTGGATGGATTTGCAAAACCATGGACATTCAGCCTCCAAACAAATAGATGAATAGTTTTTTTACATTACACCCAATATTAACTTGTTCTAGTAGTTGATTAAATGAATATTAAGTTATGATCATCCAAAATAGATTCTTCATTTTAAAACCCTGTTCTATAAAAATCAATTTTATAGGTTATCGCACATTAAAACTACCAGAATTCATGAAAAAATAATCGGGATATAATGAATTTTTCGTCGAAATCGGCAAATTCAAGATGGCGGATCCAATATGGCGGACGAGTTTTGTAATGATCCGATTCTATTCAAAATTTGTATCTGGGGGTTTTTAGGATCGGAGGTTATGATACTTTCGTCAAAATTTGAAAATTCAAGATGGCGGAGGAGTCAAGGCCTGGATAAGTCCAGCTTCTGGCAGCTGGACTTATCCAGTTTATATACAACATAAATACACTGTGTAAACAGATGATGATAAGAATATAATCTGCTACCCAATCATAACTAGTGGAAAATCTGGGATAGGTGAAAATGATTTAGGTTGTAATCATCCAGGTAATCATGCAATATTACCAGTCTCAAATAAATAACAAATTTCTTACCTTCAAATCACCAGGGTCTGTATTTTCAATTCATTACCTGTATGGAGCAGAGGTAGATGTTTCCGATTTTCATCAAACACTTTTTCACCAATTTATTAACTGAACTTTCAAAGAAAATAGAGCACAAAATCAAACCAACACCAAAAAGTAAAATCTGAAAATGCATGGCTTCCCAAAAAAAATGATAACCAATCATTTCTCAATTGTTATTGCACTAGCATGTAAAAATACAGAAACTAGGAATTTTAGATTTATATAGGTACTAAAGTATAAACATTATAGAAACAATATGTTTCAACATTGATATAGCTTGTAGGAAAAACTGAGATATATGAATAGGGCATGCTGGGTTTATAGATTCAATTAAACTAACAATTAGGAATAATTAACAATCAACAGTTGATAATCATGAGGGTGTTTATACATATCTGACTTCAATTAGATAGTTGGATATAAGAATTAAATGTGAAATGGAAGATCAAATTGACATTAAAAAGTAATTTAGGTCTTCACAATAAATTATTCATGAGTCCATAAAAAATATTTCATTCACATATAACCAAACTCCACTTAAACAATAACAAATCCAATCTTCATGTTCTGTCTCCAGAATTTCATAATTCTTATTTATTAAATTGAAAATTGGCCAACTTTGTAATCCTAATTTAAATGATAGATGTAATGCAAATGTATATAAACCCTCTTAGATGTTTTCTTGTATTCAACTTTTCAAGTTCATGCTGGGTTTATCGATCCTATTAAACTAACAATTAGGAATTAACAATTAATAATGATGATGGTGTATATACATATTAAGAATAAGATGTGAAATGTCTTGATTGTAGATCAAAATGATCTTAAAAAGCGATTTTGGTCTCCACAATTCATGAATCTATAAAACATTCCAATTAAATATCACCGAACTTCACTTGAACAATAACAAATCCTATATTCAAGATCTGTCTCCAGAATTTACTAATTCAGTTGAAAGTTGACCAACTTTGTAATTCATTTCTCAATTTAATTGACAGATGTAAATGAATAAAACCTCATAGATGTTTCATTGTATTCAACTTTTTGAGTTCATAGTTGTTAGTTCAACTCTCAGTTTAGTTCAAAATCTATAAACCCAGCATCATACCTAGCTGTAACAAGGTTTTAATCATGCAAATATCAAATGTGAACACACAAGAGAAACTTCTTACCTTCAAATCAACAAGGTTTGCATTTTCAATTATCCTCCAACTGAAGCAGGGTCTTTGTTTTTTGTTTCTCACAATACACATTACCAATTCATCATCACTAAAATTTTACAACTAAATCAACAACAAATAAAATCTGACGCCCAAATCAAAAAATAGGTTCCTCAAAAAAATTAATAAGGACTTCTCCTTGCTCTATCATTGTTACTGTGCTAATGGAATATCTAATGAAACTATCTATGGAAATTAACTCAGATATTATGAAAACAATCTATAATATCAATTATTATCACATCATAAGGATCGAATAATAATGCTGTGTTATTATCATTTTTATAGTTGGTGGAAAAACTGGAATATATGAAGAGGAGGATATAGGACCTATGTTGAAATCTGCTGTGGTTGAAATCATGCAACATTTGAACCCGGTCTTACAAAAACAAATAAATTGTTACCTTAAGATAAACAGGATTTGCATTTTCAATCATCAATTTCCCAATATGTCGACTCCATTGTTTTTCACAACTCACAACACTTTTTATTATCAATATAAATATTGGGAAACTTTCAAACGAAATCAAACTAACGGCCAAATCGAGGAAGTGCAAATGGCACATCAGAATCTCTTTAAAACATCAAAACAGTTGAATAACGACTCGTTGGCCAATTATTGCGCTAGTCAATTGAATACTCAGTCAATATAAATAGAAACTATTGGATTCAAAAATATGTTCGTTAAAAAATTATAATACAATTCACAGTTTGTACGTTTTGTTGTATTGATGCCTGGGATCGTCCTTGCATCATTCGCAAAAATTCAAATTCAAACCGGTAGGCAGTGTGTACTACCACGACAATACGGAAATTCTATTTGGTATACGTTCCGGTCACTGGATCAGTACACTATAAATTAAAATTATACAATCTTTGAAAACTGAATAATATAAAATGACAAAATGTTAGCAAGCCGTGTCAGTCTGAGTTGCAAGTATTTTCATTTTATAGTGTACGTACATAACAAAAAACCAAATGAAAAACACTATCTACCGGCACAGATTTGTTTAGGCTATTTTGGGATGAAATGACAAATTATGCAGACGATTGGTGGTTGGATTGACGTGGGGCGTGGAATGAATACAAAACACAGAAAAAACGAGAATTGTATTCAAAAATAAAAACGTTCAATGGAAACAACCTACCTAAATCTTGTTAAGATAATTTCTCTTCTTCATTTACTTACTGTCAGTCTAGCGTAGTTTATTGCCTTGCGAGTCTGGCGACACTAGATTCAACACAATAATTAGTAATGTGCAAATAATGCATGGATGAAGTTGTTATCCAGAAGTTGTAGTGAAAAGATTTGTGCCAGGTTAAGAGTGAAGAAACCGTAGGAGCGAGCAGTTCAAATGTCAGTAGCCTGCAAATGCAGGGATAGTGGTGATGGTGGTGAGAGAATAATCATTTTTCGACCTTGCGATACCCAGTGTTCGGGTGAAATTTAGTTTACATACCCGTTTTCTCCTATTATAGCCTGATGGCTGAGTGTCTCATTTCCACAACATTTCACACTTTGTTATCCCATTTATTTCAACTAGTTTAGTTTTAGTAATTCTATTCATGTGATCAAAAGTAAATGTGTTATTCAAGGTTTTGCGATAATCACCTTCATGTCTCTAGGTGAAGACACGACAGGTACCCTTTTATGAAGAGAGAGTATCAACACTATAAAAATTCTCCCCAAAGGAATTTAGCGTCTGCTACGCAATATTATTTATTTATTTATATGTTTCAGATTCATTTTGCGTCTACCTATCTCTTGGGAGTTCCATTTCACATTTTTAAATACTCTCGGATTGAATATGCAGAGTTACAATTTCGAGAAGCACAGTGTTTGTAAACCCATTAAATATACCTGGTGCTCCATTACAAAATTAATCTATTCAGGGACAAAGCAGAACAGAGGAAAAATGAAGAAGTGTTTCTTGCTTCATCCAAATTATTGCCATAGTATGATTGAGAATGAAGACTTTCCAAGTCGACTCATCAACAAGCAAGGATTAGTTTCATTTTGAAGAACATGATTAAAATGGACTATTGATATATCTGAATCAGGTTGCAACAGGGTTTCTTCTGGATACCTTCTCAATTGATAAAGATGATACTTAAAAATATTTTAATTCACATTATTGCGTTTCGGAATCACACATTTGTCAATTAGAAACAATCAAAAACAGAACATGTAAGAGGAGGTGTTGAAAAAACGTCTGCAAATATTTTCATACATTTAATCAAAACAGACTCTGATCAGACTGCTAAATCGAAAAATTGGTTTGAACTAGCTCAATTCACAATCAAGCACAATGAATACACAGAAAAATTACAATCATCATGAGAAAAACCAACAGTTTTTTAGTAAAAGTCGCTGCTAGGCAAGACCAAAGTCTGTCAAAATTCATGCAGTTTTCAAACATATCAAGTAAAGTAATGTTCAATATTTTACAAACCCATAATTCGACATATTGATTGAATAACTATAATTGTTGTACAGTCTTAGAGAATTTTTCATCTTCGCTGAAAATTCAATGATAAAATAAGCGGAAAATATTTAAAAAATTGAAGCAAAAATGTATTACAACTTGTGGATGTTAATGACAAAAATGATATAACTAAAAACTTCTGCCATTATATTTACAATGCAGACAGGAGGCCAGAACTCACTGGACTAGATTAATAATCTTTCATCAAAAGGTATCCTAGTTTTTAGAAAACTAATGAAAAATCGAACACAGATCAAACGTAAAACGATACCTTAAGCAACATAGTTGTATTGGTTGGGGTTGTCCTTGTCCCGTTCCATGTAGTCTCTGTCTATAAGAGACTCAATGCGTTTCTTCAAGTCGGCAGGCTGAAATACCAGGAAATCATGAAACTAAACTCTTTTACTATTGTCAGAAACACTCCAGAGATACCCACCAAGTACAATAATCACTACTCCTATAGTATCATTATAATAATTATTATTATTTATATATATATTGTGATACAGTTCCATCGCCCCATATTATGTTCAGAATATTGAAGGGTGCTGGTTTTATGACTAAGATATATTGAATGCATGATTGAAGAGTTACATAAGCTAGATAAGAGAGGTGACAGCGAATAGTTAGGATGATCAGTATAGTTTAGACTAAAGAGAGTAAATGTGTTGTCCAAGAATTCAAAGTTGATATTTCAAGACGTGGATATTATTCAAGCAGCTTTCCAGTGCCCCCCTTAACACTATCAGTAATCCGTCATCAACGGTACTGCACCGTTACTTCATTATCTCTTTCAGAAATAATCTTTGGTAGAAGTCCACAGTTTCCCAAAGTGGAGTGAAGTAGTAAGCACTCAATAATACTCGAAATTATTAAAAATGTCGTGGAGATGACTTTGAGTATCATTGAGTGATTTTTCAGAAATGTTTGCTCAATGAACGATCATTTCGTTTTCTCAATCTCAAGTTATGTCGCTCTTTTCGTGATGAAATGTTTTGCTATGCCGTACACAGCACCAACGTCACATTTATGTCTAATGTGGAAACATGACAGGTACCCTTACGAGGGGAGCGTATCAACACTCGGCGTTTATGATTCATCTCTGCAAAGGAGGTAGACGTCTGCTAGGTTAGGTATATACAGTGTTGTTCATAACAGAGAGAATATTTGTTTGCATCATTAATTCATTGATTAACTTCTAACTAGATTTTAGCAATAGAAAATATTTTTTGTTCAATCATTTTCAGCATGTTGATGTCAATTATTATAGAAATATCCTTGACTGGGAAAACTGTCGCGATTTTCAAATATCAGCACTTACCTTGACGGGAAACTTGAGCTGCAAATAGAGTTCACTGATGAGCAGATTGTGGCTGAGGGTTTTGCGCATTTTCATGATACGCACAATGGCAGCATCAATTTGATACTGTCTATCTTGGAACACACGTTCTTCCGTTGCTTTCTGTTCTTCTGTCTGAAAAAACAAACGTGCCGCTTGATAACAATTCGGTAATACCCAAGAAGATCAGAAGTTCAGTTCAGAAATATTTCGTCAATCGCTACAAACTTCTTGTTGCTATCGTTTTGCATATGGATTATAGTCGGTATATCATGATGGAAAACTGTCAATTTACAGTGAAATACATTTGGCAGTCTTGATAGAAATCGATTTTTGCGAATCTATCGCATATTTTGTTTAAATAGGTAGGTATTATTGAATTATCTCTAACAGCATCTGTATTATTTGCTGAAACAAAAAAATCGGGAAATGAATATTCGACCAACCATAGCTTTCTGTCCAAATTGACATCATTGTCAAACTCATTGTGTATTTTATTGGAACCCGCGAGAAGGTGCGGGCATAACCAATCCAAATTGCCCGCGCACATTTTGGCGTTTTCAATGATTTTTTATATGATGAATTGATAGAAAAAAATCTCAAATAATGATTGTTATTTCAAGGAATTCCAGAGCCATATATTTCGAGATATATTCTTTCTGGAAATTACTAGAAACGCTCAATCAAGCACTCACCGTCTCCTTCATCTGGATCTGGTTGATCTTGATTCGGAACAGCTTATTGGTAAACTCGTTATTGAACCGGAACTTGTCGACATCATCGATGTCCCTGCCCTTCGGTATCTTATTCAATATCCTCGCCTTCCCGCAAGCCAGCGACTGCAAAGTCCTCCTCAATTCCCCGTCCTAATTATAATAATATTATTTATTTTCCTTTGGATAATGAAAGTATTGTATAGGAATAATAGGAATTGTCAAAGTAGAAGTCAAAAGACTCATGAGTATTGTAATACCTCGATCCCTGTCGCTGCTTTGATGTACTCGAAGCCGACCTCGTCGTACTTGTTGAAGAGGAGGATGACCAGAGTCTGGAAGAGCGAGACGACCAATTCTTTGGGACCTGCCCTGAAGGCCGCTCGGAGGACGCAGTAGCCCAGAGTCGGCTGCCACTGTAGTTTTCTACCGCTGTGCTTGCTGATATAGAAGTCTTTGAAGATGTCCTGGAATCACGATTTAGATCAACTGATTTTTTTCCATTGTATACACTTACCGGCGAAAAAACCGGCCAGTAACAAATTTAGCCAAATCGAACAATTAGCTGATGGCTTGAACAGTATACAGGGAGAAACAAGTTACTCTTCACCCATAACTTTTCAACGCTCTGTGACAAGCTGGTTGAACTCAGCTCATAATTGCGCCATCTTGAATTTACGAATGTTTACGAAGGAATCTCTGACCTCAAAAAACCCCAAATATCAATTTTGAATAGAATCGGATCATAATTACGAAACTCGTACGCCATATTGGGTCCACCATCTTGAATTTTCAAATTTAAAAAACTAACTAACTACAACTAGGATTTTTTTTTAAATTGTCTATCGATAAGTTCATGTTGGTTCTGCAAAATCAAAAAATACATACTTTCTTAAAACACTTGTATGTTCTCTCAAAAAGAAGATAGCAACGTGAATCAAACACATCAATCCAAAAAAAAAAACCACTCACTTTTGCCACAGGACTTAAAGAAGTTAAGCATGAAATAGTAACTTTTGTGTTTTCCTGTATAATGATTAAGCTATCAGCGTTTTTGAATCTTAAATACAGGTTAACTTTTTGAAACGTAACTCTATGAATGAAATAAATCAAAACTACCCCACACCAATAATATGTTATAGATTCTTTCAAACATAAATCTGGTTCAGGCATTGATGATATCTCTATATGAATATTTCAAAATCTTCCAGAAAATGCACTCAATAATATCATGGTTGTTGATATTTGGATCTTCTGTCATCCACCATTATTTCTTGTTTTATGATGTTTGTGCCTTTATATGTCAGCTTGTCATGTAAATTATTTGTTTATTCATTCATGAATCAGTTTTTTCAGTCAACATGTGACGATTTCAATTTAGATAAAAAGCTTAGTTTTTTCAATGTTCAACTTGATTATGGCCAGATTTTTCTGGCTCTTTTGCCGTTTCAAACAAAAATTCCGATACCTGACTTGCCTGTATGTTCCACCCAATGACAAGTTCCCATCTGGTTGATTTTTTGTTTAATTGAATGTGATATATGTACTTGTTGCTAACATTAAGTCACCAATTCCAACATCGGCTCTTGATAGAGGTTCAATAATTTATGTAGGCTGTAAGATTTTCAATTATTTGCCAAAAGATATCAAAGAAGTTGGATCCAATAAAAAATTCAAGCAGAATAGAAGCACTCTTTTCAGATAAACCTTATTATAGTTTACAGATTGTTTTATTAGGATCAAAAGTGACACTTTGTTTGACAAGCGAATTTTGCATTTGCGAGGCGGAGCGTTTAGCGAAGCCGAGCGAAAGCAAAATTTGTGAGTCAAACAAAGTCACTTTTGATCCGAATGAAATATGCTATTTTTTCTGCAACCGAAACAATGAACTCATATGAATATGTGAAGTAACCACCTATGCCGTGCCATATGTATGCAATTGCAACAAATAATCCGTGTGGTGAGAATATGCTACCTGCATCAACAGCAAGTTTATTCAATTTTCCAGGATGTTCGAATTGTAGTTTCAATATAAATACAATCAAACAGTGACATATTTGTGTATGGACCAGGTGCTCTAATGGCACCTACCGCGCCAGTGCCAGGTATAGGAACAAGATGTGGAAAATGTTGAGTTAGTGAACATATCAACAATAATAATAGTGATTATTTATTTCTCTCCATACTCTAGTGTTTGGCTTGATAATCAAATGAAGGTAAACAATATCGTTGTTTGAGACAAAAAACTATTGCTGGCCGTGATTATTCAAAAACAAGTTATCCATCCCGAGAATGACGAATGAAATACAGATCTAGCAAGTATGTGAATCTTGAGGCTTTCCTGATCAAAACAAAAATACTTAACTATAATATGGTGAATTTATATCTCCAGCATGGGTATGAAATGCCAAATCTACTGAAATCGGAAACAAATCCCAACCCAAATAACCAACCATAACAATGTTATCTTTTCTTGATGACCTAGTACATCCTTTTTAGTTCCTAGGGGCTAAAGTTGAACGAAAAGTGTTGCCTAGCAACATACCTATATTTGTGTCAGTAATAGAAACGTCCATTCAAGAGCTAATTTTGGTATTAAAAGGGGACGACTTTTGTGTCGGAAAATAGTAGATTGTTTTATTAGGATCAAAAGTGACACTTTAGCGAAGCCGAGCGAAAGCAAAATTTGCGAGTCAAACAAATTCACTTTTGATCCGAATGAAATATGCTATCTTTTCTACAACCAAAACAATTAACTCAAATGAATATTTGAAGTAACCACTAATGCCGTGCCATATGTATGCAATGCAACAAATATTGACAAATAATCCATGTGGTGAGAATATTCTACCTGTATTAACAGCAGGTTTATTCAATTTTCAAGGATGTTCGAATTGAAGTTTTAATATAAATACAACCACAGAGTGACATATATTTGTGTACGGACCAGGTGCTCTGATGGCAAATACCGAGCCAGTGCCAGGTATAGGAACAAGACGTGAAAAATGTTTGGTTAGTGAGCATATCAACAATAATAATAGTGATTATTTATTGCTCTCCATACTACACTGTGTTTGACTGACAATCAAATGAAGGTAAACAATATAGTTGTTTGAGACAAAAAACTATTGCTTGCCGTGATTATTCAAAAACAAGTTATCCATCCCAAGAATAACGAATGAAATACAGATCAAGCATCAAGTATTTGAATCTTGAAGGCTGCCCTGATCAAAACAAAAATACTTATAATACATATCTATAATAAGGTGTATTTATATCTCCACCATGAGTATGATATGCCAAAGCTGCCGAAATCGGAAACAAAATGCTTATTCCTGATGACGTCTAGTTCATACTTTTTAGTTCCTAGGAGCTTAAGTTCAACTTTAGGTCCTAGGAGCTAAAGTTCATCATTAGCTCCTAGGAACTAAATGTTGCCTAGCAACATACCTATTTTTGTGTCAGTAATGGAAACGTCAATTCAAGAGCTAATTTTGGTATCAAAATGGACGACTTTTGTGTCGGTTGCCCAAAAAATTAATTTATTTACCTGGAAGCGAACCATGCGATCGGGCAGAGTGACCTCGGTGGCCTGGTAGGTAGGCCAGTAGCCCATCGTGAGGATGCTGACTGTCATATCGATAGGCGCCAAGTCGCGAGTGTTCACCGTCAGGTGTTGCTTGAACGCCACGTTGATGTCCTTAATGAAAACAAGTACCAGTTTATATTCTAGACATTCAAGAGTATCCGTGAATATTTGGAAACTTTCCAGAATGTTATAGAAGTTTCCAGAATGCTGTAGAATGTTTACGAAAATGTCCTTGAATAATCCAGAAGGATCTAAAATCTTGCAGAATGTTCTAAAATGCTCTCAAATGTTCTAGAATGCTTCAAAACATTCCAGTGTTTTCCAGAATATGCAAGAATGTTTTGGAGAATGTTCTAGATGAATATATTGCAGAATCTTCGAGAATACTTAGAGAATACTAGAGAATATTTCAGAATGTTGTAGCTCATATCAAAGTATGCCCATTTTATGAAAATACCGATATCGAATAAATACCTTGCTGAGCTCCATCTTCATCAGCATCCTCCCAAGTTTCGCCAGCCTCCCCCCCCCCCACCCAAATTATTCCTGAATATTCGAAAATATTCGAGGATGTAAGAGATAGCAACTTTCAGAATATTCTAGAATGTTGCAGAATGTGAGAGAATGCTAAAACATATATTTTTTTTTGCAATTGCATACCTCGTTAGTCCCAGCACTGGGACCAAACGCCCCATAAGTCGAAACTTGTGCGGGGTTAGATATACATACAAACACAAACATCCATGTCCTAACTAGGATTCGAACCTAGGTCTCGGTGGGAGTCCCCATACGAACTCAGCGCCTTAACGCTCTCGACCACCGAGCCTAGAATGTTATGAAATCTTTCAGTGGGCTCTAGAATATTCCAATATCCTTCAGTTTATATTTTCCCTGAATATTCATATTAATTTCATACAATGTGTTTCTCTCTATTCGAAAATGTTTCAGGATCTTCCAGAATATTCCAGAATGAACATTAAAAACTCGTCCATAATGTTCTGAAATGCTGTAAAATCTTCAAAACCAAAATTTTCTGTAAAAATGGTTCTAGAATGTTCCAGTATGTACGAGAATGTTCAAATACCCTGCTGGGCAAATAGTCCTTAAAAATTCTCCTGAGCTTCAACATGAACCGACCCCCTCCCAAATAATTCATCTAGTATGTTCCAGAATGTTCAATTATGTTGTAGAATGTTTCAGAATGTTATTTCATCAAATTTTTCAGAATTAAGGTTCTAGAATGTACCAGAAGTTTTTAGAATGTTTCAGATTGTTATAAAACGTTCTAGAATATTGGAGACTTTATTTTTTAGTATATTGCAGTATTTTCGATCCTGTTGAAGAATGTGAAATGTTTCAGAATGTTATTAAATCAAAATATTCTGGAAATAAGATTCTACAATGTTCCAGCAAATCAAAGACTTACAGAATAATGTATAATGTTAAAAAATGCACTAGAATGCTCTAAATGCTCTTGAATCTCCTCTATAATCTTCTAGTATGTTTCATAATATTGGATAATGTTGAATAATGTGGAATATTTGAGAATGTTATTAAATTAGAATATTCTGGAATTGAGGTTCTAGAATGTTCCAGAATGTTTTAGAATGTTCCATAATGTTCGAGCATGTACGAGAACGGTCGAATACCTTGCTGAGCTCCATGTCCTTGAACATCCCTTCGAGCTTCGACGTGAACCCGCCGCCGCACTCCTGCTTCAGCTTGCTGAGCATGCTCTTTTCGGCGTCGACGCTGGCCGATTTGCCGACCAGCAGCCGCTTCGCCAGGTCCTTCTTGTAAAACGCCTCAAACACGTCCTTGCCGTGTATGAAACGGAACAGCACCATTATTTTGTCGAGCAGTCTTTCCAGCTCCTCCTCGGTGGCTTCCTTATTGCCGGCGCGCAGTTTCGAGTCGACGAATTTTGCTGGAAATGTTCGAAAATGTTCTATAATGTACGAGGATGTTCCAGAACGTACGAGAATGTTCAAGAATGTACTAGAATGATCTAGAATGCACGATACTGTTCTCCCCCCATAAAGTTCTCGACTTTCAAAGGGACTGGACGAGATTTTCGAGAATGTTTCAGAGAACCATTCTTGTAGAACGCCTCTAACACCTCCTTGCCGTGGATGAACCGCCCAATTGCCCTCGCGCAGCTTCGAGTCGACGAATTTCGCTGGAAATTTTCGAACATGATCGAAAATGTACGAGGATGTTCCAGAATGTACTAAACTGTTCTAGAATGTACGACAATGTTCTAGAATATACGATAACGTTCTAGAATGTTCCAGGAAGTTCTGGACTTTCGAAGGGACTTGACGAGATTCTCGAGAATGTTTCAGGCAACCCTTCTTGTAGAACGCCTCGAATACGTTCTTGTTGTGGATGAACCGAAACAGCACCATCATTTTGTAAAGCAGACTTTCCAGCTCCTCCTCGGAGGCTTCTTTGTTGCCGGCGCGCAGTTTCGACGAATTTTGCTGAAAATGTTAGAAAACGTACTATAATGTAGGAGGATGTTCCAGAATATACGATAATGTTCTAGAATGTACGAGAATGTTCTTGAATGCATGAGAATGTTTTAGAATGCACTAGAATGTTCTAAAATGTACTATAATGTTCTGGAATGTACGATAATGTTCTAAAATGTACGATAATGTTCTAGAATGTCCCAGAAAGTTATGGACTTTCGAAGGGACTTGACGAGATTTTCTATAATGTTTCAGAGAACACTTCTTGTAGAACGCCTCAAACACGTCCTTGCCATGGATGAACCGGAATAGGACCATTATTTTATCGAGCAGTCTTTCAATCTCGTCCATGGTGATTTGTTTGTTGCCCGCGCGCAGTTGCGAGTCGACGAGTTTCGCTGGAAATGTTCGAAAATGTTCCAGAATGTACGAGGATGTTCCAGAATGCACGAGGATGTTCCAGAATGTATGAGAATGTTCTAAAATGAATTATAATGTTCTAGAATGTACGATATTGTTTTAGAATGTCCCAGAAAGTTCTGGACTTTCAAAGGGAATTGACGGGATTTTCAAGAATGTTTCAGAGAAGCCTTCTTGTAGAACGCCTCGAACACGTCCTATCCGTGGATGAACCAGAACAGCACCATTATTTTGTCGAGCAGTTTTTATAGCTCCTCCTCGGTGGCTTTCTTGTTGCCCGCGCGCACCTTCGAGTCGACGAATTTCGCTGGAAATGTTCGAAAATTATCGAAAATGTACAAGGATGTTCCAGATTGTACGAGAATGTTCTAGAATGTACGACAATATTTTACAATGTACGATAACGTTCTAGAATGTTCCAGGAAGTTCTGGACTTTCAAAGGGACTTGACGAGATTCTCGAGAATTTTCCAGACAACTCTTCCTGTAGAACGCCTCAAACACGTCCTTGCCGGTGCTCGGTGGCTTCCTTGTTGCTGGCGCGCAGATGCGAGTCGACAAATTTTGCTGAAAATGTTCGAAAATGTAGGAGGATGTTCCAGAATATACGAGAATGTTCTAGAATGTACGAGAATGTTCTAGAATGTACAAGACTGTTTTGGAATGTACGAGAATGTTCTTTCAGAGAACACTTCTTGTAGAACGCCTCGAACACGTCCTTGCCATGAATGCACCGGAATAGGACCATTATTTTATCAAGCAGTCTTTCAAGCTCGTCCATGGTGGTTTGCTTGTTGCCCGCGCGCAGTTGCGAGTCGACGAGTCTCGCTGGAAATGTTCGAAAATGTTCCATAATGTACGAGGATGTTGCAGAATGTACGAGGATGTTCCAGGATATACGAGAATGTTCTAGAATGAACGATAATGTTCTAGAATGTACGATAATGTTCTACAACGTACCATTATGTTCTAAAACGTACGATAATGTTTTACAACGCACGATAATGTTCTAGAATGTCCCAGAAAGTTCTGGACTTTAGAACGGACTTGACGAGATTTTGTAGAATGTTCCACAGAACCCTTCTTATAGAACGCTTCGGACACGTCCTTGCCGTGGATGAACCTGAACAGCACCATTATTTTCATATACCGAATTTGAACGCAAAATATTCAATCATTCTTAAGATATTGTGAACAAACAATTTTTATCTTTCAACTTCAACACCCTATATCTCGAGAACTGAACACTTGAACACCTTATGTCCCCATCTCAGTAATTATGAAATCAAGAGAGAATTTTGAAACCTGTATTGAAATCATTGGAATTTTTTTTTATTGAATCCCTATTTTGTTCCAGGTACATCTTATTTTACCTAGGGAGGATAGGGACAGAAGGCAGGTATTGATTTTTTTCTCCTTTTGGAGATTATATTTTCTTGGGGATAATTCATTTGGCAAAGAAATTCTAAAGCTTTGCCGTTCTATGTAGATAAGATATTGATGTGAACAAACAATTTTTATCTTTAAACTTCAACACCCTGTATCTCGAAAACTGAACACTTGTTGACCTTGTGTCCCCATCTCAGCAATTATGAAATCAAGAGGGAATTTTGAAACACTGTATTGAAATCATTGACAATTTTTTTTTATTGAATCCCTATTATATTCCAGGTAAATCTTATTTTACCTAGGGGGGATAGGAACAGAAGGTAGGTATTGATTTTTTTTTACTTTCGGAGATTATATTTTCTTGGGAATACTTTCTTTGGCAAAAATATTCTAGAGCTTTGCCGTTCTATATAGACAAATAAGTTGGGTTGATGTTGTTCTGTTTTGATCATATAGCCCTCCAACTCTATAACTTTGCATATACAGAGGGTGTGAAAACATGTTTTCAATGGTACACCCTGTATTTCATGAAATATCTTGAAAAAGTTGATAAAATCAAATAATGTATCATTCAAACTGATTAATAAGGCAAAACCAGAGCAATGAGTTGATAATAAATGGTATACAACTTGGTATACAAGGTGAGATATTCAATAGATGGGACTTAGACTATGAAAATCATTTCCAAAGTCCCTTCAATTAGTCTGAATAACCTCACATTACTGAGCAAAAAGTCCTGATATAAGAAACTGACATCTCGTATATATCATGGTACTTGCTAAGTTAGGTAGAATTGTTTTATAGAAATATTGTTGAGCATGTAAATTCTTTTGAGTTGCAAGACTATTTATTTTCATGTAATTTTGAATTGTAAATAGTAGGAAGTGGGTGACTATTTTTTTTTTTTTTTTATAAAATAATTATACTATGGGTAATGATTTGAATGAAGATTGTAAATTGAAACATTTTATCAAGACTGAGAAGATAGTCATCCAAAAATACCTTCCATTAGTTCCATTTGAGAAAAAAAAATATAAATTATATTATTATAGGTTCAATTGCTTAGCCCATATGAAGAAATATTGAAATCAAATATCAGGGACACCTGAACCTAGTATCATTCAATTATATCTACACTTACCAATAAGTTCTGCTGGTTTATTTGTCCTTTGATTGATAAAATGCTCGAAGGCCTCTTTAAGTGAATTACCAAACTTCTCATTTTTATTAAAACAGGTCTCCACTATACTGTCCATTGAATCCTTGAAGTCTAACAGTTCTTGAACCATAGTTTTATCCTTTTCAGGATCTATCACAATAGTTTTTCCTCTCTTTTTGATGTACCCATTGAAAGCAGTACATAAATCTACAAGTCCATTTTTAACCCTACCAAGCAACTGGCATAGCAAACTCAAATCACTTATTCTATTTTCATTCAGGAGTTGATCAAGGCCTTTTTGAAGAATATTGCTGACATGTTCACTTAGCAACTGCTTTTCAACAGTATGAACCAGCTGATATTTGGTGCCTGAGTCTAGGTAGTGCAACACTCTCTCATTTTCTTCCATAATTCTTTTATCTACATGTGCCAGGTAATCAGGTACTTCTAGCTCTTGCATGAGTCTTTGACCTTCCAAAGCATATACACGCTCTGTAGACTGCAAGAACTTTTGTTCAAAAGCTTTATCATATATCTGTAAGTCAGTTAACATGCGCAATAGGGATTTCAGTAAGCTTCTATCAACCTTATCACCTTGCCTTTCTTTCTCTATCAACATCAGTAAACCTTCAACCACACGAGTCTGAACTAAAGTGTTCAAAATAATGTATTTGCTAAATAATTCTAAGCCCATGTCCCAGATAGAGGAGATATTAGGGTTTTGCAGCACATAAGTTCTGTCCAGATACAAAAAAATGCTCCTTATCATTATCATTTGATTGCAATGGGCCAGCCAAGTTTCATTCATTTTCTTCAGAAATAAAAACCTATCCATGGTTTCTGCTAGGAACTGTTCTATATTATGTGATACATGGCTCTCAGTTAAATTGTACAGTCTAGTGTATAAGGTAGGAGCCATCTTATGGTTGCACATATTCTCTACGGCCTGATACAGTTCTTCCAAGGAATACTGATTAGGTTTGGACTGTTGTATAGCAAGCACAGCACTTTTGAGTTTTTCCCATGTTTGTTCCCGATAATCATCAGGAAGTTTTGGCTCACCTAGAAATGAAAAAAAATAAATTTGGGAGTCCAGCACAAGAAACTTTGGGTACCTACTTTTTAGATTTTTTATGATCAATTTCTTTGCAGTTGGTTTAATGTTTATAATATTCAAATTCCTATTTATCCCATTCTGGGGGATGTTTGAAAAGTTGGGTCTCCTGTTAACAGTATTTTCACTCATATTTCCTATGTGAAAGGAACCTATGATCTTGAAGACACTATTAGGAATCCCTCATACATTTATTTAGTAAATAAATTTCCATTCCAATTATTTATGTAAGTACTAATTTCAAATATAAGCACTGCCACTTTTCGTCAGCATGCATATGTTTTTGTCGTTTTTATAAATAAGAAAAGAACGTCAAATTTTTCCTACAATTCAACACACATTTTCATTTACTAGTCAAACTGACAAACACAAAACCAAAAATCTAATAATAATATTTCATCTTTCATCCACCTTGCATACAACAGTCGAAACTGTCAACGTCGACACTGTCAACAGTCAATTGACAATTCATCAATGTTCCACCTATTTTCCTTCACATTCAAAAATTTTCAAGGACTGCACTGGTTCTTTAAAATGAGCATAGCTGTCCTCAAAGCGGGACCAACTTCTGACTCTATAGGTAACGAAATCGACCAATAGGCGTTGATGCGGACGTAAAGAAAAAATAATACGAAATTTGTCAAACCAATTCGCGATTCTTTCGAATTCAAATTCAAAAATTTGACAGTGACGAAAACGAAATCTACAATCACGTGGCGGGGAAACAGTGACGTCACGCCCCTCCGCGCATCCCCGCACCATAATGCTATACTATGAGGTAACCAGCTTATAGAAGTTAATAGACCTTGTGGATGCACATCCATATTAAAGGTCTGACAATGGTGGATAGTATACCATCACTGTCATCCTTGTATTTATAAATTCACTTTAATGTGCCTACCTCATAATACCAATTGGAATGTTATAGGAAAATTTATATATTTTTTTTAATGTGCTTTTTATATTCGGAACAGATTCTGAATGAAGTTTTTGAGACTTTTAATCTGATGTTGTAAAAACCTAAAAATAAAGGAATATGATCAGAAATGTCGCTAAATCACGGAAAGAAGTCGCTAAATTTTCCTTTCTGCTCGTTTCGCTCGCTATAGTGACTTCTAGCGGGTTTTTTTGTATTCTCGTACTTTTTTGCGACATTTCATGTTCAGCAATTGCTGGCAGCGTTGCCAGACCAAGTACTTCCGTACTAGATCTAGTACTTTTCCACTCTGTCTAGTACGCTAGTATGCCAATCGCAAAATTCGTACGTTTTCCACGTTTTGAGAAATATCGAAATATCGACATTACATAAATTGATCAAAAAAAAATTCAACGCGCAATATCATCAGTGAAATGTCATTATTGTCTCACATCCAAACATAGTTTTGAGTTTGTGCTTATTATAGTGTACTATGCAGTTCATCATATTACGTGTCAATATTGAATATTGTACGAAAGCGTAGAAGTGCCATATGATATTTTTTTTTACAATTGACAGATACTAACTGTCAGCTAGCCTATTTGACAGATACTGAAGGTGAGTTCCCAATGCAGCTTTTTTGCTTTTCGCGTCACGCGTCACGTAGTCTGATTGGTGAGGAGTAAATGAGAATTGCTGCAGTGTTTTTTATTATTTTCTTCAGTTCCCAATGAAATTACCTATCATTGTCGATGTGGTTGAAGTTTGCATTGGAAAATCATGGGAATATCAGAGAATACTGAAAATATAGGATAATGCTTGCAAGATATACAGAGCTGCATCAGATAAGTAACAATTCATCAAAAAACGAAAATTGCATAGTGAAAATGAGATAATTAGGTAGGTATACCTACTTCAGTGATACTGCAATGATTTACTTACCATGAAATTACTCTCAGAAATCAGGGTTTGATGAAGCTGCATCCAGAATTTCTACATTTTCATGAAAAATCTTGTGTTGAAAGAATTTATAATGCTTTAATGGATATTAATGTTGCTGGAACATAGCCTCAGCACAACAAAAAGCAGCAACGCCAAAAAGTTAAAATATTTTAACTTCATCGCGTCAAATATTTTTCAAATTCAGCGTCACCAATCAGGTTGCATGACGCGCGACGAGTAAAGCAAAAACGCTGCATTGGGAACTCACCTTAAGTGGTGAGTAGCCTACTTGACAGATACTAAGTAGTAACCAAACTAGTATACTTGACAGATACTTAAGTGTCAACTAGCCTGATTGACAGATACTCAGTTTTAAGACACTCAAGTATCTGTCAAGTATACTAGTTAACACTTAGTTTGCACTTAGTATCACTTTAAAAAAAAATATCATGGCGCTTCTACGCTTTCGTAATATTGTCATTTGTCAATTGTTTTCACGTTGTTCAAAGTTATAATTATGAATAATAATGAATGACATAATGACGATTGACTGTTTTGAAGTGCATTGACTAATCAGGAATGAGTTGTTCACAATATTCAGTAAATAAGTTTTCATTCTTTTTTTCATTGTCTATTCCCCCCTCCCACTATCCTAAGTTTGAATGAAAATCCCATATATCTACTACTCATATATGAATCATAGCTGTCCTCAAAGCGGGACCAACTTCTGTCACTGTAAAGCAATCTGTAAAGGTGACTACAGTGACTGCATTGCCAATAGAGGTAACGAAATCGACCAATAGGCGTTGATGCCGACGTAGAGAAAAAATAATACGAAAATTGTCAAACCAATAAGGCTGTTTCCATCCTTCACTTTTCCTCTTTATAGATTCAAAAAGTACCTCTCATTTTGGTCCCATTTTTTTTTGAGCTATGGTATAGGCATAGGCGATGAGCCATATATAGAAATAGTATATACAGGGTGATTCAAAAGTAAGCGGCATCCTTTCAGAGGCGTATTCCTTGCATGAAAATAAGGCAAAAAGTTCCTATTGATAAGGATCCGAAAATGCTTCCTAAGGGAGCTACGGCCCTTTGAATAGGACACCTCAAAGACGGTTTTTTCTCTATAACTTTAAAATCCTTCACAACAAATTTTTAAAAATTGGTGTACGGCATAAACATTCGATGGTAAATAGGACTCCGTATTCGAAATAATTTCCAAACGAAATCACAGTAACCTGAATATCCGGAGAAGAAGGGATATTTTTACACTTACCCTCTCCCGCATGTGACGCCCCTGAATGAAATTCTGAAATTTCGAATACGGAGTCCTATTTACCATCGAATGTTTATGCCGTACACCAATTTTTAAAAATTTGTTGTGAAGGATTTTAAAGTTATAGAGAAAAAACCGTCTTTGAGGTGTCCTATTCAAAGGGCCGTAGCTCCCTTAGGAAGCATTTTCGGATCCTTATCAATAGGAACTTTTTGCCTTATTTTCAAGCAAGGAATACGCCTCTGAAAGGATGCCGCTTACTTTTGAATCACCCTGTATATGGAAAATCCAAACTTGTACTTTTCTCGTAAAAGTAGTACTTTTTTCGGTGATTGTTCAGTACATTTTGAGTGGCTGGGCTGGCAAACCTGGCTGCTGGCAACACTGAATTGTGCATCATGCAATTCGTGCATTGAAAATGTCTGGACAACTGGACTTTGAACTTTGGTGTCAATAAAAAAATACGTAAATAATAAATAGGTAGCCACAGTAGCACTATTTTTCTTTTATTTATTTATTTTTCATTTCTGTCTAGATATAAGTGTGTAATTGTGTTTCTCCTATTTGTTTATTTATTCAATTTGTTCACAACGCACAATCAATAAATAGGTACCCCTGATATCTATTTTGATAAATTTTTAGTGGATAGAGTGGAAGTTATATTGTACAAAATGCCCTCAAAGCAACGTAAAATTGCAGTCATGGGCTACAGATCTGTTGGTATGATAGCTATAGTTATTTATACAGTAATAAATGTCGTCAATTTTATGTATATTTCAGGTAAATCATCACTCAGTATTCAGTTTGTAGAAGGTCAATTTGTAGATTCCTATGACCCCACTATTGAAAACAGTGAGTATTTTAATATCTCTATAGATTATCCATTGATTGATTCAACATTGTAGCATTCACTAAATCAACTAGAATAAACTCCCAAGACTATGAATTGAAATTGGTTGACACAGCTGGACAAGATGAATATTCTATTTTCCCATCACAATATAGCATAGATGTCCATGGATATGTACTGGTGTACAGTATAACAAGTGCAAAATCATTCGATGTGGTCAAATCAATTTATGAAAAGTTACTGGATATTACTGGAAAAGAACAGTAAGCATTAACCATTTCCTAACAATTCTTGTTATCAAGTACCTAAAATGTTGAGATAGCTGCAAGGCTGATTTATGCTTCAGATGCCTGTGAGCATCAAATATGCTTGGTATTTTTTTGTAAGACATTGTTATTTTGGAAATCCTTAGAATTCTCAGAGTTACAAATTAATATTTCAAATTAGGATTGGTATGGTTTCTCCTTCCATTAGTGTTCTCATTATTTCTGGCATTTTGAAAGCCCTTCTAGTATTAGGTCAATTGAAACAATGAGGAACAGTAAAGTGAATTTGAAGCAATTTTTGTATACTCACCTACATGGAATTATTCAGTTTCCTAATAATTTTTAGTAAATTTAACACAAATACAGAAAAAATTAAAATTGTTTTCTCAAGGTGTATTTAAAAACACTTGAAACTTAAAAAATTGTATGTCCACTATCACAACTGTTTTGGTCAATAGAAGCTGTTGAGTTTGAAAATCATTTACACATGACCAAAAATGTTTTGATAGCAGATAAAATTTAAGTGAAGTGAAGTATGCAGAAAAATTACTATCTTGGATTGGTGCTTTTTTCGCAGTGTGCCTGTAGTTCTAGTAGGAAATAAGACGGATTTACATATGGAAAGAACAATTCTATATGATGATGGCAGGAGATTGGCAGATGAATGGAAAGCAATATTCTTAGAAACATCTGCCAAACAACATTCGGTATGTTCATTCAAAAGATAGACTGTTAAAAATTTGATTTGTAGTGGTATGAAATGAACCCACAACTGTAGTAGGTCCTCTTCTAGAAAAATAACTTTCACAAGAGTTGAAGATATATGAGTGTTTCATCTTCTTTGCTCACATTTTGGGATTCACATTTATGTTGAAACCTTACAACTTTCACATTCAAAGTTTTTTTTTACCTCCCTTTGTTGGAGATTTTAGTGTAGTTGAAAAATATGACAGTATGTAGGTACCTACTTTAGTTACCTACAATAGGGAAATTTCATCATTTTTTTCTGTGATGGGGAAAAAGTTTGACATTTTAACTTTGTTGACAGGTAACAAAATGTCACTTCATATATCTCACTTTTTTCCAGTGGCTTTTGTTGTACCAGTTCCAAAAAATAAGCCAATAACACCCCTACTAAACAACTACTATGTTTGCAATTTTTGAATCAAATCAATAGGATTACTTAGCAACTCAGGTCTCATTGTCAGTTTTTTTATAGCAGGACTTTAACAGCTGAGAGAAGACATTTTTTCAAGATGAAAATCTTATGTAAACATACAGTGTGTCCACCTTAAGGACTTACCACCCCTGTAAAATCGTTAATATCCGACCAATTTCAAAAAAACTTTTTTTGTTGGATAGGTATTTGAAATGCCCATCCAACGAGAGAGTGATCTAATTCTTGGACTGTTATCGTGGCCAACTGTGACAAATTTCAATGACCCATATTCCAGAAAGTACTATTAGGGATTTTTTTCCACGAAACTTGATGATGGATTCTGAATCAGTACCACTTGAAATATACCTGTACCAATTTTCATCATCATAAAACACAGGGTGTCCGAAAAAACGAATCATCATTTTCTTCAAATAGGTGATCAGCAAATGTAGTTCTGTGGTTTTTCTAGAAAGAAATAATCACAAATTATCATTGGGGATTACTTCAAATATACCTGTATCAATTTTCGTCATTTGAATATACAATGTGTCTGAGAAAAAAATTAAAAAGGATAGGTAAGCAACATTTTTCATCCTGATAATTCTTCACTCGAAATAAAAAGATGAATCAGGATCACTTGGAACATACCTGTACCGATTTTCATCATCATCAAACACAGGGTGTTCGAAAAATCTAATCATTATTTTTTTTGAATTGATGAAAAAATATTGCCTACTTTTTCTTTTTAATTGTTTTCTCATACACATCGTATTTTTGAATGATGAAAATCGGTACAGATATGTGCAAAGTGATCCTCAATAATAATGTGTCATCAATTCTTCTCAAAAATACCACAATACTACATTTTCTGATCACCTATTAATAAAAAAACATAATTCGTTTTTTCGGACACCCTGTGTTTTATGATGATGAAAATCAGTAAAGGTGTTTTTCAAGTGATTGTGATTCAGAATCCATCATTGATTTTTTTGAAAAAAAATCCCTAATAGTACTTTCCCAAATATGGGTCAATAAAGTTGGTCGCAGTTGGCCACGATTACAGTTCATGAGTAAAATCACTCTCTTGTTGGATGGAAATTTCGAATACCTATCCAACAAAAAAAAGTTTTTTGAAATCGGTCAGATAATAACAATTTTACAGGGGTGGTAAGTCCTTAAGGTGGACACACTGTATATATGTGGGAGCTTCATTTCCGATGTAGGATTAATTTTTGTGTTTTTCCAATAATTTTTTCAAATTTCTTAAATAGAATCATCACTCAAATACTTTTCAATTTTATATTTTTTAAGAGTTTTTTTGGTCGATTTTTAGGTGCTAATATCATCAATAATGCCACGGTAATTTTCAAATGGCTAGAAATTTATCGCCAGTGAAAACTGATGCCACCATTTCATAAGTAGTGGCAGACCATAGCATAGTTGCCATGTGTTGAAATTCGATTGGGAACTTCAGAAATATCAGTTATTCGATGATTCATAAATTCTCAATTGAGTATTGTTAATACTCCTAATTAGCAATAAAAATTCAATTGAAAAGGAATATTCTCAGATAAATTATGAACATACAACAAAAATGGATATATATTTATATAAAGCAATACATTGAGAATTCACATTCTCTATGTGATGAGAATATTTACTCTTTTTCAGTTAATTCAATAGAAAACAACTACTTTCCTGGCTATATGCCACGACGAACATTGAATTATATCTATTGAACACACACGATAAGAGTTTGAAAATAAAATATAAAAATTTCTGAAATTGAGAATTTGCATTCTCCTTCAGACAAAAATATGTATATACACATATCATTCTGAATATTCAACAGAAAACAACTACTTTCCTGGCTATTTGCCACGTCGAACATTGAATTATATCTGATGAACATTCAAAAGGGGAACATAAAAAAATAAAGAATAAAATCCTCCGAAATTGAGAATTGACATTCTTCTTCAAATCGGATGAATAATATGATGAATAATGATCTAGAAATATGACTTACCAATATATTCAGCATTGAAATGAAAATTGGAATGTATAGGAGGAGTATACTGGCATGAACTCTGATCTTGATGAGGTTGAAAACGTCCAAAAATAATCATTCATTTTTATATTTTATTTTCAAACTCTTATCGTGTGTGTTCAATAGATATAATTCAATGTTCGTCGTGGCATATAGCCAGGAAAGTAGTTGTTTTCTATTGAATTAACTGAAAAAGAGTAAATATTCTCATCACATAGAGAATGCGAATTCTCAATGTATTGCTTTATATAAATATATATCCATTTTTGTATGTTCATAATTTATCTGAGAATATTCCTTTTCAACACTTTCATACCCAATCAGGGGGTTCAAACTTGAACGATGGAAACTTGTGATTTTTATAGACCTCTAATCGCAGATTCGTGATAGAGTCTCAATTCAGAATTCATTTCCACGCCCTGTATGATGAATGTCAATTTATCATACACCCAAAAGCAAAAATTCAATTGTTTCAAAATGTTCCCTTTGTGGCTTATTGCTTGTAATAAATTCATGTAAATAAAAATTATATTCATTCACACTAGAGAACATTTGAATCGGTGAACGTGACAACCACGGCGCACGACTTGTGGGCGTGGTCTGGTCAGTTCTCCGCATTCAGCACAATGTTGCCAAGTCTCCAACATTCACATGATATTTTGTTATGGAGAATAAGAAATATGGACATGCTGGTTGCTCGAAGATTACCTGACCAATAACGAAACAGCATAAAAACCGAGATAAAAACTGACGTCACCATTTCTTCGACGTATCACCAAATGGCGGCCATGATAAAAAAAAATCGTGAGAAGTGTTGCAAAAATTAATTTAGGTTCCTAATTACACAGTGGAGTGATTGAATGCCAATAATTCATTATCAGTCCACTCGCCCATTTCCTTTTACAATTTCCAAAATAATGAATTGAAATTTAGTACACCTATCACACTTTGGGGAGCCAATATTTGGGGCTATCTAGCAATCTTGAATACCTACAGGATGATACAGTTAGTTTTTAGGGTCGTACCATCTCGAACATCAATTTGAATTCACCCAATTATCGATTCGCCCCAAATTCGATTCACCCAAATTCTGATTGACCCAAACCTAACCTACCTAACCTACCTAACCTACCTAACCTACCTAACCTACCTAACCTACCTAACCTACCTAACCTACCTAACCTACCTAACCTACCTAACCTACCTAACCTACCTAACCTACCTAACCTACCTAACCTACCTAACCTACCTAACCTACCTAACCTACCTAACCTACCTAACCTACCTAACCTACCTAACCTACCTAACCTACCTAACCTACCTAACCTACCTAACCTACCTAACCTACCTAACCTACCTAACCTACCTAACCTACCTAACCTACCTAACCTACCTAACCTACCTAACCTACCTAACCTACCTAACCTACCTAACCTACCTAACCTACCTAACCTACCTAACCTACCTAACCTACCTAACCTACCTAACCTACCTAACCTACCTAACCTACCTAACCTACCTAACCTACCTAACCTACCTAACCTACCTAACCTACCTAACCTACCTAACCTACCTAACCTACCTAACCTACCTAACCTACCTAACCTACCTAACCTACCTAACCTACCTAACCTACCTAACCTACCTAACCTACCTAACCTACCTAACCTACCTAACCTACCTAACCTACCTAACCTACCTAACCTACCTAACCTACCTAACCTACCTAACCTACCTATCCTACCTAACCTACCTAACCTATCCGAATCGAAAATTGGGTGAATCGAAAATTGAGTGAATCAAAAATGGGGGAGTCTAATACTGGGTGGATCGAAAATTGGGCGAATCGTAAAATGGACGAATCGAAAATTGGGTGAAACGATATGTTGGCCCAACGACATATTTGAATGTGAATTGATTGTTGATAATTCCCGTTTCCTTGGATCCTAGGAAATGTGGCATTATTTGACAACAACGCATCTTTCGGGTATGTTCGGAGACGGTGGGTAAATCGAAAATTGGGTGAATTGAAAATTGGGCGAAACGAAAATTGGGTCAAACGAGAGGTTCCCACTGTTTGCTCTCTTTTGTTTTTTGTTTGCCAAAAATAATTATTTACTTGTGAAGAAACTTTATTTTTTGAGTCCGTATTTTGTAGCAGGACTTCAACAGCTTCAAAAACACAATTTTCTAAGATGAAAACCTCATGTAAACATATTTGCGTGTAGGCTTTGTTTCGGATATACAGGGTTTCCAAGTTTGGGAATTTTCTTGTGTTTTTCAAGTTTTCTCCTACATTATTCAAAATAATGAATTGAAATTTGGTATACTTTGGAAACGTGACATTTGGGGCTATCGAGCGTTGTTAAATATCTACAGGATGAAACACTTTTGGGGTCGTGCAAACTTTGAAACCATTTATATCAAAAATGAAGCTCCCTGGCATATATGTTTTTAGATTTTCATCTTGAAAAAATGTTTTCTTCAAGCTGTTAAAGTCCTGCTACAATAAAGTGACTCACCCTGTATATTTTAATATTCTTTCAAAATTGAATCGTCGTTTTTCTCGTCACAGAAAAAAATAGGGTATTATACAAGGGAAAAATATTAGATCTTAGCTGTTGGTTTTTTGTCTGGAGCTAAAATCTAATATTTTTTCCCTTGTATAATAAATAATTATTGCTTGACGAATCTGAAAAAAAACTTGTCTCTTTAAGCTTATGATTGAAAAGTCAAACCAAAAGTTCTGATATTTCACATATTCATGATTTTAAAATTACCAACTTCTCTTTCAGTCTGTCTCCGAAATATTTCACATCTTACTAACGGAAATTGAAAAAGCCGATGGAAACGTCAACGAAAAGGCAAATTGTACTGTTTGTTAATAAATTCAATGTCTACAGGATGAGTCAAAAATGTCTTCCGAGCTTTCTGGAGGCGATATAGTATTTTAAAAATTAAGTATTCTTTGATAGATTAAATTAATATGGCTGAAAATGCATATTAAGGGAGATGTATCCTTCAAAGGTTGATTAAACCAAAATATTTTTTTTCGCATAACTTCTGAACGGTGAGAGCCACCAGATTGAAATTATCTGCATAAATGTAAGTTGCTAAAATGCATCTTTCTGATATACTTCTAAGTTTATGACTACTTTATGAAGGGTGTTTTCAGGGGGTGGGTCATGATTTTTTGGAAACAACTTCTTTCCTTGTGTTCGTTTTGATTTTTCATAAATACGGTACTCCTATCAAAATACGAAAAATTGAACCGTTTTCGGACTATTTGAGTTTTTATAGTCACATGATATCAGCAGATTAATTGATCAGTAACAATGTTTCAGGAGACTATGACAAATTTTGTTCTTGAATTTGACGTTTATGACATCAACATTGTTATTGTTAATTGAATCTCCTTGTTTGTTTTTTTGCTTAGTAATATAATATCTGCAATTTTCAACTGAGATTTTAAGAAATGGAAGGTTATTCGTTATGCAAAGATGTTGCCCGCTCGACGCGTTCAACAATTTTGATGAATGTGCAAAGAAAGATTGCCTAAAAAAGAATGTTTCAAAACGAAAAATAGAGATGAGTGACCTGCCAAGAACTTCGAGGCCTCCTAAAATATAGTTACTGATGAATTTATCTGCTGATATCATGTCACCACAAAATCTGAAATATCTCGAAAACGGTAAAAAATTTTTGTATTTTGTTGAAAGTACCGTTTTTATGTAATCATTTTGGCTATACCAAATGCTTTTGTTTTTTCACCAAAAAGAATCTAAGGAGACAAGTTGTCTTCGAAAAATCATTACTCATCCTCCAAAAACACCCTTTATTAACACAATATCAGAAATGTAGAAATGTATCAGAAAAATGTATTTCATCAACATACATTCATGCAGGAAATTTCAATCTGGTGGCTTTTACCGTTCAGAAGTTATAAGGAAAAATTATATACAGGGTGTTTCAGATTTAAATGTACATACGATACTGGCAGATAGAGGACACTTTGACGGTTTCAAATCACCCCCATTGATGTGTTTACCGTCTTTTATAACTGAGATACAGGACGTTATCTTGATTTTGGCAAAATCTTCATCTGATCATAATGTTTGAACCACGTTGTATAATCTATTCATACTTGGTGGAAATATTTCACTTATATCACACATCAAATCTAAATAAAAATTGAGATCAGAATCCAGGTTCGTCTCAACGAAAAACAGAAAACTTGTTTATTTCAAAACAACACTCTGTATGGCAAATTCAATTTGACAGATGGTTTATCATTATGTTTTGAAATATTCACCCCATTTTGAGGCATTTTTATTGAACTGTTATTCAAAATCCAATAAATAATTGTCTTCAAAGTTGAACGTCATTAGAAGCAAATTAGGTGAACTATTGATGAATTCACCGCAGCTCATGAATCAATATTGAAGAATAATACGAGCCCTCAGAAATTTCCAAAACCAGAGAAGTTATTCTGTCGAACGAACAGATCTATCTATTTCACCCCAATAATGTTGAACTTCGAAGGACGCTATTATTTTGTGAAATAATTGGATTTTGAATTATGAATTACAGAAAATAATAATAAAACATCTGTCAAATCGGATGCGCGGTCGTAAAAAGTCGGTCACTTCATTCGTTTTCCCTGCTCTTTTCAAATATTGAAAGAGATCTAAAAAAATTTGCCATACAGAGTGTTGTTTTTGATATAAAAGAAGCTTTCTGTTTTTCCTCAAGACGGACCTGGATTCTGATTCCGATTTTCATTGAGTTTTGATGGGTAATATAAGTGAAATAGTTCTACCAAGTATGGATAGATAGATTATACAAAGTGGTTCAAAAACTATGACCAGTTGATGATTTTGTCATAATCAATATATCGTCCTGTATCTCAGTTATAAAAAACGGTAGACACATCAAAATGGGGTGATTTGGAACCATCACAGTGTCCCCTATCTACAGGTATCGTATGTACATTCAAATATGAAACACCCTGTATATCTTCCATAATATACATTTTGGCTCATTAGTTTATTCATAGATGTTTATGTTTATTCATCAAACTATACTAATTTTCCAATGTACTATCAACTTCAGAAAGCTTGGTACACTTTTTTGACTCACCCTGTATAAGAGTTAGTCTAATTATCTGTTCAGATGCATATTTTGAAACAAAAAAGATACATTTTCTATGTAGATACGAATTTGGCATTCATATCGCGGTTTTATATTATGTAAATATATTTATACGTTTTGTTCATGTGTGAGAATTATTGTTCATATACATTGTTAGTTTTTTTTGTAAACACTGTTCATATGTGATACACTTATTATATTAAGTGCTAATAGATTATTAATATTTATTCACATTGATGGGAATGTTGGATTAAAAAATTTGGTGAATATTAGTTTATGACCCAAAGTTCCTCTATATGTGTTATTTTATCCATTATCAAAATAGTTGAAAATTAATTAATAGTACCTGGAACACCTGGAAATTTAGCCACACAGCCCAATAATAAGATTTCCATTGTTAAAAAAAATGTAGTAGTGATTATTTTTCCAGCCAGCTATCCACAAAACAATATGAAATTCAAAGGTTGGTTTATTTGAAAATTGTGGAAAGTTGATCAAAGGTCAATAAATCAATTGTAAAATCTCTTTAATTAATGTATTGTAATGAATCAGTGAATGCCTATCATTTTTTATTTTCATCATGTATTTAATTGTGTATGTTGATGAATTAAATGTTATATAAATACATAACTTCATGGACAAAGAAACTTCCACAAGTTTTTTAAATGATCAAGTAATTATTTCAAATATTGTAGCGGCATGAACCGATCATTTTTTTTTCCTGAAAACCACGCCTTTTGCAGACGTTTTTGAGTTGACATGTATCGTCTACGATGGCACTCTCAGAATATTATTTAAAGTACGGTCCTGGTTTTTTGCTTGATTACTATAACTAGCACTGCAAAAATCTACATCATCAAAATAAAATCTATAATTCATTCATTAATGCCTACTTTATTAAGAAAAGCAACACTAATTACTGGAAAGCGGAAAAGTTCAGGGGCGTACTTGAACTTGTAACTAGTTTTACTGAAAGTACCTACCTATACATACATAGTTGTCTGCAATTTGTTAATCTTTATATCGTGGGCGTACAAGCAAAACCCTGTAAGTCCACTTTTTTCGGAAATGAGGAATTTATCACACATAAGTCCATATTAGCGTAACGCTCCAGGAAAATAAACATTCAAGTCCATTTTGCGTTTGTTTCCGGAGAAATAGTCAATGAAAATCCACTTAAGTCAATTTCGTTATAATTTTACAGGTTGATCCGAATATTCAATTGCGTTTTTCTCCTTATATTATTTTCTGGACTTACATGATTCTGCTTGTACGCCCACGATATATGCCTCTACAAAATATTTAAATTATTTTTTAGTGTTTTTCCTAGCCTGAACTTTGTTCTAAATTGACAAAAATGTTTGGTTGCTTGGTACATAATATATAATTGCATATCCTAATCGTCTGGAACAAAGGTTGAGATTGTTTCTAAGCGAATATATGATCAAATGTAAAAACTGTATGTTTATGAATCTAATGAGCACTAATGGGATCCAACTCATACTCAGAATGAATCAAATTTTGTAAACAACTGGTAGTGAGGGCGAAAATTTCAATATCTACCAAACGAATAAGTTTGCAAATATTTTGCATTCATGTATTCACTGCAAATGATTTTTGCAATCTGCCAATTTTTTTCTCGGGCTAAATACCTGAGATTTCAAGAAACTTTATTTCTCAATTTAAATTCTGAAAGAATATTAGTAAGTTTTCGTCAGTGATCTCCATTTCTCCACGGTGTGGAATCGAAATTCTACAGAACTTTAAGCCTCTATTCGCTCAAAAATGACTCAACATTTCCATGTTGTAAAAATGTAATTATGCCTATTCGAGTTATTCATTAATCAAATTACATTTAAATGGATTCAATTATTTATTATATTGTTAGGTTAAGGTATTGTTCTGTATTAGTTATTAATAATTGATTTTATAATGTTATTCAGTTGCATCAGATGACATTTTCTGAACTAAATACTACTAATTTTGTAGATGAACTGTTTGTAATGATCAGATAATATACGGGACGTTTCATTGGGAAACGAAAATGCGTCAACAACCTGTAATTTGTAATGACATGGAAGATCTTTAGTGCTTATGATGTGACATTGGTTTTTAAAGATTTTTAAAAATTGTATTATTCGTTTCATGAACATCTACCAGATTGATAGATTTTTGATTAGAAACTCATCCTGTCAATTGCCATTATTTGGATTGGATATAATTTTACGAAAAGGGATAAAGAAGGGAAAACTACTGCAACTATATTGTAATGTTTTGTATTGTTCTCATATGATACTGTATCAAACAAAATTGTTTATAAAAGTTATTCAGAATTATGAGTTTTTTTGCACTTATTCCAGAGAATATTTATTGAACCTAGATGCATGCAATTATGAGCCATAAGCCATGATTTTGATTTACAATTACCGTGTCTCAACACAGTAACCAGGATGAACTGATGAACAGAAGATTGTGTAGAATCTCCTATCAAATCCCATCTACCATTTTTTGGTCTTGACCTATGACATTGGTTTATTTCATCAATCCTATGACAAGCCTATGACCTACTTGACAAAAGGATTATTTTCAATGTCGCGGAATATAGGTCGCATTTTGCCTGTTAGATGGCGAACTCTCAACCAAAGTTCAAGGTTGGTAGAACTGTTGGTTATTTAAAATCGCCAAAATTACATTTTCATACTTTCAAATTTGATCTCATTTGATTTGAGGTTATGTATTTCTGGCTTAGATCATGTAGGATCCTGTATGATCTAGGATTTCTGACTAGCGTCTGCGGACAGGTGCAAGTAATAACTCCGTGGTAGGGGAACGTTAGTTAACTTGTGTCGAGTCTAATATAAGGAAGGCATTTTTTTTTAACAATCAATCGACCTAGATGAACCTTTTTTCTTGAAGAAGGAGAATTTTTCTTGAGGAAGGAAAATATTGTTTCTGCATAAAAAATGAGAAGGCGGTACATATACTAAAAATTGGAACGATACAGAGAAGATTAGCATGGCCCCTGCGCAAGGATGACACGCAAAATCGTAAAGCGTTCCACATTTTTAGTATATGTACTCGCTTCGGCGGTACATATACTAATTATGAGTATATCTGTACTTGTATTAACACCAAATAAAATATTCTATTCTAACCTAACCTAACCGAACCTCACCTCTGGCCTAAACATAGAAAACCCCTAAATGAACCTATTTCCCATAGAGAATATTTTTTAGAAATCACTTGAGAACAAGAAAAAAATAAAAAAAAGATGAGCCTCGCACGGATTCGAACCCCGGCCCTCCTGCTTGGCATGCCGATGCTCTGCTTACTGAGCCAACCGGTTGCTTACGAGACGAAGTATGATGAAGTCATTCAGTCGGCGCCGCATAACGCCAGTCGCATCTACTGCCCACTATAACGTTCTCCCACCACGGAGTTATTACTTGCATCTGTCCGCAGACGCTAATGGATTTCTGGTGCCAGTGGTGCAAGCGGTGTGTAAGCGCCGTTTTCTGTCATGAAAGAAATCTGAAAAAAGTGTCGTCATCTTGCGGACAACTGAGAACTAATATCCCATTATTGCGGAATCTACGGTCAAGCGTTTTGGGAGAAAATAAACTGTGTGTGTGATTATATCATATTCCATATATGTACTATTTCTATATATCGCTCATCGCCTTTACGATATCTCAACAAAAATGGGACCAAAATGAGAGGTACTTTTTGATCTATAGGATGGAAACAGCCGTATTGGTTTGACAAGTTTCGTATTATTTTTTCCCTACGTCGGCATCAACGCCGATTTCGTTACCTTGAGACTGAAGTTGGTCCCGCTTTGAAGACAGCTATGATTCATATATGAGTAGTATATATATGCCATATTATATCCACCTTGACAGTAACATTCATTTATTCTGCTATCAAACTATTTCTGTCCCGATTTCGTAGATAATTTACTGTTTAGGCTGATAGGGATCCACTATTTCAATAGTTTTTTCTTTTTGCAGATTTGCTAACAAATTCGAATTTACCGCCAGTTACATTTTAATTTTTGCGCCTACTCCCTAGACGCAAGTAGAGTCACTGGATGGTATTAAAGGTTCGGACACAGCTGAACTTTTGTCCTTTTCTATTTTTTATGATGTTATTGTATGATCTAAGTGTTATCCCTATATGTTTAGTAGGTATATGGCAATCAAGGTCTAAAAACGTTGCCAGTGAATTTCAGTAAAATCGGAACGATGAAATATACTTGGCAGGACTGTTCGGGAAGATCGGAACATGCGTATTATTTATGATTCTGTATTTTGTAGTTCTGTGACTCTGACTGAGTGACTGACCTAGCCTAAAAAAACCCTTTGTGTACAGTTTTCATTCATATCAGATGTATGCAAACTTTGGTTTTGGTGGCAATATTATTCAAAATACTACACAATTTCCTGATGTTGAGCAGTAATTTTGAACACATCATTTGATAGAGAAGAAACTGAAGTAACAAGAATAATTATATGCAGCTCCCAATATGAGTGCAGTCTGTGGTTAGTGCACCTTATTATTTTCTTGACAACTATAATATTCTTCTATTTATTTCCTTGATCATGCATCAATACTAGATGCTTATGATGAAGTTCGAATGTATTGAATAAAATGATATTGGAAGTGTTTTAAATCCAAATAGGGCTTCAAGATTTCGGCTAGGTATATAATATAATAATATGAACAAATCCAAAACAAGGGTTATGTCATCACAGTATCCAGGTATGAAATTTTTAGTTTGAGGAAAGATTCATTCACCTACTCTGTTCCACATGTTCCACCAGGCCTAGCCTGATAGAAAGATGTATCTGATCCATCAGGAGCTATCTGAACCTAATGCAGTATGGGTTTTAAAATCACAGGTGTAATGTTGGAAAGAGAAAGATGTATCTGATTCATCAGGAGAGATCTGAACCTAATGCAGTATGGGTTTTAAAATCACAGGTGTAATTTTGGGAAAATGTTATTTCTTATCTTCTCAAACCTCCTGTGTTACAAGACATGTTAGAAAACTTGTTTCCATATTATTTATTATCCATTGATCTATCTCACATCCTACACTGTGAAAAATGTGTGGCTTGTGGATCAGGTTACACACAAATATAATGAATCGTAATTATTAGGGGTGACTCTTAGCAATGACTAGTGTTTCACTGAAAATGGCAATGTCGTTGCCTTTCCTGAAATTCACTGGATTAGTTTATGCTTGCATTATTTTTTCAATTCAAAATTCTTCCTCAAATAGAATAGGACATTTTGTTGTCTTGTGGTTATAAAAATGAACAGGGTGTTCATCAGTGGCGGCTCGTGACTTTCATGACAGAGGAGGCTGAATGATATGAGATTTATTGTGGAAAACAACTCTCTACTCACCCAAATCGATAGCTTTAATGACATTCTGTTTACCAGTTAACCTGAACTTAATACTTGAAGAGATGGGTTCCTGTGATTTGCAGTGTCTATCCAATCCGCTAGGCAAATTTTTCAAATCATTATATCCTAATCGCCCCCTACATGATGACTTATCAGTTGAAAATAATAGGCAGTACCAACAAAATAGCTTATTCCTTACCGCAGATCCCGTCAGCCAGATATATTTTTTATAATTATCAGAATTGAACGAACGATTTTGTTTGTTACCTGTTACAATCAGATTTTTTAATTCCGGTGTCGGACGTCTATTTTTCACAATCAATTTATCTTCATAAGACAAAGCACTGAATGGGTTCACTAAAAAGTATTCCACTGAATCACAATCGTTTAAAACACTTATTTTTATAGAGCCCCTAACCATTTACCTAACATAAACATAAACAATACACTCGCGTATGTCCACAATTCGCGAAGCGACACGACAAACACGTGCTATTCGGGCGTATTCGGGCATTTGCATTGCGCGCGTAGGTTTCGCTTTGTGAAGCAGTCTAGCCTCCTATAGATGTTGCCAAGTTGAATATTTCACGCGTGATTTGCAGACTTCAACGTGTGATGCGTGGGTAAGCACTGTTGCCAATTCAAAAATATTTAACTGAAAACAGGAAATAAAATCAAAATCCATGTATTTTGGTGTCCTTTTAATGAGAAAGTATAAATAATATTAGGTTAAGGAAAATCTCTGAGGAGGCTCAGCCTCCGTTGCCTCCTCTGAGGAGCCGCCACTGTTCATAATATCTTTCATTTTATGTTCAATGTAGGAAATATAATTATAATATGATCTTCTTCATATGAGATTGTATTGTGATTTTTAAATTTGTTTCTCTTGATTAACCTTTGTTCTATGGATTACTAGGTGTGGATAACTAACTGGCCTCTTGAAGACAGCAAAAGTGGACAGCACTTGGTTTATATCTGCAACAGGAAGCAAGAGTGGAAAGCTCTGATCTACCATTATTTAACACTGTAAGTATTTATTTTCTGATTGTAATTGGGGACTTCATTATTCAAAAGACAGAGTTGGAATGAGTCATGACTTTCATAAAAAAGTCAAAAAAGTTCCACATTTTGAAATAATGATTCAAACATTTTTCAAATTCAACACTGAAAAAAAAACAAATTTCATTTATCTAAACAAAAAATAAAAAACAATAAAATAAGATTTCATTTTCTTCAAAAGCCTTGAAGGATAACAACAAAACATGCAATTTTTGAACAATCAAACAAAGTATTGATTGAATAAAAATTAATAAATACTCTCATCTTATGACTTAAAGAATATTCATTAGAAAAATTTGTTTTCCACCTGTGGGCATTCCAGGAGTTGCTATAATGCCAATTTCTCTGATTGAACTAGTTCAAATTAAAGGTAATGAGCAATTTGTTTCCATTGGAGAAATAAAATCAATGAATCAATTCCTATGAATTAATTAGTAACAACCCTGATAACATAAATATTGATAAAATGAATGAGTATTGTGATTCTTTGATTCATTTGTTTACAAGTTTGTTTATGATCCTAATACCATTGCAATCTGCCATATGTTGTCCATTTCTAGTATGGATATATATTCAGCTGGTTTTGATTTCTCATTATATCTTTTAATTATGCCTTCATTCTGATAGGTATTATGTTTTTTAGTGGTTTTCTCTTAACAGTATATTTTTTTCATGTTTGTTTTCGTTCATTTCATATAAACGAAAAGTAATATTTGCGAAGGAAAGAATAGCTAGAAATTATCTTCTCATGAGTTAAAAATGAATGACTTTCCTTCATACTACACTGTTTACCACGAACCAAACTGATTTTTTTTTACTCAATGCAAATGACTCCTTGTTTATATTGGTCTACTTCAACTCATCATACAAGGTAATTGCCATGAGGCATGAATGAAAGAATCATAATTGTATTGTATTTGCACGCCATGGAATTTCAAAGTATCCAATAGATAATTTGGTTTTTAGATATGTCATCCTAATTGACGACTTGTGCCCTAGTAAGAGAAAATTCAAGACATTTGAATTTGAACAATAATGTTGTTTTCTTGTACGACGGCTCCCTTATTTCCGAACCCCATTTATTACAACTGGCGCCCAACGTGGGGAAAAATAACGGATGCGTCGAACAAGAATACGAACTTTAATGTCCAAATGTCTCGAAATCTCGGTTCCTAGGGTACAAGACCGGCATTTGAGTGTGCAATCGTTGAAGTCTCTTGGTGAAGCTCTCATAATTTGTGTAACAAGTTATGAATAGTGTACCTGGTTTCAGATTCATAATCACCTAACTGGCGAACTGTACGCTTGATTATTCACACTAACAAGGTGATCCACCTCCATGTAAAATGTTGAAGCCAAATTTGGCTTGAGTGCTAGCGAAACTCTGATTTGTTTATACTCCCAGAATCTGCTCGAGTACATCTATCGGCAAGTTACTGAGCTATATTTCTAAAGCAGTAAAATCACTAACATGCTATCCTGAGTTTCAATTAATAAACATATTTTGATCCGTTATTCCAAGTTTTTTGGGATTTTCTCTCCTCGTTTCTATAAAATAAAAATATGAATATTATTTCAATATACGTGTAGTAAGGACAAATCAGATCAGAAAATTCACTAGCTTGTCAGTGACAATTTGTATTGAAAAATTTTTGGAGAAGAGAAATAAAGGTATATAGAAAAAATCTAAGAATAAACTTAAAATATATTCTGTATTACCGATCTCTACCCTTCGCTGCTTAACAAAAAGTAGTTCACCTCATCGCTCATAGATACCACTACCTACTGAATATAATCTATGATGCTGTTGTTAGTGAAAATAATCAAGGCATGTACCCTAGAAACCGAGATTTTGAGGCATTTGAACACCAAATTTGGTTTTTCCACCACTAGCTATTAGGGATCGACCGATAAAGGAATTTTAGCCGATACCGATAATCGGCCGATACCGATAATCGGCCGATACCGATATTTCAAATACCGATATACCGATATATCGGTCTATCGGCCGTTAACAAGTTTTCTCTGAAGCTGGTAATATTTATGATGCAAAACGTAGCAGGCTAACTTCTGATAGGGCAGAAAGCTTATTGTTTTTGCATCACGACCTACCAAAACTAAATTATCAGTATTAATCAGTTATTTTTGTATTTTAGTAGGGTGAAATAATTTTACCTCACAGTTGCAATCCGCATAGGGTTTTATCTTATTAATTTTTAATTACTTGTCAAAGAATTTAGTTGATTTTACGTTACATACTTCTAATTGGTAATAAAGATATATTTTTGATGGAAGTGTATTTTTTTCATTCATTCTTCAAATTGTTTTTTTTTTTCCAATAAAAAAAATATATCGGTCTATCGGTTTTTGATACCGATACGATAATCGGCCAATGAGGCCGATATCACCGATAGGCCGATATAAATATCGGTATCGGTCGATCCCTACTAGCTATAGAACTTACCATTATGTACGCATTTTTAATGCGTAAAGTGTGTTTTCTCTACTAAGTAGTTAATTTATGAACTATACTATAATTAACCCGAATTCATTGTTCTGATGCGGGATTTTCACGAATTGCACTCGAATCTACTAGCTATTTATCAATAATGACTTTTCATTTGCTATTATGGTCATGGCTACTAGATTTCAATCAGAATTGAATATTTCAGTTTCACATGACCATAATGATTGAAATATATTGTAAGTGTTGAAAAAATAATTTACTCCTTGGCAGTGAAAAATATTATTACCTCACGGGACCATATCTTTCGGCTGGCTCCTTGGGATAGGTAACATCTTGGTCCCTGGGCAATAATGATATTCTTTATTACCTTGGTGTTTAAATAACTATTTCCGTCGACCTCGTATTAGTTAGTATGTTTAATGTTTTGTTAAATTGAACGTTAATGACCCCCTTTAACGATCAGTTTGTTTATTAATGCATGATTATAGTAAAGGCAACCAAACATACACCGCGGTCATTCACTGTTGGCACTATAATTTACGGAATCTGCATGTGAATCGAATATATGGATTTCATCGAAGATTTTACCTTAATGGGTTCGCCATTTTCCATGTTGATTATTTCGACAATTCTCAAATGTCACTAATGTCAGTGACAAGTTGACTTTCAGGGATACTGGGTGATTGTTAGTGTTTCCTGAAGAACCAAGTTTTCTTCATTGCAGAAGAAAAGGGCCTGCACAATGCAAATATTCAATTCAAATAACCCGATTTAAAGCAACTTACCTCAGTCCCAAATTGCTCCGTTTCCGAAATACAGGGTGGTTTAAGTTGAAAAATAAGAATGTGAAACTCATACCCTGAAAAAGTATTTAAAAAAATGCATTCTGAACTGCTGATTCACTGATCAAATTACATCCACAAAGATAACATCATACATATTTTATCAAAATAATTTAAATATTCTGGTGCGGCATCGAACATTATCAACCGAAATATGTCAAAAATGACTAACTTCACCGGATTCTCATAGGAGTACCTTTTCTGCTCAAAACTGTTCAGAAAATCATTTCCTCAACTGTAAAAGTGAAAAACTACACTGGGAAAAAAGTTATGGCTATTCCAAACCATAAGAAGTGCATTGATAAGCGCCCTCTAATGGCCACAATGTGAAACGGTGTCCTTATTCAGGTTTCACATCCAAAAAAAAAACAATTTTCAAAGTGAGAAATGTCCATGAATAACTTCATCATTCTCTCTCGGAAACGAAGCAATTTCGGACTGAGGTAAGATGCTTTGAATCGGCTTATCTTGACCTCGGAAATATGTCCTAAGATTTTGTACAGACCTTTTCTTCTCGAACATTTTCGCACTCGCTTTGCTCGCACGTTAAAATATGTCGATCATTAATCGCCCTCATACACCAGTTGGTTAAATAACTATCACTTGTACGACGTATTCGTTATTTCCAATCCGCCACAAAAAGGCCCACACTTCGACGAAAGAGTGACTTTATAAAACAGAGTGGCGAAATAGTGATGCACTTTTTCATTTGTCAGACCTCTGATATGGAGTTGCATCGACCTGTCCTGTTTTCTCCATTCAGTTCTAACGCATTCTATTTCACTTTGTCAACGCTTTTGACAGAAAAAATCCAACAATCAGACATTTAACTCTATACTTTGATACCTTGGATATTAACTATCGGAATATCCGACTTTAGGGACTCGTTAGTCTGAGATTATTTAGGTGATTAAATGAAAATATCAAATATCTAAACCTAACATCAGGTGGGCACTTCGAAGGCGCAAATTCATTACTGAATGTGAGATACCCTTCAGATTTTTAGCTATTCAGAGACTTGGCCACGAAAGAAAATTCCTTTAATGTTCGTGGGACAGTGTTATTCGACATTTTTCAAGGTTAACGACGAAGGGATGTGCTGACTGGGCCTGTCGAGTTCGTCTGACTGGTATTTTTAGTTTATTATCAGTAAAATATAGCAGACATTTCTGAGGAATATTGCCTCTGGAAGTATCTATACCAAAGTGAAAGGTCGCCGACTTTTCTACGGTTTTCTGATGGGTCAGAGAGTTGCATATTGTGGCATCACCCACCAGGCGAATGGCTCTTTTCTGGATAGAATGCAGTCTTGATTTTTGGTGACGTTGTATTCAACTAGGTTGATGGTTCCCCAGGCTGATATTTCCGCAAGATCTTCATTGACAGCGTTGGCCTGCCTTCGTCGTAAGTTCGTAGTTTCCTGAGAAGAAATGGAAATTCTAGAAGCGAACGCAGTGTGGAAATTACTATCGTCTGCTAAGCTGTGGATAGGGCAAGTGATTGCTCCCAATAAATCGTTGATATGAAGTAGGAAGAAAGTTGGTGCCAAGATTGATGCTTGTGGAACGCCGCAATTGAAGGCATTAGTATTAGACAATACTCCGTCCACCACCACATGGAGCGATTTGCCTGAAAGAAATCTTGATGAAAGATGGCAT